AAGAGAATAAAAAATAAAGAGTTGCGCTAGTTAATTGCGCGCTGATCGCCGCTTTCGTTTTCGTGTGAACGAGAAAATCCAAACACATTGTATACACACACAACTAGCACGATAAAAACGCAAAAAGTGAACAGAACAGAAAAAAACACAAGACACAAATTGTAGACGCGCGAGTTTAACGTTTATTATTGCTATTAATGCCATGTTTGGCGTGATGCGAATTGTCTACCGAAGTTCGATCCCTTTTTTGGACGATTTTATGGCAGTTACAGATGTTGCACGTTTGGGAAATTTGAATTACATGGTGGGAAATTTTATTGGCGTTCATAATCTGAAAACAAATTTGAAATATCTCAACGCGTTTAAAAGTTATAAGCAAAAAACTAAAATATTTCAAATTGCAAACAGCGCCCTCATACCTAGCTGTCTATATTTTTATTCATAACTCCTAAACCAATAAAGATTTTGACTTTTTTCTTTGAGACTATGAAACTTTATTAGTTTATCCTTCAAATTTCACTTCAAAATATAAACAAATTACATTTTATTACCAATAAACTAAACAATTAAAATTTTCATCCGTATACAGCAATAAATTTCACTAAATTTATTTTTCTCATAATATTAATAACCATTTTCGTTCATTATCATCATAAACTAATACTAAATAAATAATTTAACATAATTTCAACTTTAACAACAGAATTTCTTTTGTTTCGGATGTGTGTATGTCATATTTTTACATCTAATTAATTTTTCGGAAACTTAAAAGTGTTAAGGCTGTATTTTTGACGTGCAGAATAAGAAACAATGCGTTCATCAACATTTTGCGCGCTATTACGCATTGCGTTTTAATAATAACGCGTTTGTTTTCTAAATTATAATGTCTAATATAACCAGCATGCGAATTATTTATTGTTAGTGCTTGGAAAATAATTACACGGACACGTTTCGCAATATTTAAATATTGTGTTTTAGGCTGTGAAACTTTTGACAATTAAGTCTTAATTTTTAATTACTTTAATCGACAACCTTTAATTTTAAGATTAGAATTATGGATTTATAGGTTAAACATGTTAAAAATGAATTTTTAAGAAAAAAAGTAGCGAAATTGACTTTATTTTAAGGTTATACGTTAAAAAAGCGTTTGATTTATTAGAAAATTTAGTTTCGCGAGCGGCTAGTGGTGGCGCTATATGCAAAAACACGGAAACTAGCTGGCAATGGCGATTTTTTTACTTTTTCCTTAATAACTTTTAAACTAATCAACATTTTTCAAATTTTTCTTCAAATAATTGTTCCTTAATAATTTACCAATGTTTCTACTAAAAAAATATTGTGAATTTATAGGTTAAACATGTTAAAATAACGTTTTTTAAATAAAAATTCAAAAATTACTTTATTTTGACAAAACACGTTTAGATGGCGTTTGTTTTTATATAAAAAGTAGTTTTGTAAACTACTAGTGGTGGCGCTGTAAGCAGAAACCCGAAAACCAGCTGGCAATGGCGAATTTTTCACTTTTTCCTCAATAACTTTTAAACTAATCAACATTTTTCACTTTTCTCTTCAAATAAACGTTCCTCAATAATATACCAATGTTTTTAATATAAAAAATCCTAAAATTCTACTCTAATGTGTCTAATTTCTAAATTAAAGTCATGAAGTGATCAAAAGATAAAATACGCAGAAGTTATGCCTGGCTCGTCGCACGAAACGAAATTGCGCCGCTATTTATGATTAGCCGGCGCGTTGTAAACAAGCGCGACGTGCCGCAGCCGCCTGCGCCGCAGCATCTCCACGGCGTGTTCTCATCAGCAGCGTGCACGAGGAAACGAGGAAGCCGGTTTTCTTTTGTGTACGTGCGCCCCAACACAACAGAGCGCGCTGCACGCCGGACGAGTACTTTCACGTGATTAATGTGACATTCGTATTTTTACTCGCGACTACAAATACAAGCGATTACAGTCAACTTAAGTCTACTTAACATCTCTGCCAATTCAAATCCAAAAAGGTTAAATTTTTAATTTTTACCCAGCTAAGTACTTCAATTATATCTTGATCAGAAATAATCTTTTGTGTTTTCTCATCCTGAAAGTTTAGTTATTATGTTGTGGTGTGATAATGCTGTGATTATATAACGGTTGGCATTAACGACAAAATATCCACATCGTAAATACAGTAACACGAAATATAAAAGAAACGGGCTGGATAAAGAAGACGCTGATGACGCTTTGTGCAACACATGCAATGTTATAAGTTGTACGTGTTAAAAGATGCGACTGTTGTTTTAGAACGTGCTTAAAACATTAAAGTGTTAAGTGGTTGAGAGATCAGCTACCACACGACTTATTTTAGCGTAACATAACCTAAGTTAACCTACAAATGAAAAAATTGCTTTAAAAGTGTTTATTTGCAATATTTTCAGGAAAAAAATTAATTTGAGGGATAAGCAGCTTGCACATGACTTATTTTAACATAACCTAACCTAGCATAACCTAAAAACTGCAAAAAAACAACAAAAAAAGCATTTTTTCTTAATATTTTGGTTAAAAGACTATTTTAAGTGCTTCCACATTACTTATTTTAAAGTTGCATAACCTATCATAACCCAAAAATGAAGAAAATGTACTTAAAATTGTTTTTCTAATATATTTTAACGTAACATAACCTAAATTAACCTAAAAATGTAAAAAATTGACTTAAAACTATTTTTTTTGATTTTTTCTTGAAAAAACCACTTTGAGACATCAATGGATACTCTTCACAACATATTTTAACGTAACATAACCTAATATAACCTATCATAACCTTAAAACTGCAAAAAACCAACGGAAAAGTCTTTATTTTTACTATTTTCTATAAAAATCACTACTATTGATCCAGGAAGTAGATGTTTTCGCATTCAAAGTTTCATCTTACAGGAAGTTTTCGTTGCTGTCGAGCTCTGCGCGCACCTTTGACACTCGGCAAGACCGTAAACACAGCAACAAAAGGTTTCGCTGAATCTCTGATCGAATCGCACGCGCGCGCCTGCTCTGCTCTCGAAACGTATTCCGAAATGTAAATCATTCAATAAACGTAATAACTTTATTTATGTTGGTTGATAAAAACCTCTCTAACCTTTCGTTTTATTTGTGTTTGTGTTTCACTTGCGATAATTTATCTAAACTCCATTTTCCTTCTTTTTGTTTATATTATACAATATTTGCTTTGATTAAACATCGAATGTGATTAGTGTTTAGAAGAAAATATAAAACGATTGTGGGGATCTTTATCTTCCGAATTGAATGTGTTTTATTTTATTTTATTCGTTTGGAGAGTGCGCACAGATGCAATTTGTGTAGATTGTGGATAAAGATAAAATTCTACGCGTTTCCTATTGATGATGATGCGCAAGCGACTGTGACTTTTTTCTCGCCGTCATTTCTACCGTCTACCAGCAGTTATTTATATTTATTTATACAAAGTGTTAAAATTTTTGAAAATTATTCCAAATAAATTAACTATATGCAACCATTTATACATTTTATAATGTCATATTGGTTGCCTATAATAAAATTAAAAACTAAATAAATTATTTTTTTACTTTTTGAATGTTTTAAGTGATTTTATTTATTGTTTATGACTTGGAAAACATTCGAAATTAGAAATGAGCGGCAATATCGCGGATATAAACGACGCGCTGTGCGGAAGAACAACTGGCGGAGAAGTGCAGAAGTCAAAAGTCAAACTAATATGTTCGTTGTCTGGCAGAGCTCATATACGAGTACTCGTACTCGGTGAGATACGAGTGCAACGAGTGCAACTTACACCGTTACACAAACACAAGTATTGTGGATTGTAAGTTGTGTGCTGTTACTAGAATAAGAGGTATTGTCGACGGTTGTAAATTAAATAAATTACGTCTGCAAGAAGATGCTTGCCAATTTAAATTTATTGTTTAATTTATTGCTGTTGGTTAACTAGAATATTGCAACTTATTTAGGTATGAACCAAGGTAGGATAAGTGTATTATTAAGGAGATTTGTTAGTAAATTTTGTTTTTACGTTGATTTATGTTTGGAAATAAATTTTTTGCATTTGTTTTAATTTTTAAGACATTTTTTGCACTTTTGGTGGTATTTCTTGAATTTTAGACTGTTTATTGACCAATTTAAAGTAAAATTAAAAAGAATAATGTTTGTTTTTGTTTATAAACCGATTTTATTTCAATTTATGTTTGAAAAAACATTTTTTTGCTTTTTTTCTTCTTTTGAATGCATTTTCAAGTGTTTTTCCACAGGTTTATTGAAAAATGTATTTATTTTTCTAATTGTATTAGAATATTTATAAACAAATTCAATGCAAAAATAAAAAAACGATGATTTCTTTCATTTTCTAACTGTTTTTACTTCAATTTATGTTTGAAAAAAACATTTTTTGCATTTTTTCTTTCCTTGAATGGATTTTTACAATTTTTTTATTCAATTAAATGTAAAACGCAACGATAGTAATTTCTCTCGAGGCTATCAAGTAATTACACCGGCGATGCTGTAACTACGTGTGTATTTCCAAGGAAATAAACAAAACAAGTGAATAGCCGGAAGATATGGCGGATAATTCACCGATTTCCAATCGCTCATTAAATTATTTATTTATTTAAAATTCTAAATCAAAATCATTGAAGTTTCATTTTCATTTCGATTTCAATTTCAGTTTCTGTCTGTCTATCATATCAGATATGTAAATTGTAAATGTTTTCAATTATTATCAATTTCCCGCATTGTTTACGACTTCTGATTGCATGCGCTTTTTGCGATTGCATCCAATTTGCCAAACGGCAAACTTTCAAAAAGGGCACAGTCTTCCTTCCGGTCTATTCATCGATCACTCATCGGATTCGATTGGATTGTTTGCGAAAACAATCACATGCACTTACACCTAATGCGCTTGTTTCCTTTTTAAACAATTTTAAAAACAAAACAAATAAAAAAACAAAAATTTCTATTTTTACTCACCAGAAGATTTTCCTACTAATTAATTTAGTTTCCGATGCTACTCCAACATAGTGCGTGCACACACAGCGTTTTTTTCGTTTTTGTTTGTTTGTATTCTTCTATTTTTCACATGCACACAATTAAAATTAAAATTTATAATTAATAATTAAACAGTTTTTATATTTTTAATATTATTTTAAAATAATATTAATAATATTATTAATATTTCAACACGATGATTAGTTTAGTTGAGAGACCGGTAGTGCGCTTGTTGAGCCCGATTAAACATTTAAATATCAAAGTGTGCGGAGCGAGCCGCAAACTACTGCGCGTACCGTATAGGTAACCGAAGAGGTTTAATTTCGATGCGCGCACTAGAAGCGGCGTGATTGTTCTCGCGGTCGTGCCTCGCGCTTCACTGGATCATCTCGAGATGAGAGAGGCTCGACTCGCACCGTCTGAGAAACAGACAAACAGTGGTGGAGGTGAGAATAGACATTGGGTGAGTAGAGGAAATGTATTAGTAAAAATAATGTGCGAATTTTTAGGTTATTTAGGGTTTTTAAGGGGAATTTTAAGCAGCAGGGAGTGTATCTAGGGTCAATGTTATGTATATAGGCAACCAAATATGTTCCTTTGGGGTTACATTGGTCAAAGTTATAAAGAAAAGTATTTTGACAGCTTTGACATCGAAAGAATGTAGGAAAAATTGATTTTGACAGAATTATGGTGTTCTGTTGGAAGTATACCTATGATACTGGTGTAAAATGATATTTTTAGTCATAAAGAATACGAAATTTACTAAAAACCTAATTTTCTTGTCTTATTACTCAACAAAACATTGTTTTTTATGTTTAAATCGCTTAAATAAATAAATATCAATATTTTGACAGTTTTGACATCAAAAGAATAACTTATAAATTAATTTTAACAGAATTAGAATCCATTGAATGATTTAATAATTAAATCAAAACATTTATGAATATGCAACACACAAAATATGATTAGAAATCACTAATTAAATTTGTATAGATTGGCAATACCTTGAAAATTAATAAATGAATGAATAAACGAATGAATGAACGAAGGTTAATTTAGTTTAATTAAAATAAAACACATCTTACAACTTAAAACGTAATTATCTGCTTTGATTTTGCAATTTTCACGCCTTGCATCTGTTCTTTTTTTTGCAGGTTAAAACCTGATGTACTCGTACCTACAAGTGAGGTTAAGTACACTTTAAGTACACTTTAGCTTCACAAATCTTATTCCATCGCCAGTATATATGAATTGAACAGTTTCCTAATCTTTCTTCGCACCATGTGTGGCAATTTCGTACATAAATACTTTCTTATGCTCATTCCACACATCTCGCCGTCGAAAACGACCTTTCACAATACAAACACGCGCGCCGGCGCATCATTTGTACACAATGGCGCCTTCACTGCTATTCTCAATCTATCTCTATGAATATTTGCCATGAGTATACTCGTATGTGTGTATGTAACACACAATACACTCTCGGTTGGCATTCGTGTTACCATTCATTCTTTAGTTAGTTGCTTACAAGTAGTGCTAGTGTTGAATAAGTATAAATTTTCGAGATGTTTGATGCGTGTGTGCGCATGCATCATTTGTTGTACAAAGGCCACGCATGCGCGGAATGCACACTCACCAATTCCAATTCGGGAGTGCAGTTGTATTGTTACTGCCTGCGTGATTTTTTTCTGTGTATGTTTGAAAATGTCACTTTAAATTATTTTGAAAGTGAAACTACAAAGGTTTAATTGCGCAGATATAATTAAAATAATTTCTATTAATTTCAAGGAACTAAATATTTCTGTAACGAATCTCAAGGCAGGTAGCTTATTGCATTAAATCCGGTTGACAACTATTGCATAAAAAACTTGCAGCTATTTTGTTTATTTGCTGCTTCTTCATTAAAATTATTTCGTTCTAACCTTCGATTCTCAATATTATAATTAAGCGTATCTTTCTTGTTCCTAATAAAATGATTTCTTTCTCAATATGTTGGTAGAGGTATGTTACAATAGTAAAAACATTATTCACATTTATTATGGTGTGTTATTTTGTGTTTCTTGATTTGTTTTAACGCGCAGAGAGTTCAAAAGTAAGTAAAAATAGTAAATTTTATGTATATAGGCAACCAAACATGTTTCTTAGGGTTAGATTGGTCAAATTGGTAAATGACAATAATTTGACAGCTTTGACATTAAAGAAAACACTTCACAGATTGATTTTGACAAAATTAAGATGTTTTGATGGAAGTATAGGAATACTAGCTTTAACCCGCGGCTTCGCCCGCGAATATCTAAAAAAATGAAGTTGCTTCCGTATGCGTCTGTAGTCATAGAAGAAGTAACAATGAAGTAGAATGGCGGGAAGTTTAAAATGGCTGAAAGTATAGTCTATGGAAGTATAGTGTACAGTCTCCAAAGTGTAGTCAATTGGATTTGATGTTGACGTAGCTGTTGGTAATACAGTGTGATGGTACTATAGTACTTAGGTTTGAGCTTCATCGCTGGAATGCTAGATGGCGTTAAAGTCGTCAAATAGCCAGATGCAGAGGTATTATTGGCTAAACAATTTCTTTATTTTATTTAAGAAATAATTTTTTTTATTAAATAAAAAGTAGCCTATAACAATTCGGGGACCACTGAGAATATGTGTACAAATTTTCATGATGATCGGTTAAGTAGTTTTTGCGTGAAAGTGTAACAAACATCAGGACTTTCGCATTTATAATATTAGAAGGGATTTCTTGAGTAAAATGATATTTTTAGTCATACAAAATTCAAATTTTGCAAAAACTGCGCTTTTTCGCTCAAATTCTTCAATAAAACATTGTTTTTTTCATTTACATTGGTTAAATAAAGTAATATCAATATTTTGACAGCTTTGACATCAAAATAATGCCCCACAAATATATTTTGACAGAAATAGAATTCAAAACATTGCAAAAAAACCTAATTTGCTGCTATTTTGTTTATTTGTTGCTTCTTCATAATTTCTAATTCGATTCTAACCTTCATCGATTCTCAATATGATAATTAACCATATCTTTCTTGTTCCTAAAGCAAATTATTTCCCAATATGTTACAATAATAAAAACATTGAACTGATTTGTTAAACTTTACTACTACCGAATTCACATTCATCACGCTCTGTGTTTTTTTACTGCTTTTTTTTTTCGTTCGCGTGATTTGAACGCGATTTGATTGCGCTGCTCGCGCCTGGAGATTATGTGTGAAGATATCAAGATACCGACGCGCTTGGAAAGAACTGAAGACGCGAAGACGTGAAGACGTGTCCGATCGTGGATTGCTACTGTATGTCAAGGCTCTGCCTTTTCCGCGCTGCCTTGAAATGATTAATTATTGCGCTCGGCAGATAAAAATTGTTATGGTTTGAGAAAGTGTAACTAAACACGGCGGACAAGTGCCAGTGGATGTTATGTTTCAACATTTGTTTTAGGATTATATACGTATTGACAAATTTTATTGATGTGCAGATAGGATTATTATGTTTTAAAATAATTTAGTTTGAATTGGAGCAAATTTATTAAGAAAATGAAGAAATTTTTTTTTTTTTAGTTTTAGAAGAATTACTGTTTAGACAGTGAAATAGAAGACAAATATGTGATAGAATAATAATAGATGCTGCAAAAATCATTTATGCATCAAATAAATAATGTTTAATTGTTGTTGAATTAAAGAATTGAATAAAATTGCGATTGACTCAATTGGCACTGTTTTGCAGTGAAGAAAATGTTCACATCATGTCAACAAATATAAATGTTTTATAAAGATACGGATGCGTTTATCTACTAGTCGACATCGCGTGATCTTACACGGACATGATGTGCATTCACAGACACAAACAAAGAAATAACTCACGTGTTTACATCTTGCTGCGATTCTTCCGCTGCGAATTTATCCTCGATAAGTGCATCCTAGCGACATCTATGCACAAACTATAGAGTTACGTATCAATAAACCGCGTGTTGTATGTGAGCTCACACGTATACGATTGTTGTTACCGAACTCCGTGTTCTTCTCACACATGCACGCCAATAAACAACTTCACACACGCAAACAAGCATTATATGCAAGATATAGAGTTATTTGCAAATGTTTGACACATACGCGTGATTTTACCTGTACACTATAGTTTTTAAACACTTTTTAACTAGAAATAGTCGAATGTTAATACAATATTTTGTAAAATACTATGATTGAAACAAACATAAGTTAATTTACAATGAATGTTAATTGTATTTTCACTTAATTGTAAATACGCCTCAAAATACTGATAATATTTATTCGTGTTTTTAATATTAATTCACGCGTAAAATAATGTTTAGTAGTACTCGGCTTAAGAAATACTAGTATAAACTTGCAATAACATGCAGTTTGGTGTTTATTTATTCGGATTCGAGATAAAAACATGAAGATATCTGATTTGCTAACTTTCATATGATAGTGCATCGATTGAACTTGAATATTTCGTGTAAACAAACAACTTGCAGATTCACAACACAGCAAGGTGCTGCGATTCCTTCTCGATGCGAATTTAATCGAAATAAGTGCACTGTAGCGACATCTATGCACAAATCAGAGAATCATATTTAGATAAGTAATATCAATCGCAATCTCAGTCTCAATTTGTGCCCAGTTGTTGTTTTGCTGCATAGTATGCATAGTCATATAAATGTAAATTCACCAACACAACCAAATAATTTTTAATGCAAATAACTGCATCTTTGCGTCATCTACATTTAATTTCATTGAGTTATATTTCAAATGCACAACGAAGACGCTTAATTTCAAAATTTAAATGAAAAATAATACTTATCTTCATACAAGAGTACTTTGCAATTATTCTAGTCTATATTTCAAACCAATTTAACATAAAATCCAACGCATTCCTGTTATTATTATTCTTCACTGGATTTATTACACATGGTAACCAAAGAGCAAATCGTAAGCGGACTCAAATCAGAAGCCATAAACTCAAACAGCATATCATTATACCCCATACGCAAGAACAAACACTCCATTTGCGAATCTTTCGTGGAATGCGCATCAACACAGAACTGCTCAAACGGATTCAACGTATTTTCCTCACGCATTTTACCAATCGCTTCCATGCAAGCAGAACACACGCTGTCTTCGCTCTGCGCATACTCTAGTTTATTCCATACGTTATTAATACACATATTAGACGAGCCACATTCATGAGCAGTTCTTCAAAATAAATAAATTAAATTAAATTAAAGAAAATTCAACCTAATTCAACTAACTATAGACTTACGCAATATTTTTACAGAAGTAGGAAGGCCCCCAAGTACACGGCTTTGAACCTAAGAGTGTAGCAGGCGTAGCACGGGCTGCATACACTACAAAAACAAAAATGGAGGTTAGTAAATCTTTACAAACTAAAAAACATGTTAAAAATTACCTGTACACACCAAAAAACAACAAACAAACAAGTTTTTCATCATTCCTACTCGTTATTTAACAATTAACTAAGTAAAACACTCAAAATATTGTTTCAAATACCAGTAAAACTATTTTTAAAATGCATAGATAATTTAAATGACGCAGATAACAAACACCAGTGTTTTGTGTTTATCAGAACTCAAAAAATTTACATTTTAGACCCACAGTTACCACATAGAAATTAGAAATAGTTTATTATATCAATAAGTAAACTTATAAAATCAGTTGTACCCATAATCACTCATACAACACAACTTAATCACGCCTCTTTCTCTTATCCCTATCATCCCTGCGTTCTGGTTCCTTCCGCTTACTGGCACGTTTAGCTTGACTCAGAAACTGATCCAAACCGAAGGGATCTTCTTCTTTCTCGAACTGCACCGGACCAGATCTAGTCGCTTCACGATTTGTACCACTAAATTCTTTATCCGGCACAAATCTATAATAAAAAAAAACAAATTATTTATAAATATAGGTTATGTTAACATAAAAAAAATATTACTAACCGATTTGTTTTTTACCAACGTCTCCAAATCATCCCCATACGTCTCCTTATCAATATTCTTATTTGGTCTGTAAAGATGATTCGCCATTGATCCCCCCTCCCTCCATGGTTTATCATAAACATTATACGAGTCCTCATCGCCATACCCATGCCCTAAACCTTGATTCTGCCCGAATAAACGCTGATCAAACTGTACTTCACCTGATGATTGCCCTTTGGCAGGCATTCCAAGCGCAATTTGCTCAGAAATATCTCTTTCCCTCTCACGTTGTAATTTCGACCGCTTATCTGGCGCAGCGCGTGCTAGATTCCTATCCCTTGCACGCTCATTATGCCGATCTTTCCTGAGAGCGTCACGTTCGCGTTCTTCTTCATTCGTCGCGCCTGCATCCGAATGAGTTTTAATCCCGGCGCGTTCATCACGCGCTTTTTGCGCTAACGCACGTAGATGTTCCTCTTTTTGTTCTTTTTCTTTCTGAGCTAATTTACGCTCTAACTGTGCGCGTGTCTCGACACTTTCACGCGCTTTTCTATCAGCGATGTATAAAGCTTCAGCGAGTTTAGCGAAGTTCTCGTTGATGTGTAACTGTTGAAGACCACGTCCGTCAGCGGCAAGACGTTTATCCAATGGCACAGTGTAACCTTTTGCGTTCTTCCAGTTGGAGATACAAGGCGGGATCTTCCATTCTTTTTGTTCTTTTACAGTTACACGACGTGTGGGGCTGTGTAGAACTGGTGCGTGAGGTGATGGTGGACCACGCGGGATTTTTTTGTTGATTTTAAACCGGGGAGGTTCCATCGGGTCGACTTGAGCGTCAACTAAACGAATTACGCGTTGTTTTGCGCCGGAATTGAACGCTGCGCCTTGTTGTGAAGGAGTATATCGAATAAATTCAGCTGGACCCTGAATAATTCGCAAGTTTAATTAGTTTTTAATAAAAAAAGGTAGGAAAAAATTATTACCTGACGTTCTGCGCATCTTACGGGCATAGCCGCCGCGATTTTTGAATTTGTTATCTTCATTAACGCTTGCCGGGTGCGTTCTGTGACGTCTTCAATCTCTTCCTGATTGGGTTTCTCTAAACTAGGATCTTTTTCATCCATTACCTCAACTGGTAACAGATCAGATAGTTTTGAATAAACTATTTTGTCTTTGCCATGGCCTAGTCTTGCAATTGCGTCGTATTTTACTTTGCCTTCTGCATCTAATTGCACTGCGAGTGCATTTGAGGTAGATTCTTTGCCTTTCATACCCATATCCAGTGGGTATTGAGCCACATGGATCTCAGGGAATGCTCCACCATCTGAATATTAAATTAAAATGGTTAGATATATGGTTTTTAGCTTGTTTTTAAAAAGGTTTTACCTCCATAATCAGAGGGTTGTCGCGGAACCCATCCACGTCGTTGTCCATAAGGAGGAGCAATTGGTAGAGCAAGTACCACTGAAGTTGAGGGTCTCTCAGCGGCGCGTTCACGGCGTTCATCATCGCGATCCCAAATCGGTTGAGTTGGTGCTGGTAAAACGCTGAAAATGTATGTTTTAGTATTATTAGAGGTTATGTTTATATTTACACATTTTTTAAGTATATTTAAGCCGCGGCTTACCTTTGGAGATCCATTTTAAGTTGATATAATATAAACTAAACTTATATTTAATCTGTACTATACAATTCTTGTGAAGTTGTTGTCGTAATCATAAAATAAAGAAATTTTACGAACTTTAACGCTTACGGGTAGCCATGTTGAAAAACAGTGGTTAGTGAAATATCATGAGTGAAGTAATGACAGCTTTCTTTTTTGTAATCGAATATAATCGTGTTTTATCAGTTATAATTAAATATAATAATGTTTGAACTTTACCCATGCATTATTAATTGTTTATTTTAGTATTACCAATAATAAATAGTTTCTAATTTAGTTTATTTCAATAAATTCATGCATTTTAAGCAGTTTGTATTGTGTAGTTGGCAGCAGTGGCGTTCATTTAGGTGACGCACCTTTTCGATTATTACCGACATTTACCGACCGCTTACCGACGCCGACACTACACCAGCACAGATTGATAAAGTAGCGAGCGTCCATTTCGTGCAGTTGGTGGCGTTATCGATTTGGCAAGTAAGGTAACTACAATTTTCTAAGCTACCGAATTTATCAACATTTTCTTTTCAACTTGTAGCGCACAATAGGAGCAAATCCAAACAACTGCATATTTGCGCAATGAAAACCTACAGCCGCAAGAAAGCGGATGAACAGGAGGAGGTTATTCTCGACCTGAATGAATTATGTCGGCTTTGTATGACCAAGGAGGATCAGTTGGTTTCCATTTTCGAAAATGACGGACCGGTATCACTCCCACTACGGATTATGGCTTGTGTTGCATTAGAAGTAAGCGCACAAGAAAAAAAAAAAAACAAGTTGTTTAATACACAACTTTTGTTTTTTATTTTAATTTTTATAAAACTTAAAATTGTAGTTTTTAATACAAAAACTTATTTTTTAGGTTCTTGAAGGAGATGGCCTTCCAAACAAAATCTGCCATCCATGTAAATTCCAACTAGAGAAATCCTACTCATTCAGGAAAAAATGCGAAGGTTCCGACGTTAAACTCCGACAACACGTTCGAACCTTACAACAAAAATTCCCCGATGCTGAATTTTCAATAGAAAGGCCATCAATCAAAGATGACGAAGAAGAAATCATCCCGAATCAAACAACACAAGAAATAAACACCGAAAGAGAACTCGCTGGTGTAACACAAGTTGCCTACATTGCACCAGACCCCGAACCGGAATCACACGACAACATAACACTACCAACCGAAGACGATCTGGAACACGAAGACAAAACAAAAATCAAGAAAAACGACATCGGCGAGAATGACTACTACGTAGTAGAGACAGATGACAACGCAGCTGACATGCAAATGGACACAAATTCAACACATCCTATAATGGAAGACCAAGAATTAGATTTTATAGCTGAAGCAGTAAAAAGCACACTGGCAACACATCCAGATTTAAATCTCACTGGAGATTTACAAATGAAAGTCGAGCATGAACCTGGCAAACCAACACAAGTTTCAGTAACGACTGATGACGGTTCAGTAATCGTCTTAGAATTAACAACAGATGAACACGACCAACCGGATTACGAACACGCCGATGACGATGATGATGATTCGGTTGTAAACGACGACGGGGAATTAAAAGTCTTTCAATGCCCCTCGTGTCCGAAATCTTTCGCTCGGAGGATACAACTTCAGCGTCATAGTTCCGTTCACATGCAACAAAGAGGTTTCAGCTGCGGCATTTGCGAAAAATGGTTCCCCACGCGTTCAGCTTTAATAAGACACGAGCGAATCCACACCGGCGAACGGCCGTTTCAATGCGAAGTCTGTCAGAAGAGTTTCGCACAGAAGGAGATTCTCTTCCGGCATATGATGACCCATACTGGGTTAAAACCCTATAGTTGCCCGCATTGTTGTAAGGGATTTACACAGAAAGAACCGTTGCGTGCGCATTTGAAGACACATTTAGATGCGGGCCCTGTGGATGTACAGCTGCACTATTGCACGCTGTGTCCGAAAGTTTTCTGTCACGCGTCGGGGCTGAGTAGGCATTTGGTCACGCACACGGGGAAAACTTTCAAATGTCGTGACTGCGATAAGAGTTTTAATGATAAATCATCTTTAAGGCGACATATACGCCAATGCGGACATCAAGAGTAACATTTTATATTATAAATATTTAAATTTTAATATTAATTTGATAAGAAGTAAATTAATTCGAAGAAATATTTATAAAAGTTTATATTTTTCATCTGTCACTTTCTTTTAATGTCGGTAAAGTTGTAAACTGCGTTATATCATATGAGCTGCCACCTGTGAGGCATTTGTGGAACTACATGTTATTGCGGTAGAGGCGGAGGCCCAATAGAACTCCGGCGTAACGGTCGCGTCTCGTGTTTCGCGTTCGCAGTCGCGAGTAGTCGTGGAATCACACGTCGTCGAACGTATCATCGCGCGAGGTAGAACGGCGTCGGCCTGTGCCACTGCGTTTAGTTAGCGGGTTTGTGCGAGTTGTGCGGTCGTGCTCACAGGGTGTGTTTGGTGTGCCCGTGTGTGCGGAAAAGTACGCCACGCGAATTGTGCCAGTGTGCGCGTTCCGGAATTTTACCATCCAGGCAGTCAAATACCACGTAAGTTAAGCGGCCGGACGTTAAAACACGCCATTTTAAAAAAATAACCCACGGTCGCCGGCGCGCGTGTGTGCTGGCGAGGAGAGCCTGGGCTGCGGCTGAACGGCTAACAAGTGTGCTGCTTGTGCTTCTAATTCTTTTAATTGTCTGCTTGGGCATTATCTAAGACACAAACCAGTGACTACAAACTACAATAGCCCTTGTTGCGTTGTGCACTTGTTTGTCGGTTATCTACAGGTCGATTTCTTCCGTTTGCGGTTCTCAACGATAATCTTCTACGTAAATTTCCGGTTTTGATGATAACATAGATTTCTTTTTAATCTGCGCTCGATAAACAAGATTCCTACCCTGATACATGTGTAGGTGTCTCCTTTAAGCCTTCATAATTTGATTTATTCTTCATTCCGTTCACGAGCTTAATTTAATTATAGCGTGAGTTTTATTCTACATTCCGGAAAACGAATTTGTTGGTCAGTGTGCAAGCACGTACAATTAGCAAGTTGCGGTGGTAATTGTGACGTGGACTATATTTACCTATCGAGTACGCTCAGCAAATATTTTTTCCAAACATGAATACTAATGTATTTTTCTATTTGCAGGTTTATCGCTTCGCATACGTAAGACATAAAGGACATTGTGTCGTGTAATCATGGCGCCAAAATCGGTGAGTAAAAACAATTTCAAACATAAATCAATCGATCGTGATTATTATTACCTGGTAAAAATCCGTGCGGTGCGTTTATGACCACTTGTTGAATATAACTTGTCTAGCGGCCCGGCGCGCACCGGTTTTGCCGGCATGCCGGCAATGCAAGCAGCGAAGAGCACGAACGCCGGGCAGAGCACGGTGGTTGTTTGGCTGACGAAGCTGCGTGCAACGTGTACGCGCTTCCTGATTGGCCAGAATTTGAATTCAGCGCGCGCTCGTCGTCGAGCCGAAGACACGCGAAAGCGCTGCGCAAGGCGACTCCGTGTGAGTTTGACCTTTAGCCACGCTTTTGTTTTTATTCAATTTACAGAGTGTTCCGTACAGAAACTTTATATAAACTCTCTTAATTATATTCACCCAGTAAAAAGTCAACATTTGAATGAATGACTCACCAAATTAACACGTTACTTCTGTATTTTTTGTGTTGAGAAATTAATTACACCAGTCATGGTCGCAGATGTAACTGTTTTCAAATATGTGCGTCGACCATCTTGAAATCACATGCATTTGACATCCGACAGTTGAACGCGAGTGGTCGTCCTAGTAAAACCGAAATAATTATTTAATAATCATCGGAGAAAGAGTGATTGCAGCTAGTTTATAAATAAATGTACCAGTTTCACTTGGATTCTGAACTGCACTGCACTGAATAATGGTCGCTGGAAAATCGGTATGTGGTGACTCATCGACAACATCTTGATATGCGTTTTTTGTCCTTGCATGCATTTTATTTCGAAACAATTCGAAAAATTCACCGTTTTTACATGACAAATGACAGTTGGCGGCCATTTTGTGATCTCACTGAATAAACACAACGAAATAAAACAACTGTGTCACTTTATTAGCGTATTGTTATAGAATGAAACATTGTTGACATTGAGTAGGTTACAATTTATGTTCTTATGTAATTTATCTACGTTTACAATCATTATTCATGGATAATTAACAAACAGTTATTGAATGACTCATAAATTTCTATTGTTTTTAATTTATTTTGTTTAAATGGGTGAAAATTACGTTTTTTTGTCTATTTTTATACAAAAACTTTAAAAAATTTAATAAAAGTGATGATATAATGTGTAATTTTTTGTTTAGAACAAGTTGAATAGGACACGGAACTTTTATTCGATGCATTTATCAACAATTCATGCGATTTAATAAAGGCTTTCGTCAAGGTCGCCGTTCATGTCGCGTTGTTTCGTGATCGTTAAGATAATAAATTATGGTAAAAATAATAATTTATTTTCTTTGTTTTTTTTAGATGAACGTCCGCGTGACGACGATGGACGCCGAGCTGGAGTTTGCCATCCAGGCGACCACCACCGGCAAGCAGCTCTTCGATCAAGTCGTCAAAACCATCGGATTGCGTGAGGTTTGGTTCTTTGGGCTGCAATACACCGATTCCAAGGGTGATTTGACTTGGTTGAAGCTGTGGAAGAAGGTAATTACTTTTAAAATTTATTTTTTATTGATTTTTATTGACTTTTGTGTGTTTTGTAAGCTAAAAGCTAAGATTATTATCAATTGAAAGTAAAAACAATTATTGTTAATGCTAGATGATGTTGCATAACACAAAGTGCTATTGATTTTTTATAGCCTGCTAATTTATCGTAGTAAAACGCAAAAAATAAAATGTTGCAGGCGGTTGGTTAATGAGAAACATGAGAAATTTACAGTTAGCGTGTAATAATCGATAATTGCGACGAGGTTCTTTTATTCACCTTGAATGTTTATTAATTAGTTTTGTTTTCAACATTTAATTTAATTTGAGTTGATTTGATGTGAAATGCGATTTTTACATGACCTTGCCAGCTTTCTTTCATCTCTCGAAATGGAAACAGCGAAAGAGAAATGAAAAGCGACCAAATCAGGCGTGCTGGCGTGCCATTTGTGTCGCGCGACAGGTCGGCCGGTTTGAGAAAGTGCTCTACAGCCAAAGTCAACGGCGAATCAATTAACGATGCGCGGTCGAAAGTAAAAAGTATAACTGCATCACGTTTATACTCTGCGATGTGAGTATTTGAGTCGCGTCCTTGGCGCGTCTGATGTCTTTCTAAAAACAGGTATCATCATATTTATGCGCGCATAGTTTCATTACGGATTGCGAATCTTGAAAATGTGTGTCGATGATGAGCGGTCAATTTTTGTATTTTCTAATATTATACTCGTACATATTTCTACTCTCACTAGCAGCGGTAGTGTTTAATGAGTTTTGATGAGATGTTTTATTGGAACCTTGGAAAGTAGCTGTTTGAATGTAGTTGATTAAAAATCAACTCACACATTATTATAAAATAGTTTTATGGTGTATTATTTTAAAATAATTGTGATGTTTTGCGATATTTTATGAATGAGTCTTAGAATATCTATGATCTAATGCTATGTAGGATATTTACTATTTGCTGTGATTTGTGATCAAATTAACAGGTGAATCATAACCTGTTAGATTTAATTACTTACGTGGAAATATTTTCTGAGGTAACTTGTTTATAAGTAGGAAAATTTTACAAGTTGTGACGAATTGTGAATAATATTAATTTAATTTTTATTTTTATTTTATTGTTATTAATGAATATTAAAATTAATAATGTAAAGTTGTTGGTGTGGTGGTTTTGATTGTGCAGGCTTCTTTATTAGCAGTTTTGTTATTGCAGACGGCGCCGATTTCGGCCAATTTGTTTATTCGCGCTTTACGAGCGATGATGGCGCAACTGCATTTCATTTGCATTTCGATGATACCGCAATAGTGAATTGCGCATTGAGGAGCATGTAGAACGCATTTCCAAATGTTTATAAGTCAGTTTAAATTTGGTTCAAACAATTTGGATTGCTTACTATCAAACTAGGTAATTTATATTAGGTACAAATAGTTAATTTATCGTTAGTATTGAATTGATTAATTTCGTTTGAAAGTTTTATGTTTTATAAAAAGTTAGGTAACTTTTTAACACGATTTCTTCAGGATTGGGAACATTTGTTGGTGATTGTATAAGTGACTTTTGTTTAGGGCACCGTGCGAGGGTGTCAGTAAAATTGACTTGTGTTCAGGGCAGCGGTAGAAGTGACTCGTGTTCAGGGCACCGTACGAAGGCAGCGGTAGAAGTGACTCGTTTCGGGGCACCGTACGAAGGTAGCGGTAGAAGTGACTCGTATTCAGAGCAGCGGTTGAAGTGACTCGTGTTCAGGGCACCGTACGACTTGTTCATGAATTGAGAAGTTCTGAGTTCAAATCATGCGCGAAATAAAATTTTAAAAAATTATATTAAAAAATTCAATTTTTTTTATAAATTATACAGGGTGTGAAGGAAGTAACTTTGGACAGGGTTGTATTTTTTACTGTGTGCAAGACCGGATTAAAAAAAATCTATCTTTCTATCTTTTATTTGCATTTTTTCACATTAGAAATATTATATAATTATCATTTGTATCAACAAATCCCCAAAAAACTAAGCATATTGTTTATTAATCCATCTACTAATAACATTTTCAATTACCACGGCAAATCTTTTTAATTTTCCGCACAGATGGACGTATAATACAACGAAAATCTCCTTGTTTAATTGCTTAGATAATAGATAAATACAATTTTACCAATAAACACATTCATTCCGCATATACCTATTAGATATATGCTAATCCTAATAATTGTTACATATTGCACAGCATTCAGCGAATACTCGTATCAAACGCGGAAATACTGTGTGGGAATACGTCGCCGACACAAACAGCAATAGTTTTGCGTAATCTGTGAGTAATTTCCATGCCGACATGGAACGGAAACGGCGGTGGCACATAATGCAGCAACCCAACTCAACTCTCAACTCATGCACACATAGAATTTATTTATAAACCATAATCGTATTTCTATCGTGAATAGCGAATAAATTCGCTGAATATTATGATATGAATAGGATTAGGGTTTTGATAGCGAATTTCAACCGTCGTGTGCTCGTTCGTATTCAATGTTAAGAGTAAAACAAACAGCGGATTTAGGCGAATTAAGGCGTGCATTCTGACGCACAGCGCGCGTTTTCTTTGGCAGCGTAAGGCTTTGTACGTTTTCATTCACTTATTAATAATCCATACCTTACGGAAGCGGTTATTTTTAGACATCACGCGAACGTGCACGGCGGAAAAATCATTAAGCCGCGGGATTTTATTCGCAAACTCGAACAAACAAAAATAAATTGTGCTAAGCTCTAAATGCGGTGGAATTAATATTTAGAGAAAAAAAAACTGATTTTCTGTAATTTTTAAACGAAAAAGTTTCGTTTTTTACGGCAAAGTCTTTATAACTGCGAAATTTATACAACTTAAATGGTTTATATTAATTTTCTCGTTATTGGTGCTTAAATTGCAGTAGATTTAAAATTTAGAAGAAGAAAAGACTGATTTTCTGTAGTTCTTAAAGGAAAAAATTCTCTTTTTAACGATAAACTTCGTATAAAAGCGAAATTTGTATAATTTGGCTGGTTTTTATTAATTTTCTCGTTATAGTGTTACAGTTTCTCTGTGTAATGACGAAAAATATTTCAATTACTAGCAATTATGAACATTTTTAGAATATTTTTTCAAAGACATGTCATCGATGATTACATTTGAAATATTGTTGTAATTATAATCCCAACATCCCTACAAATTGCAATGCAAATTTCTATAACTTAAGCACGATTTTTCAGCTAATTTGTTGGGTGCACGTTATGTTACAACAAAATCATTCAAACATAACACAAGTGAATACAACTGAGCGACGCGGAATTCATATTTAGACTTCAGGAAATATTTACAGGCAATTTTACAAGAGGAATTGAGTTTATAACCAGCGCAACAAAAGATTAAACAGATTCCAATCCGCGTAAAATCCAATATTTATCTAAGAGCGAATTTAATTTCATAATTTAGTAAACCATGTGTATACTAAACTAAACCTCAATAATATTGTCTATTTATAGCCAAATTATGTCATATACCACATCACATCATCGTCATGTTAAATCTAGAAAATATACAAATCCGCGTCGTTAAATGAATAAATAATAATAAAAAAGCATTATACATACTTCTGCGGTATTCAATGACTCGTCGTCTCTCAATTCCAGAGAATTCCAGCGATGAGATAAATAGCATTTATTATGAATCACAAAAATATAATATTTAACTGATATATTTACCCTCTTAATAAAACCTTTGCATATTGCACTATAAAAATATACACACAAACTTTGTTTGATAACCGAACTGTAGACAGTCTCAAATTTACGGTCAAATTTATCTCAGCTTTATTATTGAATTATTTTTTTTTATCAGTTATCACCTTGTGTTGATATAATTGAATTGAATATCAAAATGCCACACATAACTCTCTTATCACCGCCAATTATTATAAGATTTTTTTTAACGTTTATAAACCTGTTTTGTTAAAATAATTCATTTGTTGTGATAAACTCATCAAAATCTAATCAAGATAAACAAGTTTATTAATCGCGGCATTAACTGATAGAACTGACAAAACTCAATTCATATCACATATTATCTAAACTTTTTTTAAAGAATTTAAGCGTTTTTTTTTTGCTTAATTATTTTGTAAAATTTGTTGATTTGTAGATTTTACATTCGGGAAACAATGTAACAGCTCTATATGTAACTGTAACAGTAAAATAACGCCAATTGTGATAAGGCACGAAATATGACTCAATAAATGAAGTTAATGCCAAATGTAAGACGGCGGCGGCGGCGATGGCGACCGCACAGATTACACAAACGCGCCACGATTGTTTGTTATCTGCGCTATAACAACCTGTAAACCGCGCGCGGGAATGATGTGTGCGCCTGATTGAGAAAGCCTTGTCGCACATATTTTACATCATTATTTTACTCTCAAACCTCGACACATCGCATAATTGCATTCGCAATCGACTGGAATAAATATAGGTCTGCACTAAACACAAAATAATGAATAATGCATTTATTTTTTCAACGTTTTGAGGTTAAAAACCACTTTAAAGGTTGTATTTCAGCATAAAAACTAATAAAATTCATCATTTGGTTTTATTTTCGTTTATTTGTCAGATGGTGGCCACATCTGGCCATCTGCTTCGTATATTTTTTTAGATTTTAGTTAGACGTATGCTTTTTTCATAGAATCGTAGCATATTTATTTGATAAATATTAATTTAATGATTTTGTTGTGTTCGTTTATAACGCAGCCGGTTAATCAAATCATACGAGGCACAAAGTGTCTCATGAAGTTGGTAAAACAATACTCAGCGTCGAGTCTCGACGACTCGGATGATGATTTATCCGAGGACGATTTGGTAAGTGTGGTGAATGTAGATTTTCGCGCAATACAATCATGCTCATTGATAAATTTTATGCTTTTATTGGTATTTCCGTGCAAATATTTAAGATGCAATGCGCTGTGAGGGTTTTTCGCCGTTTGGGAAACAATGAAGTCATTATATTGCATCGTCGCGATAAGATAACACATGACTTAACCTTACTTTGGCGCTATTGTAATTTTTAATGCGGTTGGAATGTCGGGATGTATCATTTACAAAGAATTAGTATTTTTTCGTGGGTATCAGGTTTATATATTCATGTACGAGTAGATGTGGTGGATACTTGCGTGCCAATTGTGTGTGTCATTTTTTTTATTTCGCCGGCGTGCTTTGCAAGTTTGAGCGTATGCACAAGACTTTCTATTTGCACGCGGCGAGTGCGCGGCGCGCAGCTTAACGAATCAAGTCTCGGTGTCGCCTCGAAAAAGTTCATTGCCTCGCTTACCGGCGAGAGATATATTCTCGCAATGTTTGCACTCAAAATTTACATTGTTGGCTGTGATAATCGTAATGAGACTTGGACGGAGAGGCTGCGATTTACAACTGCTGTATTAATTATACGGTATACGGTATCACACTTTTATGAATCGTTTAAGAGTTTAATGTAGTAAAAACTATAGGTAGGAAGGTTTTTGAAAATTGTGAGTGATATATTTGAGATTAAGTCAATAACTTACTAGGAAAACTTGAAAAACGTATATTTTTGCTTTAATTTTTAATAAAAAAATATGTGTTTTTGGAAAAATTGTAATATCTACGAAAGTATTTTATGTACAGAGTTAGGAAATATATTGTTTTAAAGAGAAATTTATTGAGGATCTTATGGTTATATAGGATTTGTGAAATTTTGAGAATAAAATAAGAAAAAATACGTTTTTCGAATCATTTTGGATTTTAAATGCAAAAAATAAGGAAAAATCAATTAAAATTTGATTGACAATTGATTTTTTGTGAAATTCTGCGAATTCAAGATAAGAAAAACGTTTTTCGAGTGTCACTACTTTTATTCAAGAATTTTGTGCGATATTTTTGCAATTAAGATATTAGCGACACTTGAAAAACGTTTATTTTGGCTTAAATTAAAAAAAAAACATTTATCTGAAAAATTGCAATATTTTCTATAATATTAAATGCACAACATTAGAAAATATACCATTTTAAAGATAAATTAACTGTGCAATTAATATCTGTAGAAGATTTGTAAAATTTTACGAATATCAGCCCAAAAAACGTTTTTTCAAGGGTTATTTCACTTCTCTATAATTTATTTTGTAAATGTCTTACTCTATTTTTTTCTTTTTGTATTTTTCAATTCTCTAGGACTTTATGTCTATATTTATTGTCGTCGTTGTTGTTTTAAACTGCTGATTGCTGATTGTTGACCGGTTGCGACAATAATTAACCAGAACCGACAAACAAAAATGTCCACGCGTATGTTATTGCTGGGAGAATGTACATACTCGTTACGCAACATTAAAGGGAAATTACCGATGCTTATTTCCATCACTATTACTATAACATTATTACTATTACACACTGGCCGGAGCGTAGCAAGCAGTAGCAGTCCAGTTATACTGTTATTTACTATTTTTCGAAATGGTTCTCCAAACGTCTGCGTTTCGATTTTAATTGCACGTCGTTTTATTTTTATATTTTTCAACGAATCGCAGACGAAACAATCTATTAATATAATATGGGTATAGTTATAGGTAGACAACTAACAGGGTTTTGCATATTTGTTTTACAAAACAAATAATAATGTAATAATATTGAAATTCTAAATAATGCATTTGTTGAATTTTTGAAATTGAATTGTGGTTCCGCTGAATGAATTCGCGCAGGATGTATTTGTTATAGGTATATGCCCAGATGGATAACGATAGGATATTCACTTGATTCACTTGTTGTTCGCTCGTGTCGTATCGAAAGGTTGTAATTACCTGGGCGCTCACGTGCATCCGCACGGCGGTGGTATGGTATCAAACTCGACATCGAACATTAGACAAAACATCACATCAGTCAAATAAAATAATACAGTAGAATCTTGATAACTCGAACCTTGTTAAGTCGTAATCCTCAGTAACTCGAAAAGATATGCTATTCCCTTCCGCTGAACCCCGAACGACGCTCTAACTCGAATTTTTTAGACTCAGTAACTCGAACAATAAGTTATTTCCCTGTGAGGCATTACTCGTACATTTTAATACTCAGTAACTCGAACTGCAAATACTACCTCAGTAAGTCGAAGTTCATAAAATTTTATGATTTCTTACTCGAGATTCCCGGAGCTCAAAACTCGGGATTCCCGGAGCTTAAAACTCGTGGCAATAAAATCAAAAAGGAATGTTCGGGGCTCGGGGCCTCTTATCTATTGTTTTTGTTTTGCACACGTGCAAGGAATGAATTCATTCAATAAACTTTCTAATTTCTAAGAAACACAGATGTTATGTTTCTTCATTTTTGGTCACTTTTGGTTACTTGGCTCAGTCAGTACATATTTGTTTGGCTGTTAACAAGCAACAACATGAGTACAATACAGCAATTGATACACTACGAACTTACATTGAAAGATGTAATGATATCGAGTATCATATATTCGGTTCACTATATGAACTAGAAAAATAATTGATAAAAATCTGTAAATGGCTTGAATCAAACGAAGATAACAGATTTTTATCAATTATTTAAAACATACAGTGTAAGTTCATTCATTATAATTATGTACTTGACTTTCATTTTATGTTACCTAATGTAATTTGTCGTAATAAATGTTCTATGAAATTGTGCCTTTTATGTCGAAATTTGATGAGTTACCTCTTCATATCTTGAAATTCTTGTTAAGTCGAAAACTTGCTATCTCGAATTTTTTTTGGTTTCCCTTGACATTCGAGTTATCAAGATTCTACTGTAATAGTTTATATGAAATGCAGATATAGTTTTTATTTAATTATATAGGTGTACACGAAATAGCTTTGGACAGGGTTTTATTTTTTTTAGTACGCAGGGCCAGATTTAAATATTTATGACAGTTTTTACATTTATTTTACTTTTTTCATATCAGAAATATTAGATAATTACCATACATATCAACAAATCTCCCAAAAATTAATCAAATTGTTTATTAATCCATCTACTAATAACATTTTCATACAAAATGTATGCAAATATCATTACTTTATTTTTTTATTTATTCAACTTGATATTTTGACTCTGTACTCGGACAAGAGTCGAGTGCATTTCGGAATAATAAATTTATTGAAGTTGATGATGATTTACAGTGGTTGTGTGTACTCTGAAGCTCTTTATAATTGGGATCTTGACCTTAAGTACGTGTACGCACGCTATGTGAATGTGGCGGTGCAGCTTTTGCATTTGCCCTCAAGCAAGGACACTTAAATGAAGCATAAAATGAACAAACTGACGAGAATAGAAGCAACAGAAATTTTAGGCTATTTATATATAAGAGTGCTTAAACAACACAACGCACAACTTGCAATTCGCAAGATTCCGCTACAAATTTTACGGGATACAATCAAAGTACAAATTTACCGGATGTAATATTTTTTGTTTTTAACCAGAAACTCCCTATAACGACGAAATTTATGCTGAAACTTGATTGGTTTATATTAATTTCTCTATTATAGTGAAATTAAAATAAAATTTTAAAAATTACATTGTTAGTCATATGTTCGGTATGTATACCGCATGTCCAACATTGGACTATTTTAATATTTGTTGTTTTTCTTTGTTATTTGCTGTAACAAATATTTTAAAACCTTTTAAATGTTTTTTTTAAAGATTTCATCACTATTTCTTCTTAAACATGCGTAATAAACGTTAATCAAATACGTGCTAAACTGACTAAGTGACACGAATACCGAACACACCTGCATTCTACCGCTTCGTCACCTGGGCAGCCAGTGCAAAGTTACCTTACCTGCCTGGCATTGCACGAAGCACACGCGAAGCGCTCGGTCTCTGAGGACGCGCTCGAGCGCTTAATAAAATGCCGTCTGTACCGTTATCATTGACTTATTAACTTTTCACTAATACCACACTCACTTGCAAACGTATTATTAACAAAAGAGTAATACATACAAAAAAATAAAACGCATATGATTAAAATTTTCATAAGAATAAAGTTTTTCTCTTTCAATGAAAAAAAATAAAAACGTTTAGCACGTTTAGAAAATTGTCGTTTATGTAATAAGTAGTTTTTATTACCTTCCCGATCGCATTGAAATCGTAATTAAGCGTGTGTGTATTACGTAATAACGTATACAGTAATAGCAGCACAAACACATTGTGCTCGGTATTATCAACTGCAACAAGCAACCAGCAATCGTGTGATGTGTGTAGTTGAATGGTATTTGTTTGCAAATTTGAACGTTTCGTTTTGCCGATGCAAGTGCAGAACGAATCGGCCGAGGACAATATATTCACGCGACACACAGAACTCGGCTGGTGCAGAGTTCAAGGCTTTCGTACAACTTGCTAATGAACAACTCGTGCAACCAGTGTCACATGCACACATCACATGACTTACTTTTACTATGAACAAAAAATTAAATTTTAAAAATAAATAAAACCCTAATATGTATTCTCTTTTGTGTTACATCTTAACATGTAAAGAGTGGTCCATCGAAAAACTGGGTAAGATTTTATGTTATAAACCGTTGAATTTAATTTTTATAAATTTTTGGTTTTAAAAATGTTTTTAAGTTTTTTTGTTTTAATTTTTAGGTGATGAGCCAAAATGTAAAGAAGGAAAACCCACTGCAGTTCAAATTCCGCGCCAAGTTTTACCCGGAGGACGTCAGCGAGGAGCTCATCCAAGACATCACGCTGCGCCTCTTCTATCTGCAGGTGAAGAACGGCATCCTCTCGGACGAGATCTACTGCCCGCCCGAGACGTCCGTCCTACTCGCCTCCTACGCCGTGCAGGCCAGACACGGCGACTACAACAAAGCGCTGCACACGCCCGGCTTCCTCGCCAACGATAAATTATTGCCACAGAGGTAAACACCTTCAGTTTCCTCTTTTAAATATTCACGCATTCAGCAATTTTATGAAGTTATTTTTGGCAGAGTAGTCGAAGGTACTTTGAGTAAAAGGTAAAACAACAACAAACGTGTGGAAATTAATTAAATTAATTGATTAATTGATAATTTGGGGTTTTGATTGAATTAATAATAAGCTTTTTTAATAAATGTTGTTGTTTTTTGTTTTATTTTGTTTGTTGTGTTAAGTTTTTGTAGTTTTTATTAAATTTTTGTTTGTTTTTTAGAGTTATGGATCAACATAAAATGTCGAAAGAGGAGTGGGAGCAGAGTATTACAACATGGTGGTCGGAGCATCGCGGGATGCTGCGCGAGGACTCCATGATGGAGTACTTGAAAATTGCGCAGGATTTGGAAATGTACGGTGTGAATTATTTCGATATACGTAACAAGAAAGGCACTGAGCTTTTCCTTGGAGTCGACGCGCTTGGTTTGAATATTTACGGCAAAGATGACAAGTAAGTTAAATTTTTCTAATTATTTCTAACAAAGTTTCTAAATTTCTGGATTATTATTACAGGTTAACGCCGAAAATTGGTTTCCCCTGGTCGGAAATCCGTAACATCTCCTACAGCGAGCGTAAATTCATCATCAAACCGATTGACAAGAAAGCGCCGGATTTCATGACGATCGCGTCGAGCGTGCGCGTCAACAAGCGCATCCTCGCCCTCTGTATGGGCAACCATGAGCTATACATGCGCCGCCGCAAGCCGGACACCATTGACGTGCAGCAGATGAAGGCGCAAGCGCGCGAAGAGAAACTCGCCAAGCAGCAGCAACGCGAAAAGCTCCAATTAGAAATTGCAGCGCGTGAGAAAGCCGAGAAAAAACAGCAGGAGTACGAGGATCGCATCAAGGCGATGCAGGAGGAGATGGAGCGCAGTCAGGCTCATCTAATGGAAGCGCAAGAGATGATTCGTCGTCTTGAAGAGCAACTCAAACAACTGCAAGCCGCCAAGGAAGAATTGGAAAAGCGGCAGAACGAGCTGCAGCACATGATGGAACGCCTCGAAGAATCCAAGAACATGGAAGCAGCGGAAAGGCAGAAACTCGAGGACGAAATCAAAGCCAAACAGGTGGAGGTACAGCGCATCCGCGAAGAAGTCGAGGTTAAAGACAGCGAAACAAAACGTCTACAAGAAGAGGTTGAGAATGCTAGGCGCAAAGAGGAGGAATTACGAGAGAAACAGATGGCTAATGCCGCTAAAGGACACTTGGAGGAGAATCAACACGATGAGGATGAAGATGAGATTGTCAATGGCGATCTCATCAGTAAGGAGTTGTACACCGATGAGAACATCATCGATCCGGTTAAAGATCGTCGTACACTCGCCGAACGCAACGAACATCTACAGGATCAATTACTCGCGCTCAAACAGGACCTTGCGCAGACGCGTGACGAGTCCAAGGAAACGCTCATGGACAGAATACACAGAGAAAATGTCCGCCAGGGGCGCGACAAGTACAAGACGTTAAGGGAGATCCGCAAGGGCAACACAAAACGCCGCGTCGACCAGTTTGAGAACATGTAAATGTTCAACGAGATGACAATCCACACACAACTAGTACACCAACCTACTACGCGAACATTATTTTTTTGAAACGAAAGCAAATAATTTTTATCCTGTTTAGTATTTTCTAAGGATTACTACTACTCTGCAAGCATGTCTTTTTCTATATTGATATATATAGAGCAGTGAGGTTAGATAGGCAGCCAGTTAACCTCACGCGCACTCCACGTATTTAACTAAAAACAAATCTAACCTATTTCGAACAACTTAATGCTCAATACGAAGTTGTAACACACGCAAACACCGCGCGAAACTTAATTATTACAATAATTGCATTCGATTGCATACCTACTCCAATTAGAAATTAACTTTAACCATTTGATACTACACTTATTATATACATATACATATTGCATCAATTACTATGTGGAACTATTTTTATATGTGTATCTGCTGTAAGATATCGATAGGAAAATTGCCTGTGCCTATTAAGTGACCTTAAAACACGAGCAGCGGGAGCGTTAGTTAACATGTTAGCAATGAATGAAGTTTTTGGTTTGATCGAATCAAAATTTATGAAACACGAGAATGATCTAGAGAAGAAGCATTCCACTATCTAAGTTAGTGCCATCATTACTTACAATCTAAAGTGAAGATCTTAAACACACTGCAACTGGCAACGAAAACATTGCGTCTATGTTTTTGTTGTTGATTTTTTTTTGGGGGGGAAATTAATTTCGGTTGGTGCTTCCATTTTATTAGGTTTTTTTTTGTTTGAATTTTGAATACTTATCCATGTTTCTTTGTAAATATAGCATATTTCGCATTGCGTTCGAAAAAACTCCACACACAACTCGTCGAAAACGATAGCAAAATCCAATCATGTGTACATAGGAAATTAATTACTAACCAACACAATTAGTTAACTCGTTATGTGTCGAAATTCTAAACTGTTATGTTATTGATTATTAATGTTTTTTCATCATGTAGCATCGAAGCGATATCGAATTTCTGAGCGCAAGCATATTTTCTATATAAGTGTACGTCCGAATCGTTGTTCGGATACTTTAATTTATTATTATCAAGTGAAGAGACTATAAACATCTCCATTCTCCGGCATTGACACGACTGTTTGTTACAGTGTTGATTGTGGTTGACACACCAGTTTGTTTCACACCTCTGAACGATGAAGGATTATTGTGGTATGGGGGGCACATAAAGATTTATTATCCTTTGTATTTTTACAATTGTTGTTCACGTAGTCAATTATACAAGCACGTGTAGCGGCGAGTGCAGGAAAATCACACACACATAACACTTGAAACACTACTACTACTTCCATTTCGTTTTTGTGAGCGTCGATATTTATGTTTTCTGGCATTTACGATATTTTTGTCATTATATTTCGATTGGTATTAGCGCACGAGATTAATGGAGGGCAAAAGCCGATGCAAGTGGCATTGTTATTTTTAACGTCATTGGCTTATTGAATCGAGAAAGTATTTACAACTTTACGGAAATTGTACTGGCATAACATACATTTGATTGTAAAATTTTTGTTTATTTGATTTTTTTCTTTGTATTTCCTAGGGTATTAATACAATAATATTAAAACAATTTTTTAGTTTGCATTATTGCGTTTCCAAGACTGTCCGCTGACTGCCGGTCATGACTCTCAGTCAACTCTCCTCCAACTTACAATTTAATTGAAAGTATATTGACTTTAGGAACAAAAACTTTGCTGAAATTAGACTAATAATACACATTTTTTGTAGAGTGTGAATTTTTTACGTTTTCTTTGTATTTCCTGTATTAAAACAAGTTTAATTTGTAGTTATTGTTTTCAAGACTGTCCACTGACTGGCAGTCATGACTTCCAGTCTGCCCCTCTACCAATTTACAATTTAACTTCACTGCAACAAACGAAAAGTAAACTAACCTAAAATTTCACACATTAATACAAAAATTAGTTATAACATAATAATGGAGTTGAAAGGGCTTGAAAATGATCCAGCTGTACATACAAAACTGACCAATTTTAGATTATCCATTGATAAAATGGAACATATTCTAGAAAATGCACTAAGTGAAGAGGTAATGAAGGATTTAAATCTCAAAGATCGCTTGAATCATGATTTATTTATTGCATACATGCTAAATACTTTGTATTGGTGTTATTTACGCTCAAAAGGACTTGATCCTAACACCAACAAAGTCAAGGAAGAGATTTCACGTGTGCGTCAATATATGCTTAATGCCAAACAGGTAATTATTGTAAAAATGTTAAGTATTATAACTTTGTGTTAAATAAATGTCTGTTTTAGGCTATTGACAGACATACAATTAGGAAAACAGTGAACCAACCAGTTGCTGAAAGGATAATCAAGCATGGCATTCAGAAAATGGACTCAGGAAAGAGGAAACATGATGGTAAAAATCCTACTAGGGATGGACCATCACCAAAAAAACACATGCATAAATCTAAATAATCTTCTCATATAAATAAATTGTATTTTGTAATTTTCCAGTATTTATTACTTTTCTTATTTTAAATGTGAAAATCACGCATGTGTAGTTTTGTTTCACATGCTTTCTCATAGAGGGAGTTCTGGGTTGCATATTGTTGCATATCCATGTAGGCGTGCGCAGTTTGTGTGCGTGAGCGAACTATTTAACTCCGAAGTGATGTTAGAATCACTCGAAAAACCGTTAAAAAACCGCGTCTTTCTCGTATTTCCCGCAAATTTTCAATTAAATTGTGCCCACGCTGGACAACCGTCCCTCGCTGTATAGTCTTTAGTATCAATCACCAACGTCGAGACGATTTATTTAGTTTTTAAGCCTACCACACCGTTTTAAGGTTAGTTGAACATCCAAAACTTAAATCCTAACATCCAATTTTATTTCGTAAATTATCCACAGATGCCTAAACGAAGAAACAAAACGCTTGGGCAAACTGAAAGTTCATTAACCACCGAGAATTTTCGAATATATCTAGACGAAATCATACGAGATTTCATCAATGATCCAGAGAGAAATGAGTTAGAATTCCCCAATAATTACTCTAAGATAATGCGAGCCTACATTCATGATAAGTGCCAGAAGCTAGGCATTAAAAGCAAGTCACATGGAAAAGACCCCAATAGAACTCTGTCCATTTACAAGAAAAACGTTCTGCACACAGCTGAAGAGATACCCTTGAATTTATACACCTCTACTCATCAAATTCTGTCCAGAATTCAACAGTTACGCGTCGTGCGCAACGTGGAGTATAAACGCATCAAGGTGCAATGTGATAGTATCAACAAGGTGTATCAGGGCTCCGTGACACAGGTACGTCCGGTTGTGAATAGTCAATTCACGGAGTTCCGGAAGTCGTTGCCGATTTTTCAAAATCGCCAGCTCATTCTGGACACGATACGCAACAATCCGGTCGTCATTGTTAGCGCGGAGACCGGATCGGGTAAAACAACGCAGATTCCACAGTTTATCATTGAGGAGGCGGCTGAACTCAATAAAGAAGTGAGGGTTATTTGTACACAACCAAGAAGATTGAGTACTGTCGCTGTTTCTGAACGTGTTGCTGCTGAAAGGTAAGTTAATCACCATTTTCACTTAAAAACTTATTTTTATCATGATTTATAACGTTTTTATTTGTGTTTAGAGGTGAACAAGTCGGGCAAACTGTCGGTTATCAAATAAAATTAGAACAAAAACTCGGCGTTGAGACTGCAATCATCTACTGCACGAACGGAGTATTGCTGCGTACTTTAATGAGCGGTGAAGAGTGTTTCAAACACATAACGCACGTAATCGTGGATGAAATTCACGAGCGTGATAAATTCACCGATTTTCTTATGATTATCCTACGTGAGAGTGTTAAGAAATTCCCGCATCTTCGATTAGTCTTGATGTCAGCCACGATGGACATGGACGCATTCGTTCAGTACTTCGAAAACAAAGCTTGTGTCCTATCTGTTGAAGGAAGAAGTTTCAGTTGTTGTTCCTGGTTCCTCGAAGACATTCTACATCATATCAACTATGAAAATTCGCGAATGAAAGAATTGCGACAATTACGCGAGCGTAACGGAGCCCCTGGTCGAGTTGTAACTAAAGTAAAACCACAAGAATCCTACGCCGAATTGGATGACGAATGTAAAATGGACGTCAATGAAGTTCTAGCGCGATGTTTCGACCAAGGCACGGATGCTGAATTCGATGAGTTGATGCAGATGTATCTGAATGAGAATGTCAGTCCGAATTATCAAGATTGGCACGGGAAGACCGCTCTGATGGCTGCGTCTCGTCATGGTAACTTTAGAATAATCGAACAGTTGTTAAACATGGGCGCGGATATGTTTCTGTCTTCTGCTGAGGGTATAACTGCGTCTGGTTTTGCACAGCAGGCAAATAATATGGATGTGGTGAATATGTTATCGTTATATCAACAGACAAACCCCGCGCAGGAGATGTTTATCAATGAAAGCGGTATTCTTGCTGATTACGATCGTACTGTCAACGATGAATTCGTCGATTATGAATTGATTCTTGAAATTATTAAACATATTCATTATAATCTCGATAAGGAAGGCGCCATATTGGTATTTTTACCTGGTTATGAGGATATAGTTGCATGTCAGGATAGAATTATGTCCTCAAACATGCCACAACATGATTATAAACTGTTTATGCTGCATGGCAGTATGCAGATTCAACATCAGCATGATGTGTTTCAAAAATTCGCGAATAAGCAAAAGATTATCTTGGCCACGAATATTGCCGAGACTAGTATCACCATTGATGATGTCCGGTTTGTAATTGATAGTGGTAAAGCGAAGATTAAGTCTTATGATGCAAGGACTGGTATTACTTCGCTGAAAAGTGAGTGGATTTCTATGGCTAATTCAAGGCAGCGTGCGGGACGCGCCGGGCGTACACAAAATGGCTACTGTTTTCATTTGTATTCAATTAATCGATATGAGTCGTTTTATGTGAATCCGATTCCGGAGATTTTACGCACTCCATTGTATGAGCTTTGTTTACAAACGAAAATGTTGGCGCCTCAGGCGATGTCAATTGCGGAGTTTTTAAATCTCGCTATTGATCCACCGAAGAACATTGCTGTGGAAGAAGCGATTGCTACTTTGAAGTGTCTCGGCGCATTGAATGAGTATGAAGCGATGACTGAACTTGGGGAGCATCTGGTACAGTTCTCGATTGAACCCAGATTGGGGAAGATGTTGATTTATTCAGTTATCTTCAAGTGTTTGGATCCTGTTTTGACTATTGCGGCTTCCATGGCACAAAAGTAAGTTTTTCTTATGATTGTGGTTGTAAAAAAATTAATTTTGTTTTTGTTTGTTTCTATAGAGATCCATTTATGTTACCATCACAAGCCCATTTGAAACAACAAGCATTGGATAAGAGAAAGAGCATGGCGGAGGATTCCCTCAGCGATCATATGATTTTCATTCGTGCTTTTCAGTTGTGGCAAGACCACAAAATCCAAAACCGTGGCTATCAATTCTGCAATCAGAATTTTATAAGTCCAGCTGTAATGGAACTGATTACACTGACAAGATCACAACTTCTTAGTCAACTTAGAGCGATGGGTTTCGTACAGGCCAACCCCAAAGAGAATATTTCTGAATTAAACGCTAATTCTAATAATTGGGCCATAGTAAAATGTTGCCTAGCCGCAGGTCTTTACCCTAATGTTGCATTTTACAATGATCGCAACCTTCACACGCGGATTGACAACGTTTTCATCAGTGGGCAATCTTCCTTGAAGGGAACCATCTATGATGGTAAGGGTTACGCACCGATTAAACGCGCTTGGCTTGTTTTCGATGAGATTTCCAAGCCGCGAATTAAAACAACCATTAAATCTGCAACTGTTATTACACCATTGACTATTGCGTTGATTTGTGGTCAACATACTCAGGTGACCGATGGTTGTTTATTGCTTGATCATGCGTATGCACTTATGTTAGACAATCGTCAGATTGTTACCCTGAGAAATAACGTGCAGCATGTTATTTATAAAAAGATTCGCGCACCGCATTTACGTTTGAGTTACGAAGAGGTTGAAACATTGAAGTTATTAGCGAGTGTTATGACTTCAGAAGAACAGAATTATGAGCTACATGCTCCGGAAGGTATTGGCAAACGTCCGAGGATCACAGACATGGCTATCAAGACTCGTGCGCATCATGAACATAACTATAGAGAACACAATAATTCTGGTGGTTTCTATCAACAACAACAACAACGTGGACCGTACAATAATTACTACGATGCTGGGCCCTCTCGACGTCACGGATCGTATGACAGCCGAAAGATATTTTCTTCCAGTGCGTTGTATTTTATTATTCAGCCATGGGAAGAGAAGAATATTACAATTGGGATTAAGCAGAGAATGTGGACTTTTACACCGCAGACGGAGAAGAAACTATTTAAATATTTTGCTGTAAGTTTTTGTTATTTTATTTTTTACTTACTCAGACAATAATGTTTATTAATTTATTTTTGTTTTGTTTTAGGAGGGCCGCACGATATATTTAATATTCCATGCGCGGAAATCACCCGAATTGTATGGAGTTGGACGACTTATGGATATAAACCAAGTAAATCACAATAAAGCTTGTTCGATTGAATGGTGTACATCAAATAAAATTCCATTGTTTAAAGTCAAGTAAGTTTAAATGCAATTATTGTTAATAAGTTACTGATTATTTGTTTGTTTAGACATTTTATTCATGAAAAAGTTCACCTGCAACAAGACGGCTACGAGTTGGATTCCCAAGTTGGACAGCAACTGTGCACGGCAATATATGAACATGGTCCGCATCGATTCCGCTTCAATGCGAATTGCGGCCCCCGGCCGATTTTGGGTAACAACACTCGAGCGGGGCCCAGCAGGCAATATTAATCTAGTGGAAAGTGTAGAATGAAACAAAGTAAATCTATTTTTATATATAAATTGCATGACTTCGGTATGGAAATCATCGTTTAGAAGACTGCCATTATTATATAACAAGAGTTAATGTTATTCGGTTTTTAATTTTTTTTTTTTAATTCAACGGGAATTGTTTTTGATTTTTACGCTGTGTTTCAATCACTTTTCTTATTGAATGCGTGCAATTGAATATTTATCTTTTTACATTCGTGCACTATATTTGCGCAACTGTAGATGAACAGATTTGGAAACTCTTTTGGTTGGTTTTATTTTAAACTTAAGTTTAAGTGAGGATCATTCGGATCGAAACTATACAGATTTGTTAAATCAATAGCTTAGATATGGAAACACTTGTGATTTTTATGTTATAGTTATATGAATCTTTTGTAGACGCGCTGTGTAAGCGTGATGGATTGGTTCTTTGAACTGTATACATTTTTGTATAAAATATGCTTGAACAAGCCTAGGCTTGGATATAAAATATGATCTTTAACTTAAAAACTATAGAAATTTATATGTACAACCGCTACTGTTTGTTCTGTATTATTATTTTAGTATATTTAATAAATTTGAATTGTTATTTCTTATTTCGGATTGGTTTTATTTGTATTTTGTACCCTTTTTTCAGGATTTAAAAAGAATACATGGTTTCTCAGGGTCTAATTGTAGTTTATGAGACCCTTAATAAGATGTAGACCCTTTTCAGACCTTAAATTCCCCGGAAGTGACCTAAAATGCCCTTTGAACATTGCAATTTTTTACAAATTTTACAAATTTCTGAGAAAACACCTTGTATCTCCTGCACCAACAGAGCAATTTATGGTTTCTCACCGTCTAATTATACCTGAAAGGACCCTTTATAAGATGTATGCTCTTTCCAGACATTAAACTTACCGGAAGTGCTCTAAAATGCCCTTTAAACATTGTTATTTTCTGCAAATTTCAAAAATAAGTGGAAAAACACCTTATATCTCCTGAACAAAAAGAGCAATTAAGGGTTTCTCAGCGTTTAATTGTAGGTTAAGAGACCCTTTATACGATACATATCTTGTCCTCCCTGTAAATCCTTAGGAAGTGCCCTAAAATGCCTTTTAAAACTTGGGCATGTTGCGCGCTAGTTCTCAATTTTTGCTCGAAAGACAGGGTCGAACTAACATTATAAAATATTTTTGCTCGAAGAACAGGGTCGAACTTTTTCTTAAAATTATTTCCTGCCGAAATCATTTAAAACTGTTGAAACACAAACAACATAAAAAAGAGAAATCTTTTGCCTTTTTTATGACTAAATCTTTTCTTATCTTTTTCACGTCGAAAACAAATTGTTTTTATTTAAATTGCAATTAGGGCCTAAACGGTTGACGATAGCAAAAAAAGTTACTAATATAATCGATGTAGAATTAAATTTTCTGTCAGAATCCGGAAACAGAATTTCAAAATTCCAACTTTTAATTTTCAACATAAAAAAGAGAAATCTTTTGCCTTTTTTATAACAAAATTTTTCGTTAAAAATTTTTTGTGCCATTTTGATGTTTTTTCAATAAGGATGCCATCTTGTAGAGAATTTTTCAAGGATCAAGAATATGTAGTTCATTTTTTTCTAGTCCTCTTAGTTGTCGAGATAATTACCATTTAATCTTTTAAATTCGACTATTCCGACGGCATGCACATGTTTCATTAAAAATGTAAATAGGGCCTAAACGGTTAATGCTAGCAAAAAAAGTTACTAAAATAATCGATGTAGAATTAAATTAAGTATCAGAAGCTGAAAACAGAATTTCAAAATTCCAATTTTTAATTTTCAACATTATTAATTAGATTATTAAATCGTAATTATCTCGACAACTAAAAGGGCTAAGAAAAAAAGAACTTCATATTCTTGATCCTTGAAAAATTCTGTACAAGATGGCATCATTATTGAAAAATATTAAAAATGGGCACAAAAAAATTTTAAGAAAAATATTTTGTTATAAAAAAGGCAAAAGATTTCTCTTTTTTATGTTGAAAATTAAAAGTTGGAATTTTTAAATTCTGTTTTCGGATTCCGATAGATAAATTAATTCTACATCGATTATTTAAGTAACTTTTTTTGCTATCGTTAACCGTTTACGCCTTATTTGCCATTTAAATATAAAATTTGTTTTCGGCGTGAAAAAGATAAGAAAAGATTTCGTCATAAAAAAGGCAAAAGATTTCTCTTTTTTATGTTGTTTGTGTTTCAACGGATTTAAATGATTTCGGCAGAAAATAATTTTAAGAAAAAATGCGACCCTGTTCTTCAAGCAAAAATATTTTATAAAAATAGTTCGACCCTGTCTTTCGCCGGAAATTAATGCAGTCACCAATGCAAAACTCTAAATTGCTCTATATTTTCAGTTGATACAGGGTGTTTTTCTCCTCACATTTTCAAAATCTGAAAAATAGCAGGTTTCGAAGGATATTTTAGGGCAATTCTTCTAGATTAGTAATAGTCATAATTAGTAAAAGGGTTTAGGTATACAAATGAAAAGCAAATACAATTTTAACATGATTTATTTGTTGATAACAAGACAAACAATCACATTCTACAGCATACAAAGTGTGATGGCTTACAATCCCTCCTGAAAACAAAACGGAATACATCTTTAAACAATATATTTTGTACAGAATTTACTCACGAATTATCTATTATGCCACTACGGCAAAGTTCTTCTGACGTACACTTACAACCAATATCATGGTCAACATGCACGTTAAGTGCAATGCCAAACATAAATAAATATAAACTCATAAAGAGTAAAACCAGAAGAGTATGATACAGCCGCATGATCAAATTATTTATTGTAGTTATTTTATTTTACTGACTTGGATAACCAATGTATTAACCTTTTATACTAGTTTACTATCGAGAAATTTTAAAACAAGTCCGGTGATAAAATAAACATTAACTATAGTTGATATAAACAACCATTACACAAAGAAAACAATGAAACAATAAACGTTTTTGTTGTTCAACCAGTTTAGTTATAAAAAATATCATTTATGGATGAAGAACAACTTTAAAAGACCTTAAAAATGTGTATATTTAGAAGCAAATGTTTGCCCATCATCTAGCATAACAAACATTTAACCAACTGATGAAATTTACAAAGTTAACAACAAATCAATCACTCAACAACCTTATCACAAATGAATTTCATAAGTTAAATTTCCAACACGTGAGTGTACACGACTCTAGAAAAATATTTTCCGCTTCCCATGGCTAAGTTTACAATAACAAGTGTTAAAGTGTCAAAATCTCAATGTTAACAACCCTCCATATTTTCAAAAACCAATCATTACTCTTCACTCCATTGCAGTTATTTTAAACGAGTGAGTGTTAATTCTTTGTAAAATATCAGTTTTATATAGCAAAAATACATAAAATAAAATAAAGTAAAAATAGCGCTTCAATCATCCCGAGTTCAAGTTAAACCAGAGAAAATCCTTGCGTCTGTTGAATCGCCTGCAGGAGTTTGTATTTCAGTCTTTCTTTGGTTTTGTAGCGTGGGAGATCTAGTAGATTGAAGCAGGTATGAGCGACTGGCAAATATTTATCATCGTTTGTCGGTTGGATAATAATCTATATAAACAAAACAATAATAAAAACGTTAAAATGTGATTTTAAATTATACAAAAATATGTTTACCTTGATATCTTTCATTCCTTGGATAGGAATCCTATCACTTCCGGTTAAATACAATAAAAACTTCTTTTTCTCCGACAGCGGCAACTCGTGCAACACCTCCCAGAACCACCTGATGACTTTATCAGACGAACGGTAGCCATTTTTATACTGGGCGCTCTCTTCCAGGGCATCCCAATCGTAATTTTCATTCCCAATGACGACCGACATCAATTCATGAGAATGAAAGAGTGTTAATACTCGCCCACCGCAAACTTTCATGAAACCAGATGAAAATGCTTCATATGGAGCGGCGACTGATGTGTTGAATAGGTAGTCTACATACAAGGTAACATATTCCTGCCTAGATAAACATACAAACAAAACAAATAAATTTTCATGCATAAATATACTTTCCTTTATCACTTACTTATTTTCCTGTGTGACTAGAATATTTTCTCCGTGAGGTTTGAGTGGTATGCTCTTCATTTCGCCGAAAGCCTCGTGAGTCACCTCAAAGTTCAATCCAAAAACATCACTGATATCGGCGTCTTCATAATCCAAAAGCGATTGCAACGAATTGGCTACAGTTGGAGATAATCCTTTGACATCCACCAATCCTACAGGTTCCTTTAGGAGTTTTTTGTAGAGCGCCAACGGGAACGGAATGTCGATGATAGTAAAATTATAGATCGCAAGACCGCAAAGTTGACCAATAAACTGATACATGGCAGCGTCTTCCAAGGAATCCTGCGAGAACCAAATCGAACGCGTTTCTTCGTATTCTTTAAACATGCCATATTTAGGATCTAGAATTTCTCTTAATAGAAGAAGGAAAAATTCTTTTCGGACACCGCCTGCATCTTCAGCTTCTTCATCTTTAAACTTTACCTATACACGATAATACAATTTATAAAAGTTCATAAAAACAAAATAATTTCACTTACTTTTAAAGGTTTTTTCAAATCAGAAGGACTTTGCATCGCCAGTTGAGTCAATGCATCCTCCACCAAGCGATCGCGGCTGACCTCTAACATTAAATAGGTGTTTAAGGCGTTAAATTGGAACGAATTTGTCATCAAAAGTGCCATCACCGCATTTCTAGCGGACTCCTGCATGGCTTCGTCCATTTGAATGTGTTGATCGGTTTGCAACAAGCACGTTTTAGCTTGGGCGTCAAAAATAAAGGGATAATTACACAGATAAAATCGATTCTGAAACAAAAAGCAACAAAATCACACAACTTTTCATGTATTTTTTAAAATTTTCTTTGATTACCGATGAATCTGTAAGCCACGCGACGTAGTCTAAGCGAATATCCAAGTATTCCGACAAGTCGTTGATGTGAAACGTATCATAAGGCACTTTCAATCCGCCCTCTTGTTCGTTCATTTTGCTCAGGAAGTCCAACAAGTTCAAAGTTGCAATCAGACTATCATCAATCAGGATAACCTTCAATTGATTACAAATTAAAAAATAAACTATCTGCAATTTTTAAACTTACACCATTTGGTAAAACATTTTGACTCATAATCAAATAAGACGCCACACTCTTAAACATATTCACCAACTTCTCAAAGTATTCATTCGGCGAATTCGACCACCAAGTTTTCACAACTCGTTTGGCCTGCTCGTTTAAATTCAGCACGGAATTCGCGAATTGTCGCTGCAACTTTACGTGTCGTTTCGGATTGTTAAACTCATGATAAAATGGCAGCAATAGGTAAATACGCAACACTTCAACATCCGGTGGAGATCTTGTTAAACTACGCATTAAATCTTCTGTAATCGCGTTAAAAATCTACAAATTTACCTCTAACAAATCTCAACAAACGTAAAATTTGTTTATAAACATACCACATGTTTAACAGATTCATTCTCAATCTTCCCAATCATGTTAAACACTTCCTCGGCAAGATCCAGTTGAATGCCGTGATGTTTACTATTACAAAAGTAATGCTCGTCATTCGGTTCGAGAAAAGAACCGTTGAAACAAGCAAGGTTTTTGAACACAGTCTCAAGATAACCGATCAAATCTTGATCGACCTTGCTTTCGGGTAGTAGCATTACGCACGCTTCGATTTTCTCTTGATCAATCGTCAAGATTTGACTATTATCTGCAAAATCACGATTGTCGTATGGTTGCACAACGCTGCAATTAAATGTACGTTCCAGAAAACAAGAAATCAAAGAAAAATCGCTATGTAAACGTTTTTAGCAAAATATTTTTAAGACTTTTAAAGACGTTTACACTCAAAAATGAAATAATTGTACATACCTATCGATTGGATTTACCCTGGCAAAACAATGATCACCACCAGCAAAGACCCTAATCACCTTCACTTCTGGAGGGACAGGATCCATGGATAAAGAAGTATGTGATGCAGAAATCCAAGGCCCAAACACAATGTGAGGTGTGGATGAGTTTCCTGTCCAGTTACGTCCTAGTTGTCCCGCACCACCCAAACCAAAACTATACAACTTGCCTCTGGACGGAATAAATGCCAATGTATGCTGACGACCGCATTGCACCTGAGTTATCGTCGATCCCATCAACTCAGACACTTTTCTTGGAAGCATCTCACTGGAAATCCCACCGTGACCCAATTGACCAGAACTACCAAGCCCACAAGTGAAAACCCCGCCGTCCATTGTCAAAAATGTAGAAAAATCTTCACCGCATGAAATGTATCGCACGCGAATACTGCGCAGGGAACGCAATTGACATGGATACATCTTGGAATTTATATCATTAATGCCCAACTGGCCATTGATATTCTTTCCCCAACCGAAGACAGCGCCGGATTTTGACACGGCGAATGAATGATTACCGCCACATGCGATAAATGCAACTGGTACACCGAATAAAGACGCGATCAATGTTGGATTACCTTCTGATTCTGATAGGTAACCAATACCAAGTTGTCCATAGTTGTTACAACCCCATGACATTAATTCCCCACCTTTTAAAAGCATCAAAATATTAATTTTCATAAAAAAATTAAATTATGTAAAATAAAATATACTTACTGCTGGTTAATGCTAAACAATGCCTTTCACCACTAGCAATCTGTATGATGTAATATTTCGCTAAGTGTTTAACAATTTTCGGTTCTTCCATCATATTTACATTTGAAATCCCAAGTTGACCAAATTTATTTGAACCCCATGTATACACCTGACCCCAACTGTTCAATGCCATCGAATGCGATATCCCACACGCGACGCTAACGATATTATAGTCATTAAGCTTTGTTACAAGTTCTGAAAAAATCTCATTAATGATAAAAATAACTTGAAAAGAATATTGCAGGTGGAATTTAAAGGAAGTGATATAAAGCACATACTAAAGTAAAACATACGTGGCCGTTTTCGTGGTTTATCATGTCCTAGCTGTCCATAATCATTGTTTCCACAGGAGAACACTTTGCCTTCACTCGTCAGCATAAGTGTATGTGTGAACCCACAGGCAATATTCACAACTGTTTGTGCTTCGGCCCATTGAAGTGCAACCGGCGTGTTGATGATTTCTTCCTCAACACCGCCCAAACCCAACTCGCCATTTACAGTTGAGCCCCAGGCGAACATTTTTTCAGGGGTTTTGAATAATTTTATACAATGGTTATGTGAAAAACTAAATCATGACGCTTAATAAAAGGATTGAATATTAATCTTGGCCCAGTTACAACATTGCGCACATTGTGATTAGTATTTGTGTTTTGTTAACTGTTAATTTAACGCGTAATTACCTCAAGATTGGCGATTTTTGAACAGGAATGAACTGAATGGTGGAAACGTCACAATTTTAGGTTGGGATTGTGAAGTGTACGGCACCGGTATGATGAAATTACAAAACGAACAGGCAGACACAAGTTGCTCTACATTCCCACTACTTTTCCAGAATGATCGAGAATACAAAGCTTCTAGAAACTTTTCTTGAGGAAACTTCTTTGAAATATTATGCAATACATTTATATTTCAGTTTTTAAATTGAATTTGATCAATATTAAAACTCTAAACCATGTAAAACAAAGAAAAAAACTATAAAAACGTTTAAAAACATGGCGGAAAATGAAAATATCGACCATTTTGTTTTGTTTCCGTTTGAAAATTAAGTAGCTTGGTACAATTATTGCAAAATAAAACGTCAAACAAATCAAATTAATCAAAACCAACTAACAAAACGTACATCTTACAAAATGGTCGACAAATACAACTTAAACCTAACCGGATATCCCTTATTCCGCTTAGAGAACCTCTCAGATTCCGGAATAAACCTCGGTGACCTTACCATCGCCATTTGCATCCTAATAACCGTATACTTCCAAAAACTCCTTGGCTTGGTCCGAGTATCATTCGGTGAGCACTTTATCATCACAGCTCTAGCCGTCCCCGTCGCCATAATCAACCTCTACTCCTCTGGTGACACTTGGTTAGTCTCCAGTTCAACCCCACGAGATATAATCGCCATGCTTGTACCTTTGACGATATTCGTCAGTGTCTTCAACGCAGACCTACATATTCTCCATCAATGCCTACCACAAGTCCTGCTACTAAACACAATTGGTGTATCTGTATTCGTACTCCTCTTTGGATTCGCCATGAGCTGTGCATGTCTCCGAGAAATCCGCTGGGATTATATCCTGTGTTATGGCATGGCTATGGTGAGCAGTGACAGTCGCATTCTGTTGAAAGTCTTGAGGACAATTGACATACAAAGCACTACATTGGCATTGCTCTTATCAGAATGCGTGACGACTTTTGCTAATTCATTGATTATAATTGATATTTACATGGGGTATGCTGATGGAACTGTCACCACGATATACCAGATTGTGTTTATTCATAGCAGGATGACATTTCTGGGATTATTAGTTGGATGTTCCTCTGGTAAATTATGCACATTGGTGATTAACCCAAAGATACACAATCATAAATACCTGATTATGACTTGGATCATCATGGCGTACATTATGTACATCATCTGTGAAGGTTTCATGTTCTGTTCCGGGTCCCTGGCGGTGTTATCCTTCGCCATTTTCATGAGCACCGAGAAAAACCGCGTGGCTGTTTCTGCATTTCAAAAATGGAGTTTATCATCGATAGTTGGCACTTTATCATCACCGCTTTTGCTTATTTAGTATCAGTGAGCAATAGCTCCATGTTCCTCATACAATTCTTCAACATAAAAATCATTTTCCTCTCTTTATGTGCCTACATGTTCCGGTTGTTTGCTCGTAGCATGGTTGTCCTCTGCATGTACCCATTTTTATTCTGGCATTCAAAATGCAACGCTAATACAGTTCTCCTGATGATATTATCACGCAGGGGAGTTTTGGAATTGAACAAAGTGCAGATATTACTACATCATTCAAAATCACACAAAATGATTCAGGAATCCGCCTCGGTGACGTTGATATTAATGACGTTGGAAGTGTTGATGAATTACACGCTGGTACAGACATGTATCAAGAACTTCGGGGCTAATGTTGTGAGTGTTACACGAATGACAAACATTGCTAGTTGTTGTGATATGTTGACGAGCAAGAGGATTATCTACATGCATATGTTCCAAATGGATCGGCAGTTTGGTGATGCCAATTGGAAAGTGATACAAACCGCCACCGAGTTGTTGGATTCTGAAAAATTGAATTATGGGAATCAGGAGAAGCAATCCTATGGGTTTAAACCTAGTTGTCTTGAATGTCAAGCTTATACTGGCTTGTTAATGACACAATATGAAAAAAACGAGAAGTTAAAGTATAGTTAACATAACCTAAACTAAACTAACCTCAAATTTATGCTATTTTGGTTATTTTTTAGGGAATTAAGAGTTTTAGTGCTTCGTACCCAAAGAGTATCTTTCATCCGTCAACGTGAACGTGGATTAATCTTAAAATCAGACCTAAAAGGACTTTTCAACGCCCTGGATGTAACAAGTGTCTCAAAAAGCATCCATATTGAAATCCCTGAATTATCTATTCTATACCAAAGATCCCACGAACAGAACCTCAAAAAACTACTGGTGAATATAAGTGAAGATATGCAAACCGCCATGCCTACCAATAACCTCAAATACGTATGGAAAATACTCTTACACCCCGCGTACGAGATAATAATCTATTTGTTCATCGTCCTGGACGCTTTTCTCTTCTTCAATCTTTTATATCTCGATTGTCGCTTTGATTTACTCTTCCTGATACCATACAGTGTGTTTGTGATAGACGCCATTTTAAGAATCATGTTATTCTACAATACGAACGTGGATTCCAAAGCTTCCGAAGACATTTGGAACATATTCGATGCTTGCATGATGATTGTCAATACAGCCGAAGCAATCGTATTCACTTTTAAAATGTTATGTTCACGATTCAATATTTTTGGTTATGTAATATTCATGGGGATAATGTTCATCGGACGACTTCGATTAGTAAAAATAATAAAACTTTCTCTAAGACTACAGAAGTGGATCATACGATATTGTGATTATCGAATGGAGGATCGTGTGCTATCCGGATACAGTCGCGCCATCTCTATTCTATTCTCGTACCATGAAGTGTTGCATACGTTGCCTACATTAGTCGACCATGTTGAACTACGCCGAATGATTGAGAAGGAAATTGTTAAAGAAAAGGCAATTATTTTAGCACAACTGAATAACGTGCAGTATAAACACACAAGAAGCGCAGTTATCTCGAAAACAAAACGTATTATCAACACTTCAATCGCAACAATGAGAGAAACAATCGTTGCATTGAAACTTATGGGATTCACCGACGAAATCGAAAATCTTGAACTCATCAATCGCGTTGAGAAACTCCGCAAACCGATTCTAAAGTTATCCTACGCTGAGCTCAACTCACCTTCACAGATTTTAAAATGGCTGCCGTTTTTCGAATCGATGTCCGGCTTTGAAGCGCTGTATAACGCGGCAGTTGAATTGGAATACGAGCCGGAATCGTTGATCCTCACCAAAGGCAAACTCAGCGAAGGGATTTACATCGTGATTGACGGACTGGCTTCAATGAAGCTGAGCATGGATGAAAAAGTCCGCGCGAGAGTGAAACAATATGGCGCCCTGCCGGTCAAAGATTACCTCTGTGACGTTGATTACTATCACGCCAGTGATCACTACGTGATCAGTGGTAATAGTATGGGTATTCTCTCATTCCTCACCAATCGTCCTTGTGATTACGATGTGCGCGCCATTGTGAAAACACGCGTTTTCTTCCTGAATGCCACCGCTTTGAACATGGCGATGAATAGCAACAGTGATCCGGTGCATGGATTGCGATCTAGGTTATGGAAATACGTTTCGGTTAATTTAGCGCTGAGTATAATGTGGCGTGTGCCGATTTATCGCAATTTACGCGTTGAAGAAACTTATTACTACATGGAAAAGTCATTTGTACCCAATGTTAGTAGTAAAGAAAGTATTTGTATATCCGAAGATGTCGAGGATTTGATTTTGATCGAAGGGAGAATCAGGGATAAGTATAGTTTGAAGATTTATGTTGCACCGTGTTATGTTCCAAGGTAACATAACCTAAAATATTAATATTTTTAGTTTTTAACGTAAAATTTGTTATTTTTTTAGATCTGTTAGAAAAATGCAATTTATACGTAACCCAAGATTGTTAATCGAGCCACAATTGTTTATAATTCCTTTTAAACCAGAACTGCACGTGAAAATCTACGAATTTTTGGATACTTTTAGACCGACACCGGTAATATAGGCAACTTTATGTACAAGTCACTAGAGTGCATCAATTATGTTTATTTTGTAGATGTTTGTTGAAGAACCACTTCAAAATCGTCAATCAATATTCTCAAGGTCAGCGTTTAATAAACGCCTTAATTTCTCCAACATAATCTCACCGAACGTGTAAGTTAAACATAAATTTTACTTAAATTGCATTTCTATCACTACATAACCTCTAATTTTTAGAAGCTACAAAAAATATGCAAGAATGCCACCAAGATCATCGAAAAATGAAAGCATACATACTTTATTAGAAGATACAGACCTGAACAAATAATAGAAACTCCTGGAAAGCAGTTTTTATCATCTACAAACACTTTTTAAATATTTTTCATTTATCTAATAACTAATATAGGCTTTTGTACAAACTCTTTGGTCGCGTGAAACACTCGAGTCATATAAATATTTCATATTGACATTCATTTTGAGGTTAGAAATAAATTTGCAGTTGTAGATTAGTTTTGAGGTTAATTTTGTTGATATGACCCATAAATTGATTGGTTAGCAAGCGTTTTGTTAGGCTATCTGCACAAGTTAATATATTACATGATAAAAGCCAGCTTTTCGAGGTTAGGTTGCGTATTTACAGTGTCAGTGATGAATTTATGAGCAGCAATTTAACTAAACTTCATATTAGTATCATATTAGTACCGTAATGATTTATAGCTATTTAATTATAGATACTTATCTTAAATTTAATGCTCCATTTTATTTATCGGACGGAATATTATACGTACATTTCTAAAATGTACATAAATCAATATTTAATTTAATTAAATCTCGCAGTATAAATATTTCAGCAATTATTACCTTTTTTCAATTGACTTTTACTGCTGTCAGACATGGTTTCACTCGATATTCACTTAGTATTGCTGTGTTGGTATTATTATTCAATATATTTTAGGTTATGAGTGTGTTTTAAGTAATTGAATGCGTTTAGAGTGGCGCATCGTCACTGTCGATCTCACTCCAATGTCCTGAATCCACCACCGGATGCCGCAAGATGTCGGAATACTCATGTCATATTTGCAGCGTTGTATCTTCGCTATTTGACAGCAGATGTGAACTTCCGGGCATTGCTTCGGGCAGCACATCGTCTAAGACTTCTGTTCCATCTTCAAATCTACTACTATAATATAAAATATTAGGTTAGATTATAAATTAAATTAAGTTTTGATGAACTTGATAAATGAAAAATTACAGTTTTCTACTCGTACTTTAAAATTACAGTTTTCTACTTTATGATAACTTAAAAAACTGTAATAAAAATTAATTTTAATCCAGATTATAACTTCGGCTGACCTTTCGTAGCTATCGATGTCAGGATTAAACAGTCGCTCCTTGCGCACACGCCGCCTTGGTCCCCGAAAGGAGAGCAGCAGATGGAAGACAGCGAGTGCTATCAACTGCGCCCCCGCCACGTACGATAACCACATTCGATGTGGGAACAGTATTGGCAGGGCGGCAAGGGGGCCGTAAACCAACGTTCGCTTCCAACAATCGAACCATTGTACCACCGACCAGTACCGAAACACTTTATGTTCTTCATTCCTAAACAAAAAAAAACACAAAAAAATTACACATCAAAATATCAACCAACGCCATCTGGTGAGTGTATGATTAAACATTATTACCGTATGCAAATGCGAAGAAAAACTCCTATCACCCAAGCAGTCTCCAGGAGTAAAAGCAGTAGACCGCCACCTCTGCGCACAAATAAAACGTTAATCAGCCACTGTGGAAACATAACCTCAACTCAAGTCTCCTCTAATGCATTATGCATGAGTATGACTAAGTGTGATTGCGTTTCGAATGCACTCGGTGTAAGGTAAAGTGTAAAGTTGACCCGGCGAGATTACGCCACCGCCGGCGGCTACCGCAAATTAATTTTCAACGTGTGTACACACAGAGAGTGCGCGCGCGCTAAGTTTGCTCTCATTTTCTTTTCGGAGCGGCGATTGGCACACACACGGCACTGCTTCAGATTAAAAAGCCTTGCAGTCTACGCTTAACTGCCTCTTCGCCGGCGTTGAGTATGAGCGTAACTCCGGTTTTACATTTTCCACCTGCGGAAAGTTCAATTTTCTCGTTCGATGATATATGGCGCAATAAGAATTCGATAAAGTTGTGCGCTTAGCGGCGTGATATTAACTTCAAAGTGGCGCGGGGTTTTGCGAGCGCGAAGAGTTTTTCAATATGTGCGAATATAGCGATGAATATAGGTTATGGGCGCGGTGCAGTGCAGGCGGAGATTCAACCGGTGTTTCCCGGAGGCGGATTGATGGAAGTTATTACGCGCGCCCCTCTAATTTGTTTTTCCGCTCCGCAGGATGTAATTCTCCACCGATGCCGACGATTTTCAAAAAAATGATATTAAATTTTACACTGTGGAAAGTTTGCAACCCAATATACATCAATTTTTTGATTTTTATTTTTAGTTGCGCTAAGCACTCACATGTTATCTGCTTGACACATTTAGAGTTAAGCCATCGCGAAACATTTTCACGTCTTGCAGTCAAGTTGACACGGTAAAGTTTTTAGGATTCGAAGGATTTTGAGCTTGACGCGAAGTTCTAAGCCGCTGTCTTCGTTGCTTATACATGATTAAACCTAAATGTTTAGAATTGTACACTAACGACTCCAGAGCGAACTGCGAATGTAAATTGCGGGTTCAAAGTGTCATTTTAACAGTGACAAATCACGTTTTCAGCAACACAATCCTTAATTACACATCTTTTGTTTTCGTTCTACGAAGCGGCAGAGAAGTGTAATATTGGTTGCCTATGTTAAGATGAATACAAAGTGTAACTTACATGAAATAATATCCGGTGCTGTGACTGTAGAAGACAACTTCGACGCCAATACTGCAAATAACTGCAAAATAACCTCTGTTAAAGTCAGTTTTAGCCTTAAGATGGGGAATAAAAATAAAACTAGACAACTTTAAGCGCTTTCGTCGTAAACAACACACATTCACACTTATGTAACGCGTGTAAACTGATGTAACGCTCCGAGTATTTTATTTAGAATTGCAAGATTCCAGCCGGATTACGTGCAAATCTACTTGGCGCCTGGGCACGCAGATCTTTCGTGAATAGAAAGAGCCGCGTGTAGAAAACACAATTTTAAAGCAAATCCCTGAAGCACTTCTTCGCCTTCGGCCCTTCTCTGCACTTTCACTCGCCGGGATGCAATTATTATTCGTCAGCGAATCGTATTTTTTCTGAAAGTGTCATCCGCTGGCCGAGGTGAAAACTCTGCGGGGAATTACATCATTCGTAATGTGAAAAGCGTAAAAATGGAGAAAAATTGGGGGAGAAAATTTTATTTACGAAATGAATAGCAAGGGAAACTTTCAAAAAAGTTATTTTTGAGATAAGTGATATCAAAAATGATTAATTACTTCTTTTTAAAGGAAAATTATTTATGCAACCATATAAACATATTTTTTATGTTCTGCTTTTATGAAGTTAATAAAACAAAACTTTAAAAACGTTATTTTTATGATATTTGATATAAAAAATGATTAATTATATTCCGCAGAAATATTTTTTGACAATTTTCTTAAGTTTGATTATGTAGGCAACCAGATATACAAATATTTAGGTTTTATACTGAACCTAGATCAAATTGTGATTAATTTTATTATGAAATGAATAAAATAGAATAGAAATATCAAAAAAAGTCCTAAAAACGTTATTTTTAAGAGAAATTCTTTAAAAAAATGATTAATTTATTCTGCATAAACATTTTTTCAATTTTTTACTTTTGAAGATTACGTATGCAACCAAATATACATATTTTTTATGTTCTGGTTTTATGAAATTAATAAAACAAAACTTTTAAAACGTTATTTTTATGTTATTTGATATAAAAAATAATTAATTATATTCTGCACAAATATTTTTTGACAATTTTCTTTAGTGAGATTATGTAGGCAACCAAATATACATATTTTTATGTTTTATACTCAATCTAGATCAAATTGTGATTAATTTGATTACGAAATGAAAAAATATGAATAAGAATAAAATAAAACTTCTAAAAACGTTATTTTTAAGCAAAATTTAATAAAAAAATGATTAATTTATTCTGCAAAAACATTTTTCCATTTTTTACTTTTGAAGATTACGTATGCAACCAAATATACATATTTTTTGTTGTTTTATACTAATCGTAGATCAACATGTGATCTAATGCAAATCGAAACGGAAGTTTATTCGGAGGGTAGTCAGGACATTATTAATGCGGCGTGTACAGTGAACAAGAGCAAAAAAAACAGCGAAAAACATTTGTAACGCCGCGCCCTGGTCCAATATCCTATTTATCCGTTGCACGAGAATAAGGGGACGCTCGGGAATACTCTAGATGCGGAGATAAATGGAGCGAAATAAAGGAAACAGCGACGAGAAAATATCGCGTATTTGTTCGCGGCGGAAAACAATAAAAAACGAGAAACGCGCGACCACACAACTCAGTTCACCGTGTTTACTCCGGCTTGAAATTTTAAAATATCACCACCCAACGCCATCCAGCGTTCTCATTCATTATTACGAGTGTAATTTTAAAAACACATTTCATCGCGCCCGCCAGTTTATGCTATGATAAGTATCCCGCACGCGAAAGTATCAATAAAGTTTTATTACGCGTCGTCAGCGCACGGACGCAATAAGCAATTGTTGATAAATTGATAACACGATAACAATGTTGAAGTATTTTTACGTTCGCGTCTGATGTGGGTCACATCTTGTGTTTTATTCCGCAGCGATTGCAATTTTGGGAACGGGCGCGAAGCGAAGACGACGATGAGGGGGATGAAGGATGACGGAAAGACATTATTCTTTCGACAATATGTTGCCGCCATGAAATATGAATGGAACACGGGTTAACACCAATGTTTTTTGTAATGTTTTCCCTTCATCATTGTTATTTGCGCGGTTTATGCTTACAACATCATTAAAAATCAGCAAACTGTATGCAACCAATCGTACAATGTTTACGTCATCAGTTGTATTGAATATCGAATCATTAAACTGTATGCAACCAAAACTACAATGTAGACATTATAAGTTGCATAGCATTTTCTTTCTAAACGCTTGACGTCGTGGCTTGACGTGTGACGAAAAAACGAATCATCGAACTATATGCAACCACTAATACAGTATTTACGTCATCAGGTCTTTGCATTGAAAATCAAATGATTATAATATATGCAACCAATAATACAGTATTTACGTCATTAGAAGTAAAGCATACCTTTTCTAATGATTAAACTATATGCAACCAATAATACAATGTTTACTACAGTGGCGTAGCATTTTTTTCTTTGTAAATGTTTGACGCGTGACGAAAAAACAGAAAAACTCTTTGTTCAGCTTCAATTTTCCTCATCTTGGCGAAAGTAAAATCATAAATCGTCGTACGTGAGGATTGAGGATCCGTAGGATGCGGGCTGTACGCCACATGATAACCTAATCATATTTGCGTCGTTATATTCCCGAATCCCGCCCCAGCAGCCGGCACGCCACCCTTTGGCATCGCGTGCTATCTCCCCGACAATCCTTATATTGTTACTCTTCGACGCTGTGTCGCGGTCGCATGAATAAGGTCTCTCTTTCCGCACACACATCATATTAGCATATTTATATATCTCGAGAAGATATTCGCGTGCGCTTTGTTTCAGGCTTTTCAGCGAAAACGCGAATATATACCTAATGCTGGCGTAATCCGTCTCATTCCTCATCCCTCAATGCATTCGAAAGAAGGGTGTGCGTGCTCTCTGCGCTCTCGGCGCGTAATTCTTGCTTAGCGATGTGAAATTATTTATTCGTAAACGCCGAAAATTTGCATAATTAACTGCGCGTGGGTTTGCGCCATTATCATAATTGATGTCTCGCTTTTTTCTCTCACGTGCGCGCAAATTATGTGATTACAATGCGAAAGAAGTAAATTGCGCATTATTATTTTTTGTCGTCATATTTTTTTCATGCTTTTTGTTTTCTTTTTTTTTTGCGTGGGTATTTTTGGTGAATTGTTTGAATATTTCATAATTAGGCGACGCGCGTCGCCACACAAAATGTTGACGCGCAATGAATGCTAACGAGTTGAACAGTATAATGCGAATATTATTAATGAACGCGCTTTGGACTCAAAGAAAACAGAATAAAAGTCAAAATTTGCTTAAATACATCACATTATTCTATAGAGTATATGCAACTACCATTACTACATGCATATCTTATGTGACATCCCTACTAATATTATAAATGCAAAAGTCCTGATGTTTGTTACACTTTCACGCAAAAACTACTTAACCGATCATCATGAAAATTTGTACACATATTCTTAGTGGTCCCCGAATGGTTATAGGCTACTTTTTATTTAATAAAAAAATTATTTTTTAAATAAAATAAAGAAATTGTATAGCCCATAATACCTCTGCATCTGGCTATGTGACTACTTTAACGCCATCTAGCATTCCAGCAATGAAGCTCAAACTTAAGTACTATAGTATCATCACACTGTATTATCAGACTGTATTACCGACAGCTACGTCAACATCAAATCCAATTGACTACACTATGGAGACTGTACACTATTCTTCCATTGACTATACTTTCAGCCATTTAAAACTTCCCGCCATTCTACTTCATTGTTACTTCTTCTGTGACTACAGACGCGTACGGAAGCAACTTCATTATTTTAAATATTCGCGAGCAAAGCCAAGGGTTAAAGCTAGTCATTGATATATCACAAAAAAGGTAAAAGAAAGTCACATAACGTATGCAACCAACATTACATGTGTGTATCTTCAATGACATCAATGAAAGTTAAATGTTTTGATCACATTTTAATCAAAAACAAAAGATTTTACCGTAATAATTGAAAAAAAACGATAATTAACATATGCAACCAACATTTCTATGCGTGTATCTTTTATAACATCAATAAAAATAAAATGTTTTAACTACTTTTTAACCAAAAACGATTAATTTCACGTTAAAAACTAAAAAACCTCAAAATTAGTCTAAATTGTGTCAAATAACATATGCAACCAACATTACATATGTGTATCTTCTATAAAACCAATAAAAATCAAATGTTTTAACAAAATTTTAACCAAAACCCAAAAATTCACGTTAAAAACTTAAAAAACCTCAAAATTAAATGAAATTGAATCAAATAATGTATGCAACCCACATTACAATACATATAAATTTCCTATACTACAAAATCACTGATATAGTCTAATGTTTTAACCAAGTTTCGACCGAAAACAAAAGTTAAACAAAATTTTCATTTCACATGCAAAGAGCCAGCCTACTGCTAGTTGGAATTTAAAATAGACTCTACCGAGGGATCAAAATTTACATTTAAATGTGAAACACAACGCACCCGCATTCGAGCGAAACAAGATGGAGGAGCCACCCCGCTACTGAATAAGCAAAAGCAACATTTTCATCTGGGCTTAGTTAAATTGAATCCGATTGAAACACACAACAAAACTATCCGTATACTTAGCTTATCAAAAATTCAATCTCGCACACAATTTGTTTCTCTATTCTTCACGCGTGCAGAAAAGAAACGCTTTTGACGCGTTATCGCACAAGTGTAATAAAACCATCGCATCGTATGATACTCTGATTTATGGCAGTAATGCTCGGACACCTGCAAGAAGAGGAGTTTTTGCTCTTCTAGCCCATTTCTTATTCATATTATCGACAAAGGGATGACAGCGCAAGAAAATATATTGCCTATCTTGCGAGCAAATGTGAAACTTATTTTATTTATGTTCCAGTAGCGATATAATATTTCTCTAATGTCAGAAACTTGTTGAAATATCTATAATATATAAAATGAATTGGAAAATCTGTTGGAAAGCGCATAACTCAACAACGCTTTGACCAATTTGGTCAATTTTTGTTTTAAAATGTTCGTTAATGCCCAAGGATGGTTTTTACGGCGAGAAAAATTTGAATAATTGCCGGGAAAACCCTAAATAAGTAATTTTCTATAAGATAAAAATTGGTATTGAGATTCAATCATAGTTATAGTTAAATAGTTGAATCCGAGATGGCGCTGAAGTGCATTATTAGCTATTCTTTATATAATTAATTTCTTTAAAATAAAATTGCGGATTTTATTGATAGAATTGACATATACTATGTCTAGAACATGCGAGTAAAAACAAATTACCTTTTTATTAAACACCACCCGTCAAAGTCGCAGGCAAAACTAGTATGAATTTATAAATAAACTAGCTTTAACCTGCGGCTTTGCTCGCGAATATCTAAAATAATGAAGTTGCTTCCGTACGCGTCTGTAGTCACAGAAGAAGTAACAATGAAGTAGAATGGCGGGAAGTTTAAAATGGCTGAAAGTATAGTCTATGGAAGTATAGTGTACAGTCTTCATAGTGTAGTCAATTGGATTTGATGTTGACGTAGCTGTCGGTAATACAGTGTGATAATACAGTGTGATGGTACTATAGTACTTAGGTTTGAGCTTCATTGCTGGAGTCAAAGTAGTCAAATAGCCAGATACAGAGGTATAATTGTCTAAACAATTTCTTTATTTTATTTAAAAAATATTTTTTTTTATTAAATAAAAAGTAGCCTTTAACCATTTGGGGACCACTAAGAATATGTGTATAAATTTTCATGATGATCGGTTAAGTAGTTTTTGCGTGAAAGTGTAACAAACATCAGGACTTTCGCATTTATAATATTAGTAGGGATTGATTTTAAGTTCAAGTGGTTGCCTATATTAAACTTTTTTAGTTTTAATTTGCACTTGAATGAAAATGATGAAATATTGGTTGCCTATAACAATAGCCAATAGAGATTCTTTTATTGAATTTCGATTTAAATGCTCGCCACACCGTAATTGACACATTTCACTCGTCTCTATCATCCCCAACCGAGATTTTATTTGCCAGCCAAACACATAAAACGAGATTGAACGCTGAAACAAAAGTTTCGCGTGGTTCGTGGATTTCTTTGATTGCTAAATGATGTGAACGGTTGGAGTCGGAGGAAAAGTTTCGCGGGCGAGCACTCACAAAAGATTGGGGATTTCATGCGTACTTTAAAATTACGCTCGTTTTTTTGATGACACACGACAGACAGAATTTTATTTCTTTTTCTTCGTCTATAAATCCGATTGGTTTTATTATGCGGACGGGGAGGGTGTAAGTAGCAACACTTAAAAACAAGAAGTTACAATTACATTACCGGATTGTAATAATACAACTGACATAAACATCAAGTCGAGTTGAAATTAACACAAAGTGGAAAACCATCGACGAGAAACGTGCGCTCACGGAGCAGAGCCGAGCAAATGGCGCAATCAAGTTTTCAGTGCATTTAGTTAAACGTCATTACTGTTAGGGATTGTTCGTGACGTTGGAGAATAATTCCAATATGGTGAATTTAGAAATGTTTACTAAAAACACCAAAACAAGATAATTTAAAAGTTGTTTAACGTGAATTTTAATATAAAACTGAATAATATAGGCAACCAACATGTCATGTGTTGATTAATACAAGCTTTAAGCAAATTTTGACTAAAAACAAAGAATTGTAAGCAAAAATCTCAAAAAAAAAAACAAAATAAAAGTCAAAATAAAGTAAAACAAGTCACATACTTTTATATTATGTATGCAACCAACATATCTCTTGTTGTTTTACTCATATTTCAAGCAAATTTTGATAAAATACAAAAGATTTCACGGGAAATCTCAAAGAAAACAAAATAAAAGTGAACATACGTTTAATAAATCAGTGTAATGTATGCAACCATCATAACAGCTGTTTATTGACACATTTTTAACTAAATCCCAACTAATATTATAAATGCGAAAGTCCTGATGTTTGTTACACTTTCACGCAAAAACGACTTAACCGATCATCATGAAAATTTGTACACATATTCTTAGTGGTCCCCGAATGGTTATAGGCTACTTTTTATTTAATAAAAAAATTATTTTATAAATAAAATAAAGAAATTGTTTAGCCAATAATACCTATGCATCTGGCTATTTGACTACTTTAACGCCATCTAGTATTCCAGCAATGAAGCTCAAACCTAAGTACTATAGTACCATCACACTGTATTATCACACTGTATTACCGACAGCTACGTCAACATCAAATCCAATTGACTACACCATGGAGACTGTACACTATACTTCCATAGACTATACTTTCAGCGATTTTAAACTTCCCGTCATTCTACTTCATTGTTACTTTTTCTGTGACTACAGACGCGCACGGAAGCAACTTTATAATTTTAGATATTCGCGAACGAAGCCGCGGGTTAAAGCTAGTATGTAAATAAACAATGTTTTTATGTATAACTTTATAATCAGCGCATAGATGTCGCTAGCTTGGACATTTTGATAGAAAATATTCGTTTGTTTACCTGAGTGAAGATATTTGTCGGTTTTAGTGATTTCGCACGCTGCATGCGAGTATATCTTATCAATATCACGCGATATTGTGTTTATTTACATTTTTATCTTGCATATATCGTCCAGTAATATCGAATTTCGTGGCTTAAACTTGTTATTTCATGTTTCTACACATTTATTCTTCAAATATTCATCCAATTCTTGTTGTCACATAAATAAATACGCTAGTAAAGTATCTACCTTAGCGCCGCCTCGTGGCTTATTTCTTAAATAGTGAGTGATCTGAAACCTTGAGTACCATCCTTACTAATATTATAAATGCGTATGTCCTGAAGTTTATCGTGCTTTCACGCAAAAACTACTTAACAGATCATCATGAAAATTTGTACACATATTCTTAGTGGTCCCCGATAGGTTATAGGCTACTTTTTATGTAATAAAAATAATTATTTTTTTAATTAAAATAAAGAAATTGTTTTGTCACTAACACCTCGGCATCTGGCTATTTGACTACTTTAACGCCATCTACCATTCCAGCAATGAAGCTCAAACCTAAGTACTATAGTACCATCACACTGTATTATCACACTATATTACCGACAGCTACGTCAACATCAAATCCAATTGACTACACTATGGAGACTGTACACTATACTTCCATAGACTATACTTTCAGCCATTTTAAACTTCCCGCCATTCTACTTCATTGTTACTTCTTCTGTGACTACAGACGCGTACGGAAGCAACTTCATTATTTTAGATATTCGCGAGCGAAGCAGCGGGTTAAAGCTAGTTTTTAATAAAACACAAAAACTACGCTTAAAAATCACAAAGAAAGCAAAATAGAAGCAAAAACAAAGTAAAATAGCTCACATAATTCTATGCAATATATGCAACCAACATTTACAATGTAAAACAGTAATACTCTATTGTTTTTGTTATTTTAATAGCGTCAATATATATTTATCGCAACTTATAGCAACAGTGGCTACAGAATTTCCTCCGTAAACTATAAAAGACCGATCGAACAAGATTGGATCAGATATCAGCAAGCAGAGCTCAACGAAGTGCGTCTGACTACAGCACACAGACACAAAATGACGGCGATGTTGAAACTGATACATAAAACGAAATTGCAAATCGGAATTGCCACCCCATGCTCGAATCCAGCAGATGTAATTTCATTTATTGTGTTTGACGGAAGCAAACCACCAACACTACTACCACTACTACTACAACTGCAGATCTATGTGTTTGTTTTCACAAGCCCCTATAACGTCTCCATCACTCTCCTCGCTTCTCGAATATCGTGAATATCGTAGGATTCGTGAGGTCGTGACACTATCGGGTTACGCGCATTGAACTGATCTCAATGCAATCAATTACAGCCGTAATTACATCTGTCAACACGTGTACGCGATCGGCGTGTTGAGGGCTTTTAGGCGCGCAGCTTACGGCCATTTTGATATGGCGCGCGCGCGCGTGAAATTAGCATATGAGTAGTTTTGCGCCGGCGGCGATGAATCGCGATGAATCAAACCACGAGAAGCGTGCATTAGCAATTTATGTGATTAACTGTCAACTGTGTTGATGACAATAGACTTCCGATTGAATTATTAAGTACATTATTAACTATGTGCATTTGCAAGTAGGCAGAGGTAGAAGTAATATGTTATATGTGTTGCCTATAGTGAATAAATTTATATCAAAACAAAAAATACAAATATTTTGATTTTACTGGTTATAAACTCAATCATTCTAGTTAAAATGCCGGTAAATATTTCCTGAAGTCTAAATATGAATTCCGCGTCGCTCAGTTGTATTCACTTGTGTTTTGTTTAAATGATTTTGTTGTAACGTAACGTACACCCCAACAAATTAGCTGAAAAATCGTACTTAAGTTATAGAAATTTGCATTGCAATTTGTAGGGATGTTGGGTTGCATAATGACAACAATATTTCAAATGTTACCATCAATTACATGTCTTTAAAAAAATATTCTAACTCATAATTACTAAAAAAAAATATTTTCATCATTACACAAAGAAACTGTAACTGTAAGGTTAAAAACACGGCTAAATTCATATAGGCAACCAAAATTACATATTTTTCCTAATTTCAACCATAAAACCTGTGTTTTTAATAAATTTAAACTTTTTAATCACTTAAAACACTCTTCATTACCACATCCATCATCCCACTCTTGAATATTTTAATATTTTAACATCTTAATAGCATAATCAACAAGTCCTCTCAAAAGTAATGATGATGAAGATGAAAAACCCGATGATATATTAATATTATTAAGTAGTAAACATATTTTTAACTTACCAATGGCTGTGAGTATCCCCCATGCCCTCGTGAAAATGATGAAATAATTGAACAGCAGCGTCGCGCACTGCTTCTTTGTTTTACTCGCGTGGTCAACCCCAATATTTCGCACCGGGTTGATACACCCTCCGTTCGCACCCACACCGACACTGTCATAGTTCATCAAGATGCTGGGAGTCACTTCTATTCGAGGCAACATCTTTCAACAAATCTTTACTTACCAATAATTAATACCAAACATTTATTATTTATACTTATCGTAATATTAAACGAATTAATTTAATATTTTAAGAATAAAAATATTAATTTTGTTAAATGTAAACACATAAAATGCATTGAATTGAATGTTTGTGTTTTTATTTACTGATTTGATCTTTAATGTTTTGATGTTGAACGTACGAGAGGTTTTTGTTTCATGCGGACGTGCAGGTGCGTCGATTGATTCGCGCTGTTCGCAGGACACTGAACGGCCGATCTTTCGCAGGCTCCGCTCGCGCACGCCAGGACTGACTCCGAAGAGGGGCTGACGCTGTGTGTGTGTATGTGTATGTGTGGCTGCGTGGTTATGCTTGAGACCCGCCTCACATTCATTCTCTCACTTTTACTCGTTTACTGTTTGCTTCCGCTCTCTCTAGCGACCTCAAGCTTCTAGGATAAATCCTGTGGTCGCGCTGGGACTTTGTCTCGCGTTTCGCACAAGTGTCGACGACCAAAACAGCACGGAAACACACTCGCATACTCTTACTATTGGTATTGTCGTGTTTCGAGTGTGAAAATTCATGTTTTAAGACTTTTATCGCTTTAAAGTGATTATTACTAAGTATAAACATAATAATAACAATAAATATGTATTATTATTATTAAATATTATTAGTATTAATGTTTTTATTTATATTATTGTTTAATTTTGTGTCTTTTACAAGTGACAATTCTAAAGTGTTGGTGTTATACGGTGAAAATGTGTATGTTTGGTTGCCAATGTGTGCGTGCCGGAATTCGAAGGTGGGAGGCACTTGAAGTAAATTGAGGTTGTACATTGGGGTATGTTGGGGTACATTGTCTACATTCTACATGCATTGTCAAAGTTTATGCACAACAACTGGCGCAATCAGCCGAAGAACGCATAGACAACAACACACAACGTCTCGGCTCGAGTGGCATAAAGCTCTCCTGCGGTTCGAAATAAAACCAAACGCCGGAACAAAAGCGTTTCCGCTCGTGCCCTTTATCCATGTTAATTGTTATCATAACTTCAAGTGCACATATGCACTTCTAATTAACTGCTTAACACAATCACCACTCTAACAACACCAGAATGTGAGTTAATTCCTCAATTAATTGTAATATTGGTTGCCTACGTTAAAATTAGAAATTTTAAGCACGTTTTATCGCAATTTATTAAACACTAAATATAATTTATGAGAGGCACCGGATCTAAGCAGCCGCCGGCGCTTCCGATGTGCGCTACATTGCGGCCATTTTGGTGTTCGTGATGGCTTCCGGTCGAAGGGGCAAACCGCTTAAATTCGCGCGCGCGACAGGATAACGTATTGCCGCATAAATATCAATTTGGCGCGCATGTAAAATCGCGATGAATGTGCCGGATTATTTATATATAGATGCGGCAAACGGCAATCGGCAATAAAGCGCACTTGCTGCTGGCAATTGAATCGGGTGGGATTTCATAAAATAATATATGTGCTACTCACACTGAAATGCGTCGAGGGTAAAATACGGGTTCGGGTAGTGCACCACACGTAAAACAGACCGCAACTTTATCATCTGATTTATTACGCGCTGTGGCTATGGGCAGCTTCTCATCGACATCATAAAATATTAATCTAGGATGTCCTACTCGTACACCGGGGTAAACGAATTGGAAATAGAATTTTAATTTATAGAAAGTGTATAGTTGGTTGCCTATATATCATCGTGTTGCACATATTTAGTAGTACCTAATTCACGTTTTTGGTGGTTTTTCATGAGTGGTTATAAAATAAACAATAAAAATGTTTATAAAACGAGGCACTAAACCGACAGAAACATAAAAACATTGAAAAACTCAATAATTTTGTATAATTTTTCATAAATTGAAAGAAAAACCTGTTTTTATTGAAAAATGCACGATAAATGCTTGATACTAAGTATGTAGGCAACCAAAAACACACATTTTGGTTCCTGGTGATTTACGATGACTAACCATCAAATAAACAATGAAAATGTTTATAAAACGAAACACTAAACCGACAGAAACATAAAAACATTGAAAAACTTAATAATTTTGTGTTATTTTTCATAAATTGCAAAAAAAACTTGTTTTTATTGAAAGATGCGAGTTTAGTGCTTGATACTGAGTATGTAGGCAACCAAAAATACACATTTTTGTTCCTGGTGATTTCCAATGATTAACCATCAAATAAACAATGAAAATTTTGAAAGATTAAGCCCCAAAGCCAAAATAAAGATAAAAACGATACAAAATCAATAATTATGAATAATTTTTGGTTATTTTGATGAAAATTCTGTTTTTATCAAAAGTTAGGCGATATATAACGTTGATACCACATTTATAGGCAACCAACAATGCACATCAAAGTTTTTAGTGTTTTTCATGACAAATTAAGCCACAAAACCGAAAAAAACTATAAAAACACCAAAAAACTCAATAATTATGCAATATTTACACTAAATCATCAATAAAACCTTGTTTTAATTCATCGTCAATGATTTATTTGATATTATTTATCCTTATAGATCGCTTACAACATATGGAGCTGTTAATTATTTCTTTATATTTCATTTAACAAATTAATAATACTTTCCATATCAACTTCACAGAAATATCACCGTATAATTAATGTCATCGTAAATTCAAATTCGCATCCCAAAAAGTGTGTATATATCATTAAATTCACAATTAAAATTCAATCATTACTAAACGGTTGTTGATGTTGAATGTTTCGTTAGATATTATTTAATTATATTATTATCCTGACACGCATACGGAAGAGACTCTGTTATTTGTTTGTTTTGCTCAATGTGTAGCTCGTCGTCATCAATCTTCATCACCTTAAGAATTATTTAAATATATACAGGATCTACATCTGCTACAATATACTATCAACTACATTAATTATTCAATATAAACACGAATTCATTGCACAATCATGTAGGAAACTGTTTTCGGTGAAAAAAACATCATAAATAAATCATAAAATTAAACCAGTGCGAAAATTAAGCTATAAATCACAGGCGTCGAACTTGTTTCAGCTAATTTTAAGTCGTGTCGATAAAGTAGGAACCAAACTCAATGCGTAAATGTCAAATTGTCAAATTTTCAAATTTAAACAGTAAAATGTAAAATTCTACGCTCAAAATTGTTTTAAAAAATATATCTCTACGTTTTTTCCTCATTCCACTCACCCAGAGTCGTGTTCATCCTATTTGTCTATGATATAGATATAATTCTCCAAATTCGCTCGTAAATTCTATCAGTACCGCAATGTTTTGTTCACTTTCTATTCTAGCTTAGTTAGTATTAAGATACAGTAAGATTTCAATCAATTGCAAAGGAATCAAGTTGGTTTTCTTGTAAGAATTAATACTAGAACAGTGTTAGGTTAATTTTTATGTTATGGAAATAAAAGAAGGAATAAGTTAGGTTAGGTTGGAGTTGTGGTGGATGTGGCTGTCAGCGACGTGTTGGCAATCCGCGAGCGGCTGCTGGATCGCCGCGGAATGGCCGACGGCGACGCCGGCTCGCCTGGCATTCGCCACAAACGCCCCGGCGACTGCAGGTTGGACTTTGACGATGATGCGGCGTTTTGCGAATGCCTCGAGCGGCCGCTCGGTGGCGTTTGAAGTGTTTGATTCTGTTCACTGACACTGAAATCACAAACGCATTGTTTAAAACACGAGTTATAGTGTACCTTAATGCTTTGATTATTGTTGTGTAGAGGGCGTTGTACGGTTTTGGTAGCAGTTCCTTACCCGAAACGACTGTTTGTACGCAGCATGAAACACAAACCAACCTATTACAAGTACTGGATTTGAATGTAACGTGCCGCCATCGTGCGGATTAAATTAGAACTAAATACGAACATTGTGTAACTATATATATATAACCTCAATTTTATCATTCAATTTGATTATTATCACAATTTCTCTTATCACACATTATTAGACCCGCGTTTTATTGATTTTTTCTTAAATTATTTGTAGATTTGTTGTTTTTGAATTAGGTAAAGTCCATTGAAGGATCATAGTTACACAATGCGGAGCACGACCACAAAATGTTGACCAAACAGAGAATATTGACCGCACACAAGATACAAACGCCTAAAAGTACATCTGCACACTCTACCTGCCCTATCCGGAAGCTGTAGTCGTGAAAATCCCAACAAATCCAGGTGTAATTAATGCAGCGTTAAAGAAAGCAACACACAAAGTGCAATAACAGTAAGTATACAAAGTTTAACTTAATACCCTGTATAAATAAACTCACCTGACTAGAGAACCTGGACTTAGATCATTCGCGGCATCCTGTAGGAGCGTTGGTCCTGCTGATATTGGACGAATCTTCAAAGAAACACAAATATTTTACTATAGGCAACCAATGTTACACATTTAGGTTATAACATACTCGTTCGGTTTGTGTTGCTGCATTACATGTGGAAACCTGTACTGCTTGTGTTACACTGGTGGAGCTTGTGGACGTTGTGGTGGTGACGGAAGAGGGCGCACTCTGCGAACTCTCATACTTCAAGCTGAGAGAGACGATTTCCTGACGGAGTGTTTGCGTCGTGCGTTCGGAATCGTCCAGCTGCCCCTGCAGGTAGACAACCTGTCGACGCAGGTTTTCCATTTCTTCACGATGATTTACTTCCTCGGGGTCTTTATCGCTGTCGGAGCCGTAGCCGTTGAAGAACCCATTTTCGGATAATGAGTTGTGAGTTTCTGACTGTAATACATACGCCATTTTAATATTTGCGCATGCGTACAACGCATAAACTTAAAAAAACACTCAAAAATGATAAAAATAAATAATAAAAGGCTCACCCTCAACATGTAATCTTCAGTGGCCGGCTTTTTTGATTAACAAAGCGTTAAAACGTGCAGAAATAAAAGAAAACAAAACATAATAAAATAATTTGTTGGTTAATTAATGTTTTGTTGTAGTTTACCTCGTGTAAAACTCTTTTGAGTTTAAGTAATCCGGTTTTGAGGCCAATGACGTCCTGCAGGATGGAACGATCGAGTCGGATGATGGCCGAATCGTCGGAGTCGTAGCCGGTGCCTGTGGAGGAGCGGCTGGAGAGCCGCAGGGGGCTTTGTGACACGGACGTCTTCCGCATCACGTCCGAGCGTGGCGAGTCCGGCACCGAAGACGCCGGTGTGCCGCCGCGCGACTTGAGGAGTCGCGACGAGCGGAACGACATTCTGCAGAGGAGAGCAAAAAATACGCCGTTATTACTGTGTTTTCTATCTAATCATCAGCACCGAAACGCAGCGACAAGAATAAAAACAGTACCGAAAAGCCATTTTACATTTATAGGCAGCCAGTAATACAAATCTGGTGATTTTACATTACTGGCCCTCAAATAAATAATAAAATTGAGTAATAGATTAACTCACAAAGCCAAAAAATACATAAAACTATTTAAAAACTCAATAATTATCTTAATTGTATTATAATTATATTTTCTTATAAATTAAAAGAAAAACTGTTTTTATTGAAAGACTAGCTTTAACCCGCGGCTTCGCTCGCGAATATCTAAAATAATGAAGTTGCTTCCGTACGTGTTTGTAGTCACAGAAGAAGTAACAATGAAGTAGAATGGCGGGAAGTTTAAAATGGCTGAAAGTATAGTCTATGGAAGTATAGTGTACAGTCTCCATAGTGTAGTCAATTGGATTTGATGTTGACGTAGCTGACGGTAATACAGTGTGATAATACAGTGTGATGGTACTATAGTACTTAGGTTTGAGCTTCATTGCTGGAATGCTAGATGGCGTTAAAGTAGTCAAATAGCCGATTAGCTAAACAATTTCTTTATTTTATTTAAAAAATATTTTTTTTTATTAAATAAAAAGAAGCCTATAACCATTCGGGGACCACTAAGAATATGTGTACAAATTTTCATGATGATCGGTTAAGTAGTTTTTGCGTGAAAGTGTAACAAACATCAGGACTTTCGCATTTATAATATTAGTAGGGATGAGTGAAAAATACCGTTGATATTACTTTTATAGGCAACCAACAATACAAATCAATGTTTTTGGTGATTTTTGATGATTAACATCAAGTAAACACTAAAAACAATCAAAAATTCAATAATTCTGAATAACATTTCGTAAATTTAAAGAAAAACCTATTTTTATAGAAAGTTGCGAGATATATCACGTTAGTACTACGTTTATAGGCAAGCAACAATACAAATAAATGCAATACTTTTTGTTTTTAATACAAAAGTATTCTAAAATTAACTTTTTTCTATCTTTCAAGTAACGTGAGTAATTTTATCCACAAATTAAGATTAGATATAAATGTAATTAATATTAAAACAAACCAGAAACCACTTTACTTCACTTGAATATGGCTTGTTTTGATTGCGGTTTGCTTCATGCTGGTTTTACTGGCGTGAAATTATTAATACAACGCTCAATGAACATCGAACGTTAAGTTGGAGTATAAGCGCCAAAAATACTCTAATCCTAAGCTAATTGCACTTTAATTCGATGTTAACGCACGTGATCACTCATGGTCTTTTGGTCTTCGAATCTCAAGACGAAATTAATGCGTAAATATAGTAATAACCATGAAATAACACAAGATATAAGCAAAAAAATACGGAAGTAGCAAAAATAAAGTATAAGAATGTAGTAGGTATGTAATTAGACAAAAAAAGCAATTTTAAAGCTTAATAATTGAAAATTTTGAAATAATATCGTTGTTATTTGTATTATTACTATTAATTTATTATTATAACAATGATTAAACTCTATTTTATTCTTTAGAATATAATAATGGAAAGAATAACTGCAATTGTTGTAATTTTATTGTAGTAATTGTGGACTCGGTGTTTATCAGAGCAATTTTATTGATTAAATTATTCACGCACCAAATATGAGAGATTATATAGGTATATATAACTGTGTAGATATAAATAAATGTAATAAAATCGTGAAAATAATAAAACGTAATAAAAATAACGACATTCAACAGTAATTTCTCTGTTATTACTCGTAAAGTCAGTCGTATAGTATTCTCTCATCAACCATCAACAACGACTCACGACTCTGACCCGACATTCACGAAAACAACGAATCTAACCTAAAACCTTTGCGCACGACACAACTAAAAGAAAGAATAGAAGAAAAGGAAGAGGAACCAAGAAAGGCACGACTGAGAAATGTGGTCACTGCGCGTTGCCCTTTTCTACCTGCGCTTTTGCACACGACCTTCAGAAAGTGGTGGGGGTAAACACCAGTAAAACCACACTTCGTATGAGCGCAGCATGGTGACTCATACGAGTAGGTATAAGCAGGCGTATACCCTACCACGCGGCCAATCAAATTGCAGTGCTTTACCCCCACCACTTTTTGCGGGTACTCCGCAAGTATAAAAGGCATTGCGCAGCGCACACAATGCTCATTTGTTTGTGAGCAGTAAAGTCCTCTTTACTTTTTACAGTCGCAGGTCTTCAGAGCCTTCTATCACCTCTCCTCCTATCCTATCTTCCTCTTTCGTTATATTGTGGTCCCTATCAAAGGATATCAACTTTCCTTTCTTTATTTTATACCTCACGCTTTATAGTATCATAAATTTCTATTATTTATTAATTTTTATGTTTTAACAATAAAAATCACGATTAAAAGAGAATAAACTCTCGAAACTCTCCTCCAAGTCCTACTTAAATCCCACTTTACTCAGCGTGCCAGATTCGACTTAATTAATAGCTCAATTTATAATTTAAACGTTGGCACTGCCGGAAACCTCGCTGGGCATCTCATTAATTATCCAAACGTTAAAAATGTTAATTATATAGCTATACCTACGAGTACATCACTTAAATTTTAACTCAAACATCAAACATCCGCTTAAATTCGCTTAAAACCGTTTAAAATTCAAAGGAAAACCCAAAACAAAATAATAATCTAACTATTTCATAGATAAAATAGATAATAATAGAGATAAACAAATAAAAAACTAAATATAATATAATATAATACAATATCATAATAATAATGTTTGTTTTTATTATTTTTGTTATTTATCTAAGCAATTATATTATTTATTTAAAGTTCATCGCACTTTGTAACTTTTCAACGTCAATTTTGATTGTTCAAGGTTTCCCGAAAGTAGAATGTGCGAGCAAAACATAAAAAACGAAATAATCGATGAATTAACTCAATGTTTATGTTTATACAAAGTGTGACTATCATTTTGATTAATTTTTATCAAAATCACTATTCTTATGATTGTCACATACCCATTCGGCACTGGAATTTGTCTTATCACATTCGTATTCGTATTCCTTTCTTTTGTGCTTTTCATCGGGTCACATTTCTCTTGTTTCTCAAACATCACGAAATTTTATTTAAACATTTAAATATTTAAACAATTAAACAAAACAAAACTTTTATTTAATTCACATTCACTCCTTTTAATATTTACTATTCCGAAAGGAAAGAAATTAAAATAATACGCGTACAGCTGGTCGCTGCGCTAGTGACTAGGCCATTTGCAGCAATTTGTTGCTACTACAGCTACTACGATGGCGCAAACCGAGCCAACTAGATACGCGCGACTCGAAGACGAAACGAGCACGCATTTCGTGCATCGCTGGATCCGGAACATGCGCCTACTGCTGCCACTGCCTGAGTTGGCAATGATTGTGGTGTGTGTGTTGGAGTTGGTAACGCGTCAATGTTTCCACCGTTTTCAAGTTAACAAACTGTGCCAGTCCGCCTGGCACACTATCAGCTGCCGCTACGTAATCGCATGACTCACCTGCTCGAGTTACACTCGCAATACAATCATAAACTAATCATTACTCGACTGCACACGGTCGCAACATAGGCAAACCAACTTACACCAACGCAATAAATCTATTATTTAAACCTGTTCTATAGTATAGACCTATAGACTATACAAACATGTATATTGAGTTGCATATATTAAAACTCACCTCTTGTTATTATCTCGTGAAATATCACAACCAGAAAGGAGTGAAGACCAATCCCTCATCACGTTCGTTATCTTCAAGTCCACAGTACGTATAGGTACATCATCCAAGGCAAAATGACCATTTGTTTCAGTCCTAACAAAAAATATTCATTAAATATAAAATACATCCAACATAGGCAACTTTATATACACACCTGTCATTCGCATCCTCTACACCACTGCTCATGTCATAATCCATCATACAATCATCCGAAGCGATACTCTCACAAGGTGACAATGTATCTAAAGACCCAGCCCGTGCCCTGCCCAATCTTCTATTCTTCAATGACAACGGACTACTCTCATAAACTCCCATAGCTCTCCTGGATGCTTTCGGAGTGGAATCAACAATCGTCGACGTAGCTTCCGACGGCTGATTACTATTGGTTATCGTATCATCGAACAACAACGCTGGTTGATCAGCGATTTCATCATCAATCAGAAAGTCTTCTCTACCATCAGACAAAGATAAAGAATTGGAAGCGTTTGTTGGACTCCCTGGACTTGAAGGTGTGTTCTTTTCATTAATATCTTTCGAATCAGAAGACACAGCACTCATTTTCCTGTTTTTATCATTATCAGGTTTACCAGTGGAGCTTTCATGATTTTCTGACGTTGATGACGAACTGCAGTTGATGCTGTCAACAGGTGACGGCTCATCAGCAATCAAAGGTACACTGATATTCGATGCAGCTATGGCTGCAAATGTTGGATCAACCAATGAGAGTCTATTATGAGCTTTAGCTGAAATCAGACTCTCGATTGAAGCTTCCATAACAGGTAAAACAGCTGGAATGACTTTATCTCTGCTCTCATCGCTGGAACTGTTACAAACCGATGAGAATTCCTCAGCCATTGCTTCACCAGCATGCGAAGACCACATTTGATCATCTGAACTGCCTGCATCGCGTGTAACCTGCGGTTTTTTGATGAATTTCGCGATTTTTTCCAGGCGTTTAAAAGGTTGGTCTTCTTCGCAGTGACTGGAAGCTTCTGATGATGTAAAAGAGTTCTTCCTTTGCATCTGACAACGATTTTCTGTCATTTTTTTATCAATTACATTGCGTTGGTATTCCGCGGCTCTATCACGAACGTTTCCTGTACTAGGACTGATCCTAGTGTAATTATTACTGAAACTGCTCAATGTGGGCACTGGTAGGTCGGCCATGTTGTCATCGACGTCACGAACATCGAAAGTGTTTCTATTTACAATCACTTCGAGTGTTCGTGGCTTGACAAACTTAGAATTACGTATTCTCCGTGACATCGGTGACTTTTCCAATTGTTTGATGTTTTGATTATCGCCACAGTTGCTACCAACGCCTGAATCTTCAGTAAAATATGATTCATCACCGGATGTGCCTGCAGTTCGTCCTTTTTCGCCTTGTTTCTTACTGTTGTTAGCCAGCGTCTTTGCTGTTTTACTCTCGAGTAACTTAATCGGTTGTGGTCTTGGTAATTGATTCGTCTGTAAAGTATACTTTCCAACTCTTCCGACATTTTTATTTGAATCTGTATTGATCAGTTGTAGATGGCGCTGTTGCATTTCAACTTTAGCTTTGATTTCGTTCTCGATTTGCTCACGTTCTTGATTATTATTCGCGTATTCAATGCGTGTTGGTGGATTTATGTTGATATCAGCGACGCGGTTTAATCTATTAGCGTTAGGTTGACGGAAACCGAAGCGGCTGGGTTTGGTGGTGGCTTGCGCTTCTTTTTTCGGTGCTGGGAGCCGATGTGGGGTTGATTTACCGGATGGCACTGCGTTGGAGGTGAGAGATGCTGTGTCATGGCTGGAAATTGGAATTGTGTGTGGTTGTTCTACACCGGTATTGCCATTACTATCGACTGATTCGGTTGCGTTGGCTAATCGTCTTGCTGCTGTGGGGTTGTTGGTTGTTAGCGTGCATGCGGGTGGTGCTGATGTTGGCTTTTTGCGGAATCCGAAAGATGTCGCTACGCCTTTTGTGGCTTGTTTCTTCATTGGTGGTTTTATCTCTTCCTCAGGACTCTGGAAATTTAATATGAGTTAAGTTAGGTTATGATTTCTTTAAAATGATGTTGAGGTTAAGTTAACATCGTGCAGGAGGTGTAATTATGCTTGTAGCATGTGGAACACAATGGAATGAGCATAATTAGGAACAGATTGCCAATTAACATTCACTTTTCCACCTTTCACTGCAGTGTTTTGTGGAACAATGATTGGTTTAATTGAAGGCACAATTTATTTGTTTTTTGTAAACAAAACTTAACATAAACAGTTATGTTTTATATGTTTTAGACTACAGTCTCTAAAAAACTAAAGTAAGTAGTTTTGATAAGTACTTGAAGCAATAATGACTCTATTTTCCGTTTGAACGAAGACGATTTACCAACTCATTTAATTCCGCACTTGAGTTGGCAACGCATACGAAATGTAGAGAAGAAAAAACGTACCGTACCGAAATTACTCGTAAGTTATGTATTTGTTATAATCACGTCGTTTTTGACATACATACCAAGCAGATTAAATCAGAAATTGTAAAAAACTAGATAATGACGTGTATAACATCGAAAATATGTGTTAATTCTTCAAAACACTCACTAAATTTAAAGGTAAATATTTTTAGATGTACTTTGCAGTCTGATTAATACATAGTAGGTTTATTTTGAAGCTTTTAGTGCTTTGACTGCAGTGCGCGAAAGCACAAAGCACTGAAATCGATTTAAGTGAACTTGAAAATTTACGACAATGTGCTTTACTCACGCAATATTGATTTGTTTCGCGAGTTGACTCCCTAAACGCTTTTCTACTATTCTAACGATTCCAACAATTTGGCAGATAGAATTAATTCACTTTCATAAATATTTATGAAGGTATTTTTGTGATAATATGCGGGTAATAAACTTCGTTATGTATGCAACCCACAATGCAGATAAATCTATGGTTATAAAATAACTTACAAAATATACACAAATGTTGAACTTTTTCTTTGGGAATCGTTATGAATTCTTTATATTCTTCTTTCTTTGTGTTTTTTTTATTGTTTGGTATTCATCCTTTCATAAACTAGTTTTTATGAAATGGAATCAAATCTGTGTCATCTTTTCAATAGATTTTAAGCTGGTGATAGTGTAGGTTAAGCCTTAAAATATGAGTGTGAGACACGATGCAAAAGGTGAACGAATGACCAACCTTTCCAACTGTTTCCAACCTTTTGATAGCATCGTCTCTTTGGTGCTTCTGCTTGTACAGACCACAGACAGGTAATTCCCATCTGAATATACCGCTATTTCTCTTTACAACGCTTGTAAAGTGCATCGTGGCATTTTATTTTGCATTGGAATTTGTCTATAATGCATTCTTGTATTAAGACATAATTTTGTTATAGGTTAAGTTAATTTTATCTATTAGCTATTCTATTTAACCTAAATTAACCTAAAAATATTCATATGCGGTTATTATACATTAATTGTTTGAGTTTTCTTTCTCATATGAGTGAAATTAATTTATTTCTGTTGGTTGTTTTCTTGTAAAATCAGCAATTTGCGCAATTTCATCGCGTTTTTTCTTTACTTTTTGCAATTTCACCATCTTTTACGTATTCCGATAGTCGGCGGATAAGATGGAGAAAGTTTTAATGCTCAAATTGCAAATTGCTAAATCGCTGATGTAAATAAATTGCTAAATTGTTTTAACGTCGCATAGGTCTACATGAGAAATGCGCATGCATACATCCAACGCGCATCTATAGGCTGACATTTGATGCAAGCCTCAATTTGGTATTGTGCGGGCGCATTGCTCACACTATGCAGATAAATCAACAATATGCGTACATATGCGAGTATAGTGTAGGAACATTCACATTCACCGCTCATTACTTATTGAGCGCATCTTCAAGAATGCAATGCGAAATTTTAACAGTGTTAACCTTTTTTAACACGACATAACCTCAATTACAGGATATTTAAGTGTTTTTATTGTATTCGGTGTGTAAAAACACTCAGTTCAATTTCAATGTAAATAATGTAAAATACACATTTTATACAATTGTGTAGCCGGAATCTTGAATTTCACGAATAATGGGTTGCATACAAACGCATTAAATACATAAACTCATGTTTAGTGTGAGTAAAAATTAAATTTAAGAATCAAATCGCTTATTTCTTATTGTTTATCGTCTAAAAGGATGTTAAATGAAATTTTGACAAGTTTTTAATACATTCTAACCTCAATTATAACTGATTTTAGTGTTTTTATGATTTACACTGTGTAAAAACACTAAATTGACATTAAACTAACGTAGAATACTCGTTTTCACAAATGTCTAACCTGAATATTGACTTTCGTGTGTAATGGGTTGCATACAAAAGCATAAAGTTCATATACGCGCATAACAGCTTATTTCTTACTGTTTATCAACAACCAGAATGCAGTACGTATTTTTAAGACTTTTTAACACAAAATATCTTCAATTACTACGTATTTATGTGTTTTATTCTTTAAATTGTCTAAAAACACAAATTTTGACATTAAACTAACCTAAAATACTCTTTTTCTCAAATATCTAACCTGAATATTGAATTATACGTACAATGGGTTGCATACAATCGCATAACATACACATCCACACGTATAGTGTGTGTGCAAAGAGTAAAGTTTAAGGATTAAACCCGCTTAACTTACTACTCGCGTAACTTAACGATTCGACGGGTTAACGGGTTCCCGCACTGACCTTTCCACTACGCCTGCATGACCTTCTTATTTTACTACACTTGCATAAGATCCACCACACTGCGACTTCCTCTAGCGCGGCATTTTAATCTTGTGAACATTTTTTGCCCAATTTACACGCTGCTTAAACACAATAAGCGGCTTTTTACAGATTTGTAGAAAGTAAATCCATGTCAAACAATTCAAACAGTTAAATGGAAATAGATCACTTGGGAACTAGGTTTTCCCGGTTCCCAGAGGATGAGTCATCGTGAAATAGTTTTCTTTTTGTAAAAAAAGAGAATTTTAGAAGAAAAAACAGATTTTTTTGAGTTTTTAAGCAAAAATTGAAGGAAAAATGAATAAAAAATGAATTTTTGTTTCTAAAATCACTAAAAATTTATATTTTTTACTTCAATTATTGAATTTTTCTACTTTTAAGACAAAAAACTGCAAATTTTCTATTAAAAAACAGATTTTTCGCATTTTTTCTGCAAAATTAAATGCAAAATAAAATGACCAAAACCAATTTTTTTACTAAAATTTCTTAATTTTTATTCTTATTTTATAATTTTTCTTATTCCAATAGAAAAAAAAACACCGGTAAACAAAAAAATTCGCGATTTTTTCAATAAAAGTCAAAGTAAAATGCCCAAAAATCAATTTACTACAAAATTTCTCAAAATATTCACCCGTAAATCAGGCGGACATTCGTCCATCAACAGATTACTGTAGTTGTCCATCTTGTTGGAGTGTTGCGACGAACGCCTGAAGATCTTCTTAAACCACTTCACCTTGGCGACTTTCTACGCGCTTGCTTCACAATAACAACTGCACATACTACAGCCAACCCTTTAACACTACTACCGCTTCACATACGTCTGTATTTCTACAATCGTAACTTGCACACTACTTTAATACTTGTATATTCGCAATAACTGGCTTCGTGAATGCGTTTGATTTGATTTCAGCTCGGGTTTGCCAAACTTCCGGAAAGTCTTCGATTGCAGAACTGCGGTTGGGGTTGTTTTAACGCGATGGAGAATTCGTGCGAGCGTTATCATCGATCCGCGCGAGTGCGGCGGCGTGGCGGCGGTGACGACCATGCGCCGCGACGCCAGCACGCAATCTCCGCATATTCCAACTCGGACACTCGCAGAGCATTTAAAATTAGAGCGCCATTTCGAAATTATGTGTGAATTCCAAATTTACACGTACTACTGCACTACTTTTATAAATAACTCTTTAAAAAAATCAAAATTTTTGATTTTATTTATTTTTAGGTTAAAATATTGTGCAGAATAACACGCAGAATATAAATAAGGTTATGTTTCGTTATAAATCACCGTTAAAAGTGATTAAATGTTGATTTATGGTAATTACTTCTCTTTAACAGATGGCGTGCTATTCACTTAGTGGTAATTTGATATAAAAACAATGAAATATTGCAATCGCGCCGTTAATTTATATTTTGCCGGCGGTTAATAACTTACCATTAAGTGTTTGGACATGTTGTGGTAATTTTGTTGATGTATGACCACAGAAGATGTTGTAAACGCTGTGACAGCTTTGCGGGACATGCATTGACCCATCGAGCCGGGTTTTGTGGACTTTTACTGCTTGTTATAAAACTGAAAACAAATTAAAAAAATAAATAAAACATAAAAATTGATGGTTTGCGTTGCTGGTGGACAGGTTTTGATTCGATGCATAGTTAAAGTTGATTAATCAATAAATAAATAGCAATGGTGTGTTAAAGAACTTGTTTTTACAGTTAGATACTGTGAATAAATTAGATTAGTGCAGTTGAAACGCTGTTAGAAGTTAAAACACATTGTGAAACTCATTTTTTGTGTTGAGATTTAGTGTATTGTGGGTTGCAGTTGCTACTGTGGCCCTTTAGCAGGGATTGATTGTTTAAAAAATTAGTTTTAATAGTTATACATTAAAAATTAATCATATAAATGCAGTTAAACATTGTTAAAAGTTTTAAAACGTTCTAAAACTAATTTTTATACCAAGATTTTGTGTATTTTGGGTTGCGGAAATCACTGTGTGCCTCTCTCACACATTTATTGGTTAAAGAACTTGTGTCCACGGTTTTACAATGAAATTAAATTAGTTTAGTGCAATGAAATGTCGTTAAAAGTATAAATAATGCTCTAAAACTAATTTTTATAGTAAATTTTAGTGTATTTTGGGTTGCAGTAACCAGGCGTACTTCAATCACGCAGAGTTCGGACTGATCGGACTGCTAAAAGTTAAAACACATTCTAAGCCTACGTTTTACATTAAGATTTGGTGTATTTTGGGTTGCGGCGATTACATTCCGTTATACATCACACAACACGAGTCACACAGCAGCATAACCAACAAAAATCATTCAGTGACTAAACATTTGTGCAGAATTTACGCTTGTAATTTAAACCATTACTAATACAAAGGTAAGACTGAAGTTAAATTATTTCCTCACAATTTACTCTCCACTTTACGTACATTCTCTATTAACGTGAGAATTGCGTATCCGTGAAAATTCTCATTATGCGCCAGATACGCCATCTTCAAATTGCAGACATTGCAATGCGGCGTGTCGTCACACACTCCTGAGAAAAATCCACAAGCGCATCATGCTCGGTGCGCGCAGATTGCGGCAATACACTGCAATAATCGTGTGAGTTGAGTTTCCGCGCACGGGTTCAAAAGTGCAATGACCAAAAATTGCAACAAAACCCATCATCAAACTGTATAAATCTGAGTAGATAATAGAATACTCTGCAAGTACGCAGAAATGAAGATGGGATTTAATTGAACAGCAAACAAGAAGCACTATGAAATACTAAGGAAATGTACAAAGTATTTAAAGTACTCATAATCAACTGTACACTTAGTACAATGAGTAATTACAACGCGGATATTCTTGCAAAATACATATTGACAGTGTTATACAAATATTAAAGTCAGAGTATTTATTTAGTTGATATGAGTTTATCGGATAAATGGAAAATTTGAGTTTAAAACCGGTATTTTGATATATTTATTAAAAAATACCGGTATAATATCAGTATTTATAAAATTAATTAATAAATATTTTTAAAACGGTATATTTTAGAAGCGATATTGAATTTAAAAATCCGGTATTTTTAGTTTAAATACCGGTATTTGAAACAAAAAATACCGGTATACCGGTTTTAACACCGGTATTTTTCAACTATAATAGAAAAAAATATCGGTATTTAAAAATATCGGTATTTAAAAAAAAATACCGTAAAAATACGTAAGAGAATTTTATTTATTTATGATTATGATTATTATTATTATTATTTGCGCATTGTAAGTGATAAAATCAAATTAATTATTATTATCTAACATACAATGTGTGTGTACTTCCCATTTTATCTTTTCTTATATTGTTGTATTGTGTATCTATTGTTGTTAGCAGATAATTATAAATTCATTAGACGTATTCAATGCTTTAACACGAGCAGATTTTCTTTTACACTTGCTTTGTGCATTTTATTACTATTAATAATAAAGAATAGCTTCATTATACGCTCATCATTATTAAATTAATATAATTGAATGCGTAAACACTCATAAAATATCACTTAATATCATTAATTAATATATTTCTGTAGAAAAAAAAACTAAAATTTTACATTTTTAGCATTTTCATGACATAACCTCACTGAAAAAATAGTTTTCCTTATTATATTTACATATATGTCGTTAATAGGCTCTAAAACATAACCTAAAACGATAATTTCCGCAAACTACACCATATTATAGCAGTTTATTCGTGTAAAGCACTTAACTTTTAACATTTACAGAATACTTATTCATTCACTCATTCCACATTCTAATTTCTCCAGGAAAGAATTGCTATTCTGCTGCTAATTACGAAAATGAAACAAAAAAAAAACGAGCATAATGGACGCGGCGCGTTCGTAATAATTGTTTGGCACACGGCACGAGACACAACACACAGGCTCGTGAGAAGTGTTGTTTCAAGTAGAAAGTGGGCGCGAAGCATAAACACAGCCATCAAATATGCTTTGCATTCAAATGAAACTCAACGCGATGAAACAAATCGAAATCTGATACCGATCTCGGATTTGAATCCGTGCACCGGACGCGAAATGGAATACTCGTATCTTTGCAAGGCAAAGCCGCAGGCCCGCGGGTCAAATATGGCGGATTGGTCAGGTACAAAGTACAAAGTTTCCAAAAGTTTAAGAGTTATTTGACTTGTGATCCTTTCACATCTGTTACAGTCAGTTATTTGTACAAGATTTTAATGGTTTTAACGAGGTAAAGGATTTTAACGATTATACAACCGTCACGATTCTTATGTTATGTGTAATGATGTAGTTTTAGAATACCGCAACATATATAACATGTGGTGTGATGTGGGTTGCATATGTTTGGCACATCTGATCATAGATGTCAAATTGGTGTTAAACTTGAAATTCATTCAAAACATTTTAAGGTTAATTTTTTACTGGTTTTTGTATTTTCACGGGTTTTTAGTATTACTAGCTTTAACCCTTGGCTTCGCTCGCGAATATCTAAAATAATGAAGATGCTTCCGTACGCGTCGGTAGTCACAGAAGAAGTAACAATGAAGTAGAATGGCGGGAAGTTTAAAATGGCTGAAAGTATAGTCTATGGAAGTATAGTGTACAGGCTCCATAGTGTAGTCAATTGGATTTGATGTTGACGTAGCTCTCGGTAATACAATGTGATAACACAGTGTGATGGTACTATAGTACTTAGGTTTGAGCTTCATTGCTGGAATGCTAGATGGCGTTAAAGTAGTCAAATAGCCAGATGCAGAGGTATTATTGGCTAAACAATTTCTTTATTTTATTTAAAAAATATTTTTTTTTATTGAATAAAAAGTAGCCTATAACTATTCGGGGACCACTAAGAATATGTGTACAAATTTTCATGATGATCGATTAAGTAGTTTTTGCGTGAAAGTGTAACAAACATCAGGACATTCGCATTTATAATATTAGTAGGGATGTGGTGTGATGTGGGTTGCATATGTTTTGCACATCTGATCATAGGTGTCAAATTTGACTGATGCTAAACTTGAAATTCATTCAATCAATTTTAAGGTTAACTTTTTACTGGTTTTTGTATTTTCACGGTTTTAAATTATTATTTAAACAAAAGTAAGTAATAATAATAATGATGCGTAGGTTAGCTGTCAACGGTGTTCTGAGAGGTTGGGCTTGCTAGTAACGTGTCGGTGCGTTGTGAGGTTGGAAGCACGAATGCCGCTGAGAGCTGCCACATGTCATCAGGACAGCTCCCTAGAGATCCTAGCACCCTAGGATCTCTAGTTAAGCATCCTTAGCGCGGTCAAGTCGGCGGTGCTCGTAGCCCCAATCGCCGCTAGAGGGCGCCGGAGCCAAAGGTGGCTTCAATAACAATAATAAAAGTAATAATTAAATTCAAGTAAATAACTGAATTGGTGTGATTTGGGTTGCATATGTTTCATAAATCAAATTTAACATCTTCTAAACTTGATGTAATTTCATTTTAAGGTTAACTTCCTACTGGTTTTGTATATTTACGAGAGTAATAATTAAACCAATTTGCCGTCGGATGCGCCACGCCGCCAAACAACAAAGTGTCGGAATAATAAACCAGCGAAATTCTTGCGATGCTTGCGATTCCGCACGGTTGTTAATTGCGGCGAGTGCTTAACTGATCATCTCCATGCGGATTGCAGCAGGCAACCAGCCGAGCACGAAGCACCACCGCATTGTTATACCTTGTATTCTCTGTACGAGTAAGTACATACACACTATTTAAACTTGTTATACATGCTGTATTCGTAATATATTTCAGTATTTGCACTAGCAGCGCGAGGAGCTACACACGTAGGTAATTATTATGTTCCTTATTGTTACAATTGGTTTTGTTCATGGCAAGAAGCGTGCCGAATCGAAAGTGTCAATTACCTCGCTACTCGCACTTAAAGCGCAAGAAGAATTTTAAGAAGAACATAGAATTTTTTAAATTAAACATAACATATTATATATAAGAAATAAAGTGTTTTTAAACACATGAAAGCGTAAAAAATGGGAATTTTCTGAATAATAAAATGGGTAAACACATGTGCAGTGTCATAAACACGATCGTTTAAAAATAAACGAGGTTATTGTTCAATTGAAGCTGTTTAAACAACGCAGGACGTCATTTTCTAGGAGCGACATGCTTTTACCAGATTATTTTATTGAAGAGGAAGTTGTAAATACAGAAATATAGTCTTAGGGAACAATTAGCTACTTATAATTAACTTAGAAGTTTAAAAAGCATAGTAGTTGTAGAGTTATTAAATTATATTTACACGCTTTCGATTTTTAAGGGCATTGTGAAGCAAATAATTGAAGTAAATGGCTGCGGAGTACTCCTACCAGTTTTTGCGGGTTGTGCGCAAGTATAAAAGGGCTGCGCGTAGCGATAACACGCTCATTCGTTTGGCATCAGCCAATGAAAATAGTGGTAGGTTTACAGATTCCTTTTTTATCTTTTTTTGACCTTGGGTTTGACAGAAGTAAATAAATTTAACATTTTTTAAAGATTATAATCCCTTTTTATGTAAATATGTACATATACATACATATTAAATCAAAATCAAAATTGCACATAATCAGCACATTATAACACATACAAGTGTATTTTTTACTTCAAGTAATCTGTAATTTTTGTCTGCTTTTGTTTTTTCATTTAATTAATTTTCTTGTGATTTTCGAAGCCTCTTCGGTTTCAAAACATTTGAATTGAACGATTGCTTAATGCGGTTCTTGTTTTTTAAAAAGCATTGAGATTGTCGAATGACCCACGCCAAATTCGGATTAATGGAAAATACGGATTAAGTTGTGGTCAAGGTACTGCTGCCCGAATGCTCTTATTTATTATTTAAGCATTTGGTCTTTCCGATAGTAAATACATAAAAGTAATTTGACAATCATAAAAGAAATGTAGCAATAAATATAAAAAGTTCGCCACGTGTCGAACGTCGTCGGGTATCAACGAACATTACCGGAGGTGTAAAGAATCATGTTGGTCAATATAACCGGACATAATCTGTTAAAAATGGGTCATAATAAGCGACATGTCACTGTAAGCGAAGTCATTATATCAGACTTTTTTTATACAGAATTTTATATGAAAACCAAACTTGGTAGTGTAGTTACGTCATAATAACCGGTTGGTCAATATAAGCGGAGTCATAATAAACGGATTCTACTGTATCTGTTGAAATTTGAGTTCGTCTACAAAATTCATTCTCTTCCAACATATTAAGTTTTCTGTTTGAGGGTAATATTTGGTACCATGTAAAAGTTTATTTTCTTATTTCCAAGAAGTAGAGAAAAAGTACTCGAGCTAAGAGTCATAAATCTAGGTATAATTAAGGGCAGTACAACCAGAGTAACTCTGACATACAGAGTTGTATGGAGTTAGTTCGTTTCGAGCCTTGATATCGATAAGACATACTTCCGAAAACTCTAATTTTGGATAAACGGCAATCGTTCACAATTAAACTTCGTAATTATTTAATAAAATCACCGGTACCTAAATCCATAATTCCAACAATATCAATATCAAGTAGTAATTCACTTAAAAAATCATTTATTTTCAATTTATCAATGATTAAAGACAGTATTTAAGCAATATTCTTCTTTAAAAAAGTTTTAATTACGAAAAAAGTGTCTAAAATGATTAAAACTTTCATTTTTCGTAATTTTTTAGATTATATATCTTCAAAAATCAAATAGAAATTATTTAACTAGCAATATTTACTCGTAAATATTAGTTTACCAAACACATGATCTCATAGAATGTGCTAAATGATAAATTCAGTTGGTATAACTTTAAAACACGATTTAAACTTACATTTTAATGAATTTCTTGCAATATAATATCTTATTCACTTGTTACAACTTGAATCTACGAAAAGAAGTTGATAGTCTTCTTCATGAAGCACATCAAACACTAAACAAAAATGTTTCGAGTTGTTTGGCTTCCAGATGAACACGTTTTATGTTACAGTTCAACATGTTCAACAATAAAAAAAACTTGGACGGAAATAAATTACATGTGACAAAAACAAAACTACAAAAAATAAATTAACACGATAAATAAACTAAATGCAAATAAAAACTAAACTAAACTAAACTATGGTTAATTATGCGCTGTAATAATAATAAATAAATAATTAATGTCTGGTTATCTTTACCTGTGTGGTCTTTATACCACTTTGTCTCCATTGTTATCACCGCACATAGCGCACATTTTTCACTACCAACAGTTTTTAAATCAAAAATCACAAAAAACTCGCTGTTACATCAAACCGATGAAAAGAAAAAAAAGCGCACACACGTGAGTGCACCGCATCGCATCGAGCGACGTGCGGCGAATTCTTCGTCTTCACCTTGCCGGAATGTTAGCCGCCGATGGACCGATTCGCATTCGCCGCACGCGGGCTGACCTAAAGCGCTAAGATCTAAAGAGACTAAACTACGCGAGCGCGCGCGCTACGCTCCGGCTTGATCGTTCGAGGACGAGCGCCGATCGCCGACTTAACTCACGGCACTCGCGCTGCAATCCGCGCACTTGCGCGCACGACGTTCACCATTCCATTCTTCCACGCTCGGAATGACGGAATTCAAGAGTAATGAATATGAATAGTGTACATGTTTGTATTTATGTATGTATGTGTATGTGTGGTGGTATATTCTATACTCATAAAAGCAGAGTGAAAGAAAATACATATGCTGGTCAGGTATTTGTAAAATGTAGAAATATGTATTACAAATACAACGTAGCATTTTTATTTTTGATTTTATCACGTTATAATGAGGTATTGTGACATCGTGGACCAAAAAATAAGAATATTGAGATTTTACGTGGATAGGCAACTGTTTAATCTTTTGTTGCGCTGGTTATAAACTCAATTACTCTTGTAAAAATGCCGGTAAATATTTCCTGAAGTCTAAATATGAATTCCGCGTCGCTCAGTTGTATTCACTTGTGTTATGTTTAAATGATTTTGTTGTAACGTAACGTGTACCCCAACAAATTAGCTGAAAAATCGTGCTTAAGTTATAGAAATTTGCATTGCAATTTGTAGGGATGTTGGGATCATAATTACAACAATATTTTAAATGTTACCATCGATGTCATGTCTTTGAAAAAATATTCTAGCTCATAATTGCTAGAAATTAAAATATTTTTCGTCATTACACAGAGAAACTCTAACGTTATATCAGGGAAATTAATATAAATCAACCAAATAAGGTTAAAACAAGGCTAAACTCTACGTAGGCAACCAACATTACACCTTTTACTTTTTTATGGTTGCACAGACAAACTATAACTTTATACCGAGAAAATTAAGTTTTTCGTTAAATAGAGGCTGCGCTGTATTATATTTTGTTGTCCAATGTTGGACTTGCGGTATACATCTCGAACATAGGCCTTATAAGGTAAATATACATGTTTTATTTCAATTTCTTTCATCTTTTCAACGTGTTTCCACTTCTCAACTCATTTTCTTCTCAAAATATGCATAATTATCAATTTATTCATCTCAAGCTTTATTTGTTATGCATATTTATACTTACATTCACATATTATCAACAGGTAACCCACAATATTTATGCAAAGAGTACCGTTTCAGCCATTCCGCAACCATTGGATTATTACGGTCGCCGTGCGCTTCAATCTGCTGATAATAAGTCTCTCGTATCAATTTGAAACACTTACTGTTGTTGTATGGCAGTGAAGTCAACGGATCCACATATTTCGCGTTCAAACTTTAAATTTAAAAACAAAAAATCATTAATCAATCATTATTATCAATCAATTTTTTTTAAAAATTACTTACTTTGTAATTGCACATTTTGCTTTAGGCACATGCCTCGGTTTCTTACTTTTAAAGAAAGTATCAACCAATTCATCATTGGGATCATTCATAAAAGTAATCAAAGTCCTTTCGTAGAACTTACTCTCATTGTTATCTTCATTTTCTGTATCATTCTCATCAATAACAGGCATTTTTAGTGATTGATATAATATAGTTGGGCCTGATGAGATCTTCTTGGTAATCTTTTTTGTTTTCTTTTCATCTTCTAACTGTTGATACTTTTCCAGTGATTTTATATTTTCACCTTCTGTTACTTTAGCTTCTTCTAAGAGTTCTTCCTGTGTTGGCACCCAGTCATCCTCTTTCCTTCTGATTCTTTTCTTTTGTACTTGATTTCGTACTTTGACTCTTTGTGCAGTTTCAGCTGTTTTTGCAGCAGTTGTCTTGCGAATTGATTTTCTTTCAGTGAAATCCAGATATTCATATGGGATTTGTCTGGATTCTGTTCTTGGTTGTTTAGGTTTGGGTTTAGGTCGGGGTTTGGGTGGTTGTTGCTGTTGTTTTGTGGATACAGGTTCTTTGTATGATTTGGTTACAAGCCGGCGTTTTTTCTTCTCTGGCTGTTCTTCTGTGTCGGATACAGGTTCGTCATTTTCATCAATACTGAAGTCTGAATCGACTATATCTTCGTCATCTTCCTGCGCCCTTAATTTATAATAATAATTGTTATTATATTGTTGGTTTTAGTGTTAAATATATAAAACTTACTCATATTCATTGTCTGTTTCAGTTTCCTCGAAACCGCCGTAGTTGACCTTGTAAAATTCGTCCTGGCAGTCTTCCTCGTTGTCCAGGAGTTTGGACATACGATTGCCAGCATTATGTCTTCGATCTCGGTTCATTGTAAGTGATATTTGTTAATGTAAAAAGTGATTAATGTTGTTGATTATTGCGGCGACAACAAACCATCTGTCGGTTAAGGTCGGTTTACATCGTGTTGCGATGACAGCGCCAAAAAGCATGAGAGTGGGCAAAACAGGTACTAGAAGTTTTATTTTATTTTTTAAATTTGCAATTTTATTTCACCTCTACAAAAACATTTATCTATACAATAACATTTCAGTTACTGATCTGTTATTACATTTGCTAAGGTGTTGATTGCAGGTAACACAAAGAGTTGTTTATCACGTTTTTAAATATAAATATTTATTATCACATCGTGCTTCTGTAGTTGTGCAACTTTTGAACATGGCGATCGCTATTTACTAATATTTAGCAAAATAATACAAAAAATAATAAAAGAAACATAAATATCATAAACTTGTGCGACTATATCAAACTTTTCCGGTGATAAACCAATGCGCGGTCTAGTTTTCATGTTTTTTTCGCGCCTCACCATTCACGAACAGTCATTTCTTAGTACGATGTGTGTTTTGAGGTTATAAATCAACCAACAATCCTCGCATTCCGTGTTGTTTCATGTTATTATCTAGTGTTGATGTTAACAAGTGTTGTTAAAGACTAATTTACAACTTAAACATAGTGCATACATCAGCATAAAACGACAACATGGATGAAAATAGTTGGCTGCAACGATTCAAGCGCGCCTGTGCAGATCTCCATGATTCGAAAGTGAAAACCAGAAAACAAGGTTTTGAGAACCTCTCCACACTACTAGAGAATCCCAATCTAATTAAACAACTCAACGATAATGTAGACGAGTGGAATGAGGCTTTTACATCCATCAAAACCCTTTTGTACAAGGTATTGTATATTTATAACGGTTTTTTAAATGTTTACTTTACACATGCATGTGAACATATTACTGGTGTATTTGGTGTATTGAAAGTTGCCTATCGTAACTTAGCAATACATAAAAATGTCGATTCATAGGAAATGACAAAACTTGAAGAAGAATTGCGGAAAAAAGGCAAAGAAGGTGCACGATCCAGTGCATTCGCTTGTGAATCCAGAGATTTATTACATTCAGTAGTAAAAAATGCCAACAACAAACGTAATTAACATAAATTAAACATAAATATGTTATTTTTTTCTAAATTTTAAAATTTCAGGTGGTATTATTAACTTTAACGATTACTATCGTTATCTAAAAGATTGCAAAAACAATCAGCATTTTAAAAAACACTGTCTGGAGTCTTGTTTATCAGTCTTTGAGCATTCTTTCCTAATGATTGATTCCTATTGGGATCAGTTCGTTTTCGAAGAAATTATTTCGATGAAGAACTTATTCAAAGCTTTGCACGAAGAAAATCCGTCATCCAAAGCCCTAAGATGTTACAATGCTGTATTACTCAAAGGTGCCGATTATAAATTACCTTTGTCTATAATCAAACAAGAAATTGTGTTTGTGCGTTCAGTCATATCCGAACTACATAGTGCTGTGCGATGGTTGCTTGAATCTTCTGCGCAATTGTTTTTAATTTTTTGTCAGACTTGCGGAGCAAGTTATAGACAATTATGCACAACCGAAGGGGAAAATGCTTTGTGTTACTTGTTTAGTTTTTATAATCCACACGACAGCATTTCTATATACAAGGTAATAAATAATTTAAATTAACTTTACTGATGAAGTAGTTTATTTTGTTTTTATTTATTTTAAGACTACTCTAATGGAAATAATGCTTCTTCAACTGGAGTATCATGAAGGAATCGATGCTACTCCTCGTTGGGGTGAAGCCTTATTACTCATGGGCAAATTAATAAAAAGCAGCATTGATTTGAATGACACTTTAGTGTTCACAGATGGCAGTGCAGGCGTTAAGTTTAATGAAAATTTAATTCAAGTTGTTTTGGGTTGTTATAAACAAAGCTACGATGCGCATTTGTTAAGCGGGGAGGAACCAGACGCCAAACGAGCGAGAAAAGATGCAACTTTTATGGAGATATTTAATAATATCGAAATTAATATTGAACAACAATGGTAAACACCTTTTATAATCTAATTTACTGTGTAATTACTTTAAAAAACATATTTTTGATGTTTTTTCTTTAAGGATTTTATTATTTTCGTTTATTTTGGAGAAATATCCATCAACTATATCAGAATCTTACTTCCGGAGACTCCTAACCTGTTTTTCCAACTATGTGAAAGACAGCAAGTCGATGATAACACGCGGTTATGTTTTTAAATGTTTATCAGCACTCATAGGCGTTGAAGAGCATTTATCCGCTAATAATGATGATTATATTTCTACAACAAGCGAATGGTTACTGGCTTATGACTCAGCAATACGGTAAATACCCTAAAAACACTTATAACCTTATTCTAACCTAAAACTTAAAAATTATATAATAATTTTAATTTAAGGACAATTGGTCTGAATCAAAATGCAACCGAGAGCCATCAATTGGTGCAATTAATATTAAAAATCAAAAAACATTCAATTCTATCACCTGAAGATGATGCAAAGCTCTGGACGCTTTATAAGTCACATACGATACAAATAAGCGAACACAGCTTGAAAACATTCCACACTTTTGCCAGTTATCATGGTTTGGGTGATAATAGTCAAGAGTTCAAGAGCTCCATGATTAATTTCATCCTACAAACTGACATTTCTCATGAACGACGGAAATATTCACACTTTTCCTATGCGATTTCATCCGAAGTTGTAGTAAACTTAACTTTCAAGTACTACACCAACGCGGAATCAACACTATCGGTATCAATCCTCAATATTTTGACTTATAATCATCTTTTGAGTCAATTAAACATGATTATAAATCAAGTCATGCAGAAAAACACAAATGACTATGATGTGTATCTAAATTGCTTACATTTACTTGTTGGATTGATGTTTTACTATCAGAAATTCAACACCAATGCAACGAATTTGATGAAAATCTCAGTGCCAATCATTCAAACAACCTGGCAGAAGATGATTACGTTTTTTGGGACATTTGGTAATTTTACAGCGCGAAAAATCACCGATACAATGAATCTGTTCCATTCCATACTCAAAATGGATGAAAACTTAGGCGTAATCAAGAAAACCATCGATATGTCGTTTATTGAGAGTTTGGTTGACGCACAATGCGATTTGGACTCAGAATCCACCAATTTAGAAGACCTGAAAGTAAAACTCAAACTGTTAATCGTCAAAATATTAACAGTATTCGCTATAAAAGCAGAAACAGAAGAACAGAAAACCGTACAATTGATGTTGTATGAATTCGACGATTTTGATCCTTGTAATGACGTTGATTATCAACAAGCGATGATTATCTTGGAAGGAATCGCAAGTGAGAATTGCCAGTTGGATATACCGAGTGTAACAGCAATTCTTATACTTTTAAAGAAGATCTGCAATCGGAGATTCCAGGAATACAATGTTTGTATTGATGTGTTACGTGCCTTACGAAACGCTTTCTTCCACTTGATACGTATGGATGACTTGACAGGTTTGCTAAAGAATGATTTCATGGGTATTTTCAAAACTTTGCATCACGTGCGTCGGAATTACGGCTACAAAGTTGAACTTGCTTTGGTCAATTGCATCGATTGTTTACTGCAGGGTAAAACATCTTTAACTTGGGCCAAGTATAATGATGAATTTATGGTTGGATTGTTACCATATTACTTGGAAAGTGAGTCTTTGACTGTTCAACAGCAAGCTATCAAAACAATTTCGCTAGTTTTTGAGCATGCATCGAATAATTCCGAAACAGATCGTTTTAAATCACAAATCTTTAAGAAAATCTTAGAAAAGTTTGATTCTTTATTACCTGGTGATGATAGTGACTTATTGGTTAACTTCCACCAGATTGTTTTGCAACTTTTGACTAATATTACAATCTCTGCAAGAGGTACAAAGTTTACGAAGAAAGCTTTGTGTGAATTGTTTGTACGAAGCAAAACATACAACATACCAATTGAAAAAGTCATTGTTGAGGTTAAAAGACTTGAAAATAATCAAATTGATATAAATTCACATATTAATATGATTTTACAACGTTGGTGTGGAAAATATTCCATTCTTGAGTTTCCTTACACACTCTGTATGTACAACACAACAAAAACTTTTTATTTGGATAATTTATCAGTGATTATACCAATGGTACTTAAGTCGAGTGATGAAGAAACACTTGAAGTGATCTGTAAAGATATTGGGAAGACCATGAGTGAAGTAATCGAAGAATGTTATCCAAAATTTCTGGCTTCAAGTCTTATCGAACAAACTTTAGATAGTAATAAACCTAATAATAAAACAATGAACGATTCAACAATGACAGGTCTCACTCAAGTTAAGATAGATCAATTACTTTCATCTGAGAAAGGTAAACAACTCACAAAGAATAGTATCGATGATATTATCATTGAAATAGCAAGATATGTGCATGATCCTGTTCACTTCGAGCAGTTTTTCAATTTTAACATTTGTCTTGCGCAACCTGAAGGTGTTTTCATAACATATGCGGTTTTTATAGAGGATATTATGAGTTTATTGACTGCAGAGTTGTCTTGTAATGTTGTCAGGTATTTAATGGAGAAGAAACCTAGTAAACTGCAGCAGATTTTGTTGAAATTGAAGTATAACATTTGGGAGAAACCAAATGCTGAAGATAAGTTGATAGAGTTCTATAGATACGCCATCATTGTGCAGTATTTGTTGGAACATGAAAGTATTAAAAATTTTGTTATGTTTATCCTGCGGGATGTGATTTATGCGAATATCAACTTGATCAAACACGAAGAAGTGTTGATTCAAACGCTAGCGATGAAATATCTATCGAAATTCATTGAAATTGTTATCCCGAAGTATACAAAACATTTCGCTGAGTTTATTATTGTGATTTGTTCTTGTATGATGCCGCATGCCATACAGGGGAATACAGATGCACTGAATGTGTTGAGAGCGATTATTTTCTCGAATAATGAGAATATTAACAATCATCTACAGTATTTGGATCCGCTTCCAGAGGATAATGAACATCTATATGATCTTAGAGAAAGACATATTAAATTCCGCATGAAAAACAACAGTTTAGAGAATGAAATCATTTTGTTTTTGGTTGGGAAACAGTTTAAAGACTCTAGAACAGAGGGCTTGAAATATCTCAGAGAAAAGTTGAAGAATAACGTCAAAGGACTTAAGAATATTTACTTAAAACTACATGAAATGCGTGGGATATTATCTAAAGATAGTATTTTACATTCGTTGATCACTACGCTTGTTGTTTTGGTGAAATCTAAGGATGAAGAAGAATCAATGGAAGCTGTGAAAGTCCTGGGAATTTTGGGTGCTAGTGATTTGACTACAATGGTTTTGAAATCCGAGGATGTTGTGCAGACTAAAGATTGTTCTTGGTATTTGTTTACGACGAAAATCTTAGAATTATTAAGCGGGTTTTTGGTGGATAAAAATCTTGAGGTTGCGCAATCAGCTTCCAAAGCTTTACATGCTATTTTATCAACTGAAGAAGGACGTAATATTATTAAAAACGAGTCGGTTTTTGCCACAACGCGCGGATTTTTCCTACCGTTTATTTCAAGAGGATCTGGGAAAGCGCAAAGTTTGTTATCTGTTTCACCACAGATGTATAACGAGACTTTATGTGATGAAGAGCTGTGGTGTCCTGAAAGAAGCACGCATGAAGAATGGATCAAGGCTTTGGTTATGAAAATATTAGAAGGATTCACTCATCATGTTATGAAATGTTTGATACCGATTGTTTGTAAAAAAGCATCGTTTGCTGAGGAGTTATTTCCGTTTTTGATTCATTTGTTGATGGATACAACACCACGAGTTAAGAATTTAGTCGGGGTGTGTATTAAGAGTTTCTTTGAGCAACATTGGAGTCTGCAATGTCAAGGAAATGAAGAAAATACTCTACAGAACTTTTATTCTGTTGCAATGAATATTTCTTCGATTAGATGTATATTGAATACAATTCATTTTGTAAGATTACAACGTTTGTGCGATAAAAGAGGGTATGTTTTGGTTTTTATATAATTTAATAAAATTTGATGAAAATGTTTATATTTGTAGAAAATATCAAGAGTTGGAAATGGATTTGAACTATCTACATGTTGCAAAGGCTGCAGAATATTGTTCTGCGCACTTTTCTGCATTGATGTACTCTGAAAAGTGGTACCACGCCGCCATGGACAACGCAGATATTCATCCGGCATATTATGGTCTATCACCAATCAGTCTCCTTGATGAAATTGGTGCGGAAACATCACAATTACGCTTTATTTTAACTCAGGTAAAGTTTTACATTTTAATTCAAACATAACCTATATTAAAATAAAAATATGTTTATGCAACCATTTAAACAGGCTTATAAAGGTATAGGCGATAACTATGCCTTGTTTGGAGGACATTTAGATGACATTTTTAACGCATATGGCGCTGATAACTCCAAAGTCACCGAAAATAACCAAGATTTTCAACTTTTGCATCGTGACATGGCCCTGGCCGAAAGTGCAGTTATGTCAAGCATAATGACGTCTGCACTTAAAATGTACGCACTATACAACCTAGCAATAAGTACAGCAAATCAACATAATGATTACGGAGACGCTTATTATGAATGCATGTGGCGACTATCACAATGGGACCTACCTAATCACGTTCCAAGTTCAAATAGTTTTGAATTCAACATTTACACACTTCTAAATGCGGTGAATGATGATGATAAGACAATGTTTGATTCTTGTGTGAAGAAAACACGACTTCAAGTTGCGCAATCATTGAAAACCGTTAGTTTAGAAAGTTGTAAAACCCTCTATGGTCCGCTATCCCAATTGGAACGGTTACAAGAATTGGAGGATATTTTCACCACTGCCAAGGAAAATGGCGACCTTAAGTTGTTAATCGATGAATTTAAAGTGCGTGATGAGATTCGCACGGATTATCAATATTTTGAGCCAAGAATCGCGCAAAGAATCGAAGCGATTAATTTACTACAAAAGCGAGAATTTGAAGGTGCTAGTAATACTTATGTTGAGATGAGTTTAAACTTTGCGGATATATCTCGTAAGCATGGAAATCTTCAGGTATCGAAACGCATTCTCAGCAAGTTTGCAAATCTTGATGATTCTGAAGTTAAAGCGAAAGTTGCACTGTTAGACGCGCAGATTCACTGGAAGATGGGACAGAGTTCAAGTATTAACAAACTTAAAAAGTTACTTAAGTCATACGGGAATAAAACTAAACTACGGTCGACCATTTTGAAATTGTGCGGGGAATGGATGGTGGAGAATCATTCAGAGTTCCCACAGAAAATATTAACTGAATATTTTCTTCCCTGTGTTGATATTTTAAACAGTTTGAATACAAACAACCAAAATGAGTTTGATATGTTGCATGACGTTTATAAAACACTTGCTAAGTTTGCAGATGAAGAATATCAACATGTAAGTTGTTTAAAAACGTTAAAAGTTGTTTATTAATATATTTTTATTGATTATGTGATTTTTAGATAAGTAGAAGTATAAAATCGCCTGAATTTGAACGCAAAGTTGCTTCCATGAATAAAATGAAAGAATGTGCGAAGAAACTGCAAACTTTACAAGCACCCGCTCATGATATCAAAAAAGCAATCATTACTTACGAAAGAATGACGAATATCGACGCCATTGATGTCAAAACAAAATATGTTGAGCGTGAAACATTCCTGAAAGTTGCTATGAAGTAAGTATTTCGTAAAACTTGTTAAAATTACTAAAACTAAAGTTTTTAATGTATATTTAGATACTACTTGTATAACATGAAGTATAGTCAGCATGTACAAATGGAAATCTTCCGCATCTTTTCACTTTGGTTAGAGAACAAAACCAACGAAGCGGTCATCACCGAAATTGAGCTAAATCTATTGGAAGTTGAAAGTTACAAGGTTTTAACTATTCTACCGCAACTTGTACCGCATATTTCTACAGAAAACGATAGATTTTCAACTTGCATCACACAACTAATCGGTAAGTTAAACATAACCTAAAAATTTTAACCTAAAACTTATTTTTTTAAATTTAAAATTAGAAAAATGCGCTAAAGAACATCCACACCACGCGATTCCTTTGATTCTCTCCGTTGCGAATACAAATCTAGATGATAATTATTCAAAAGAAAACGCTAAAACCTCCTCGAATGAATCGCGAATTCGTGGTGCGAAAAACCTAATCACCAAGTTGCGTAACATAGATAAATATAAAGTAATCATCGAAGAAAACGAGAAAATGGCCGCGGCATTCATCGAATTGGCTTATTACAAAGTCAAAGCAGATAAAAATGCCGCCGTAAAGATCCCTAGATCATATAAAATCAATAACATTAAAGAATTTGTCAACACTTTGGTGCCCACATACAATTTAGCATACAGACCAAACTTAAACTACGCAAACATCGTCGGTATAAGTAAATTCAAACAAGAATTCCGAGCTGTCGGAGGTGTAAACGCCCCAAAACGTCTAGAATGTCTCGGAACAGACGGAAATCTACGTTATATCCTTGTAAAAGGACAAGATGACATCCGTCAGGACGCTGTAATGCAACAAGTCTTCCTGATAATGAACGAAATACTCCGGGGAAACAAAGAGACTGTTAACTTTAAAATTAGAACTTATAAAGTCGTCCCACTGTCAAAACGCAGCGGTATCTTGGAATGGGTGGATGATACAATGCCCATTGGTCAATATCTTGCCGAAGCACACAGTCATTATCATCCTCGTGATAAGAAACTTGATCGTGCACGTATAGAGATCAAAGATGCAGTGAGTAGTGGCCCGAAACAACGCCTGAAGACTTATTTGGATATTTGTGAGAGAATCCATCCCGTTTTTCATAAATTTTTCGAAACAAACTTCCTGGAACCTACTGTATGGTATGAAAAGCGTCGAGCGTATACACAGAGTGTTGCCACAAGCAGTATGTGTGGATATGTGCTTGGAATCGGTGATAGACACGTGCACAATATTCTGATTGATACGAATACTGCGGAAGTTGTGCATATTGACTTTGGGATTGCGTTTGAACAAGGCCGGATTCTACCCACACCGGAAACAGTGCCTTTTAGGTTAACTAGGGATATTGTTGATGGTATGGGTATCTGTGGAGTTGAGGGTACATTCCGCAGGACATGTGAAAGAACAATGGAGGCTCTACGAAGAAATGCCATCACTATTCAGACGATTGTAGAGGTTTTACTCTATGATCCGCTGTATGATTGGTCTATATCCCCTACGCAAGCTTACAGTAAGCAAATGGATGAAGATAGTCGGAATGACAGTGAATTCTTTACTCCTGAAGGTAATAAATCGTATATTTTTATAATATTGTACTAAAAAGTTTGGTTATGTTGTTTACAGATGATGTCCAGATGAATGTGTCCGCCGAGCGTGCGCTTGTGAGGTTAAAACACAAACTCATTGGTGTTGAGTCAGGTAACAACACAAATGTCGAAACACAAGTTGATAGATTGATTCAACAAGCGAGGGAACCGTCGAATCTTTCGAAATTGTTTTATGGATGGCAAGCATTCCTATAATGTTTATACTTACACGTTATATTTATACTGAATTAAATTTTGTGTTATTTTCCTAGTAGCCATTTTGTTTGTGCTGAGTTCCAATCTAATGTGCCGTCTTTGAACCAGAGTTTGATTTCGCGTTGGGCGGTTTCCGGTGAGTCTGAACCATGGCAGACATTTCGTGATATGTTTACTGCGAAATCTCCTCGGACGGTGCCTGGTGCACTTGCGGCAGGATCTGTTTGTCCTAATAATGTGCGACCTGCTTTTACTACGCCGTGGCCTTGCCATACCATTGGTACTACGGGTCCGCTGCTCATGTATTTTACTATACTGTCAAAGAAGGGTTTATCTTCGATGTTTTTGTAGTGTTTACGCAGGAGATCTTCGCCTGCGCACATCATTTTCAAAGCGACAAGTTGGAAGCCTTTACGTTCGAAACGTTCGATGATTTTTCCGACTAATCCGCGTTGAACGCCATCTGGTTTGACCATTATGAAAGTTCTTTCGCCTTTTTCTGCATGGCTGTGTTTTAAATGCAAATATTGTTATGTTTTTTGTGTTGTGGGAAGATTTTTAGCTTACCAATATCTAATTTGGGTTAACAAATGTCGCAAAATAAGGTTGTGAAGAGTTTTGGATGAATTCATTTTAATTTTACTAGAAATTTGCTTTATAAAAAGATTTTTTGATGATTTTACATTGACAGCTAATTTTAATGGCAGACAATCAATTTCAGGGCTATTCGACAGTTCATCCTTTCGGTTAGGCAACCAATGTATTCAGATTTATAATATTTTCCATCACCCTGTAAATATTTGTGTCCATAACCCAGAAATTGAAGTCTATCTAGATTTGCATAACTTGACTGAAAAATACTAATTTTAACAATGAATTCTTCAAGTTCTATCAAAGCAAATCCTCTTATTAACAAAAATATACAATCTTTGTGCATTGTATGCAATAAACCACTCAAATGTTTCAAAGGTATATCAATACAAGATGTTTTACCAAAAGTTTACACTCCAATGACAGTATTTGAAGGTCTAAAAAGGATTTCAAATGTAAGTTTCACTTTATTACAAGAAAAACTATTTATATTTTTGAATACTTATTGTTTTTTACAGTTTTCACAATTGACAATTGATGTACATATGTTTAATGTATGTGAATCTTGTTTTTCTATCATTGAATCAATGCTTTGTTTTCAAAATCTGTGTAACAAAGCTGTTGAAAACATTAAAGCATATTTTAACTTACAAGAAAACATAGAGTCTAGTGATGTATTAAATAATGACAATAATTATGTGGTTTGTGTATCTCAAAATATGGAAACAAGTGAAGAAGTTGTTGCTTGTAATATAGATAATGCAGAAAATCAACAGGAAGATCAAGTGAGTAATGAAGAAGTTGATGAAGGAGATGGAGAAGATGAAATTGAAGATTTGTGCTCTGATTCTGAGTAAGTATTTAATTTTTCTGCTCTTTTGATTCAATTTTTAACATTTTGGCTTTAGATCAGAAACTGGAAGAAAAAAGACACGTAATAAAGATACTGGTGAATTAAAAGAATGTCCTCATTGTCATAAAGTATATAAAAAAGCTTACTTTACAGTACATATGAAAATACACACTGGAGAAAAACCGTACAAGTGTGAAATTTGTGGTAAATTATTCAAGTAATGAATTTATTACTAATTTATAGTCTTAATCTAATGTAACTTGTTTTATAGAGTTAAAACAGCTTTGGGTAGTCATATGTTGTATCACAATAATGAACGCAACTTCTTGTGCACGTTTTGCGGCAAAAGTTTTCATTTCAAAGCGGCTTTACAAGACCACATTCGTATTCACACTGATGAACGACCTTTTGTTTGCGAGTGAGTTAAAGTTACCATTTCTTGTTATTCTAAAGATGGATATGTGTATAAATAATTTATGTTTATAGAACTTGCGGAAAAGCGTTTCGTACAGCGACGCATCGAAGAACACATACAAGCACTGTACATTCGGATGTAAGAAACTACGCTTGTGATAAATGTACGAAAACATTTTCATCGACAAGATCATGGCGGCGACATAGACTCGTACATGTAGAAGTTAAACAATTTGCGTGCACATTTTGTGAAGCGCGTTTCAGGCACAAACATGTACTTAAAAAGCATCAGGAGAAGGCTTGCAAGGGAATAAATTCAGTATAATTTGTTTGGTATGGTAATTATTATAGATCACAGTATTTTAATTAATGGGAAGACTGGCAGATTATGTGCAATAAATGAATAATTGATTTAACATCGTTTACAAGCTTAATAACTTAATTTTAATGATTTATTTGTGGATGTTTGCATCCGGTATTGCAGAATTTTAAAATGTAATGTGTGTTGCCTACTTTGCACGTCCAATACGATCAGACAATCAGGTTGTGGTCGTATGTGGGAGCTCTGAGCAAAAACGCGAGTTGAAGAGATAACAAACAAAATTAGAATTTAAAACATGGATTTCATGATTGATACCAAACCGAATCCATTTCTAAGTAATGACTTAGAAGCACTATGCATTGTGTGCAATCAAGAACTTGATAAGTGTAAAAGTGCATCTGTTCAAGATGATTTACCAAATGCTGAAAAATCAACCATACTATTTGAAGCTCTGAAGGTGTTATCAGATGTATGTTAAAGTCTAAATTTACTTTATATTATTAAATGAAAATACTAAATATTATTTATGTTATAGTTTGCAGAGTTGAATATTGACACAAAAGCACTGAGAATATGTGTGACTTGTTTCTGCAAAGCTGAATTTGCTTGGTCTTTTCATCTACTTTGTAACAAATCAGTTGAAAACATCAAAGCATATATAAATCAACAAGAAAGGCAGAAGAATGATGAAGATATCAATAATATTAAGGAGAAGGAGAAAGAATCTCAACAAAATGACAACAGTGATACACTTTTGGATGGCTTAGGGCATGCAAGAGTGAAAATTGAAGCTAGTTCTGAAACAAACAGAAAATTAAATGAGAAAGAGCATGTAGATGATTTAAATATTGATGCTAATCAAATTTTAGATGAGTAAGTGATTAATATTTTGTATTTTCTTATGTTTTAACAATGTTTTGTTGTAGTAAAGATGCTATGAAGTTAAATAAGTTGAAAAGTGCAAGAAGAAGGAAAGGTTTAAGAGTTGAGTGTCCACATTGTCATAAAATGTACAGAAGAGACTACTTACGGTTTCATATTCGGACACACACCGGAGAAATGCCATACAAATGCAACTTTTGTGATAAAAGATTTTCGTAAGTAATAATTTACAATTATAAACATTCATGTACTTATTAATAACAATATTAATTTTACATAGGAATCCAACTGGTTGTTCTACTCATATGCTAACGCACAATGACAATCGTCCATTTTTATGCACATTTTGTGGCAATAGGTTTCGTTTGCGAACGGATTTGACTAAGCATGTCCGGATGCATACTGATGAACGACCATATACATGCGAGTAAATTAAACAATTTTAATGTTTGTTGACTTATTATTACATTATTGTAATTTGCAGAATTTGTGGGAATGCTTTCCGTACGAGTCAAACACGAAAGCATCACATAGCGATGACACACTCTGAAGAGAAATTGTTTTCTTGTAAGTGGTGTCCGAAGAGCTTCAAGCTCAATAAACAATTGATGCAACATCAAGTTGTGCATGCGAAAGTTAAACCGATTCAGTGTACTTTTTGTGGAAAGAGATTCACGCAGAAACATGTTCTTAAAACGCATCAAGCAAAAAGTTGTCAGGGTATAAATAATAATTGAATATTATGAATGATAGTTAGGAATTATTAAAGATTACTAATTAGATTATGTGATAAATTACTTAAATCATGCGAAATTTTGTTTGTTTTTTCTAAATATTGCTTTATTTTTGAATACTATGATAGTTATTTTCTAATCGACTGCTATTTTAAGCATCAAATAACTTGTATTTGGTGGAAATTCTATTAAAAGTGTTCCTGGGTGCTTAAAAATATTTGTGAATATCTTTTACTACAATAACTGCATCCTCGCGGAATCTTTAAATGGATAGAACAGTTTAGACAATAAAATGTATGTACAAATAGCTAAGGCTGTCTTCACACATATGCTTTGCATGAGTCAGTGAAGTTGTTTGGTGGTGGCAGTGAGGTAAATAGTGAAATTTGTGTCTATGAGATGTCAAGATTAGAGTGAACTACACTTAGATTTAACTTTCTAAATTACATCTAGATGGCGCAAAGATGCACTTATTTGCAATAATATTTTTTTGTTTGTTTTGAACTCGTGCGAATTCATGCTCGAAATAAACAACACCGCTTGGCTATCTTTTGATAGCCAGATAAGCAGCTAGGCCAGTTTTTGTGCCGAATATCGTGAAACAAACGAAACATCTAGTTGCATTGTAGAATGTTACAGTAATACTATATTCTCGTCGCGTGTTTTTTGATTATAATCGAGACACTATTTGTTGATATCAGTGAAGACACGTTGTCAAATTATTAATTTAATAAGTTAATAACAAATTGTTGCAATTGTTCTTAAATTCTCCTATAAATATACTTCATGTGACGCATTACCGGTTAAATATTTCAATTCTAATTAAAACTATCAATTTTCATCATTTTCACTTGAAGATGATAAGAATTCCGTTAATAATTGTGTGCATATACTATGTTAAAACTAATTTTGTATTAGTTTGGATATTATTTATCAACCTGTGTATAAAACATAACCTGAACGTTTGTTTGGATTTCCTAAAGACGTAAACAAACCAGTGTTACTCTTTGTAACAATGAATTCTACATGTATCGCTGTAAAACAAAATCCATTTTTACAATACAAACCAGAATCAGTGTGTATTGTATGTAATAAAGACGTGAGCAACAACGAAAGTAAATCCATCCAAGAAGCTTTACCTCAAGTGGAACCACCAACAACAATACTAGAAGCTTTAAAATCCTTATCAAATGTAAGTACACAATTATTTCTATTGGGAATTACTAATTACTAATTGGGATGCATGTTTCATATAGTTTCAACAATTGAATATTGAAAATGAACAACTTAGTATATGCAATTCATGTTTACTTAACACATCACTGGCAAGATGGTTCCAAATACTCTGTAATAAATCCGCAGAGAATTTTAAAGCATATCTTGGCACTCAAAGTGATCATAAATGTATCAATACTCATATACCTGCAGTAACAGAGTCTAAAGAACAAAACATCACAGAGTTTAATAAAAATGTAAATAAAGAAGAAGAAGAATGTCTCAATTTTATGAACTCTGAGGTAAAATCAGAGGAAATAGTTGTTACTTATGATGGTGATGAAGAAAATAAAAACGAACAACGAACATGTGATGAAGTAAATGATGCATCTGAGACTGATGGAAGTGATGATGATGATAATGATGATGATTATGAAGAAGAGAACAAGTAAGTTACAGTTTTAAGCCATTAAATCATTAAAATCAAGTATAATAAAACAGTATTTTTAATATTCAGAGAAGTAAAAAAGCGTAAAGGTATAAAATGTAAAACGAAACGAAAATATGCACCGGTTCCAAAAAAAGAATGCCCACATTGCCATGTATTATACAGGAGAGATTATTTAAGTATACATGTGAGAATTCACACTGGAGTTATGCCACATGTGTGTAAAATATGTGGGAAAGGATTCAAGTTAGTAAAATTTACAATACCTTAATAATAGTAATAAAAATAATAAAATAAAATTAAGGTAATCATATTTTAGTTCAAATAATAATTTTATTTTTACGTGATTTGCTTGGATAATAAGTTTTTGACTTGATTTGGTTTTTATTTTGTTTAGAAGTTGTTAAAATGTTGAAAAATTATAAAATAATTCGTATCACAACATGGTATTTAAATATGGAAACAAAAATGTTTGCTTTAAGTTTGAAACTTTGTGACTTTGAGTTTTTTCTTTATTCAGAAACTTCTAATCCAATTAAATCACGAAAGTAAAATGATTATTTTAACTATAAATAATGGATTACGTATTCTTAATCAAATATTATCAAATAAATATCTTTATTCTTGATTCAGAGTCAAATCTTCTCTGACAAACCATATGTTATACCACAACAACGAACGTAATTTTCTCTGCACGTTTTGCGGCAGTGGTTTTCATCTGAAAACGCAATTAGATAATCATATTCGGATGCACACCGATGAACGTCCATATGTATGCGAGTACGTAAAAAACAATTACTTAAATATTAAATCTTTTAATACTTATAAAATATAGAATACTTAATATTTTGATTAATTTTCAATTTTAGAACGTGTGGCAAAGCTTTTCGAACAACGACAGCACGAAGGATACATTATACTGTGCACACAGGTGAAAAGAACTACGCCTGCGAAAAATGTCCAAAGACATTTTCCACTGCTCGGTCTTTGAGACAACATAAAGTAGTACATGCTGAAATTAAGCCTTTTGAGTGCACGTTTTGTGGGAAACGATTTCCGCACAGGCACGTGCTCAAATCACATCAAGCAAAGACTTGTCAGAGGATTAATTCGGCGTAAAATGTTATTTTTTAAAGTATTAGGTACTACCTACGATTTTGACTACGTATGTATTTTTATTATTATTTTATCGATTGTATGTTATATCTTATAGCCCAGTCATTTGGTAGTTTTGCTTGGAAAATAGTGCGGGATTGTTGAAAATTGGTATTCATATAGATTTCGAGGTGCTCTTTACGAATTTCAACTTTGCCACCTCGTATCTTGTTCGCTCGAGCCACCATCTTGGAAAAATGGTGTCAAAAAACAGTTTTTTGACCATATCTCCTGTCCGACTCATTTTACGATAAATATATCTATATAATAAATTAAACTAGAGAAATTTTCCTATAATTTATGTAAGTACCTTTTTCTTGTAAAATTAATAGTTTTAGCGTACGGGCGCCGCAAAATCTACTTCAACATTAATTTTTGCCAAAAACTCATTTCCACACCACCATGAGGTAGAGTACGTGGCGCGTTTGTTTTTTTATCGTAGTTTCCTCAGTAGGCCTAATCCACACGCACTATTCCAAAATTTAATGGATTGTCTTCCGATACGCTCTTCGCGATAGATCAAGTGTTCTGCGTTAATTGTCTTCAGGACCGATCGAAATATCACAGGGAAAAATTTCTTCCATACTATCCGTGATGGGATTATCGTTTTCAATGCAATCTTGGTTCTCGAGTTCATCGTACGTGTGCTCAAAAACGGTAATCGTTTCTTCCTCTTCATCGCTATCTTGTGATGGAACTTGCGAATTATCACAGGTACCACTGCAATTTGTTCAGATAACGGAGCACTTCATTCCAGTCTTTCTAAAGCCGCAGGCTTTCTGACATCCCTTTTTGCATTTGCAAGATATTAGTTTTAACAATGTTTCGGGGGCTGGGGGCTCAAGTGTGGTGACAGGAATTAGCCCATTCTTGTTTCTTTTTCATCCCCATTGTTCTGCATTTAGTTCATTCCAATACTACTACTTAACTTGGTGATAAGTTCTGAACGAATGTTGTCGGACTGCGGCTTCAATTGGTGGTAGCGATGCAATATTAAATTTATTTTTGTATGCTGATTTTGTGAAGCTGGCATATCTATAGATGTTTGAAGACATATTTTGCATAGTTTTCACATCACTGTAACTGTATAATTTAAGAAGGAAGAATTCGCCAGCAATGATCTCGGTATCAGCCTTTGGGTTTTTGAATACCTTGATAACTTCGTTTACTCGTAAATCTGGATTTTTGCGGAGTACATTAATACATTTTAATTTTCCTTGATGAAAGAGTGCAGATGTTGTATCACAGCCACAAAAAGCGTGTAAGAATAATATGTGATCTGCCGCTGTTTGATCGATCATGCTTTTGGTTGAATAGATTTGTTGCAAAATTTTTCCTTTTTCTGGTTTTAGCAAATATGTTGTATGTTTGAACACATTGATAGTGCCGTTAAAAGAATAAGAAGATCTACATCTTCGCCGATAACATGAACGAATTGTGATACTGTGCATTGGCTGCGACCAAATCATAAACACGCTCGAGGCATTCAACAATCGCTCTACCCCAATCATCATTACGTGCTCTAGGACGTTCTGAAATAGTGTTTTTCATCGATAATTTATGTACGCTATACACAATATTTCGATCACTCAAATGCGTCCGTTTTTATTTCGCTATAAATTCTGCTGTTATTTCAGCAGCGTACAAAAAACAATTATCTTTAAATGAGAATGTTGGGCACGTGGATCGCAGTTGTAGTTGAAAAGTCGTGACAACACTTCCTTTTTTAAACTCAATGATTAGTTTCTCATTATTATATCGTTTCCGACATATGAGCCGCTTATTTTGAAAGTGGCCTAACTCCATTTATCTTCAAATCGAGATATTGAAAGTTTTGCGTTTCAATGAATTTAAAAATATACGTATAAGATACAAAGGAGTCATACTGCTTAAGCATATCTTAGGATGTTAAATTTAAAGTTCCTGTTAAAATAGTGGCAACTATTAAGTAAATAACGTGCGTTTCCTTATCAAGAATGGAGTTGGGCCACTTTCAAAATTAACAGCCAGATTCATTATAAAATTTGAAGATGCCCAAGTCCATTCAACATAATTTAAGATGTTTCAAATTGAAGAAAAAAACGTCTTTGTTTCACAGACAGCTTCGTGAAGTAATACATTTTGTTTGTTAAAATCTGCCAAACCCCAAAACTTCTCAAAAATATTCTTTCTTTCTTCTTCATTATAATTTTTTGTGCACGCATTCCGACAACCACAATCTTTGTTTTCGAAATTTTTTCATGAACAATACTTCCGGTTTAACTGCAATATCTTTTCCTGAATTCCGTTTTATCTTTCGCACTTTTTGGATATATGGTGCATCAATCTTTTCTCCATTGTTATTTGAATCTTCATCCTCTGACGAGGAATATTGTTTTATAACTCTTTTTCTTATTCGCTTTTTTATTAATTACTATTTCTTTTCACTATCTGAACTAAGTGGTCTTCTTCGGTTCTTCCTCATGGGTGCAATAATTTCTATAATTTAATATTAAATTTTAAGTTTTATATTAATTAAACGTACAGGTTAATTAACTAACGCAATTGTCCCAAAAATGAGGTGGACTTGTAAATACTAATTAATTGAAATTACCTTCATCGCTGCTTTCCGACATTATCAATAGTAAATACCTTGATGTAACTATAAATGGAGTTAGGCCACTTTCAAACCACACGGGTCAGTTATTCAATTAATTCGGAAAACCTATGTGTAAAAAATGTACCGTATTTTCACTGAATATAAGCAATCTGAAGTGCGTCACTGATAAATAACATGAAGTTGTACATGTAACCATGGTAACCGGCAAAAAATTGAAAAACGGAGTTAGGTCACTTTCAAAATAAACGGCCCATATCTCGTGAACAACTACCGATCTCAATCCCTCTAAAAGTTTACCCTTATTATCCTTTCTTTTAATGCTCAATCACTTCACTATCTTGCAATGGAGTTTTACAAAAGAAAACAATTTTCGTTATCAACCATGGCATCAAAACTGCAAACAACACGACTATTCAGAACAATAAATATCAAATAATGACTCAATGAAGAAATAATGAAACAAAAGTAAACTCGGCCGGCAAAAGTTTCAAACAAGCGAGGGGGTGCAGGAGCACCCTCAAATCATAGCAAGCAAAAATAGCAGTCATGATGACCTGGAAATGAGTTTTTGACAAAAACGAATGTTGAAGTAGACTTTGTGGCGCCCGTACGCTAAAACTATTAATTTTACATGAAAAAGGTACTTACATAAATTATAGGAAATTTTCTCTAGTTTAATTTATTATATAGATATGTTTATCGTAAAATGAGTCGGAAAGGAGGTATGGTCAAAAAACTGTTTTTTGACACCATTTTTCCAAGATGGTGGCTCGAGCGAACAAGATACGAGGTGGCAAAGTTGAAATTCGTAAAGAGCACCTCGAAATCTATATGAATACCAATTTTCAACAATCCCGCACTATTTTCCAAGCAACCACGTTTTTTTTAGCACCAAATGACTGTACTATTATATTACAAGCTGATTTCTATTAGTTGTGACTTTATTCTGATTAAATCACCAAATTCATCATTAGAATTAATGCTGCTGCGCAAATAGTTTGTATGTGTGAGTGTACATCATGTTTACCTAATATATTTCTCTTGATTGCTCATAGATGGCGCTACGATGCACTTATTTGCATTTACACTTCTGCTTATGTGTCAGTCAGTGCATTTACATGGAGTTACGAGTAAATGGAGAGAGTTGCGAATGTGTAAGACATAGACATTTTGAGATGCAGAAAAAAAACTGTTTACTTACAAAGAATCGTATCTTGACGCTTCTAATACATAATATTTTCAGGTTTACAAATGACTTCTGGTTAAAAATTAATTTTTCACCGGTGTTTTTAAGTTTCACAAACATTAAAATCAAGATATAATACTTTTTTGAATTGTAATTTAATACTTTACAATTATGATTACACATTATTTTCACCTTGCATCATACCCAAACGTAACATTTTTGTTACAATTAGGAATATCATTATCGATATCTCAAAAAATTAAAATAATGAATCTTTCAAGGTTTAAATGCATACATAAATACATAAATATTTTGTTCCGAAGTCTGCTTTGCGGCTCAAACATGCTTTTTTGCTTCTGCAAGATAAGATTATTTTTTTATTTACTTACGAATTCGTTTTGCACTCAACGCGTCTTAAATTAATATTAATATGATTTTGCTGAACCTTGTAATGAAACCATTGTCTGTGAATTGTGCGTCCTACAACATCACATATTATAGAAAAAGAAAATAGTGATCATATTTATATTAAATAATTAAAATTGATATGAAAGAAGACGAATATGACTTCGATTCGATTCTACAAGAACTCGGGACGTTCGGAAAGTACCAAAGGAAGAATTTTGTTATGTTATCAGTAGTGATTGCGTTCTCTGCCATGTCATTATCGTTTGTTTTCACAACCAGAAGCAGTAATTATAGGTTAGTTGTATTTTAATTTATTTTAATTTAAACATAACCTATAAAAGCATTTTAACCTATTTTTCAAGATGTTACATAGAAGAATGTGATCCAATTGATATAAAAGAAGCAAAATATAATGTTCCTTGGCTGCATGATGTTACACCTTTTCAACACAATCATCCAATCATGTGTCAACGATTTGAAAGTAGTTTACCATTAACAGGGTATGAATTTATTCCCAATTGTAATGGGAGTTATTTTAGTGATGAATTCACGAGGAAATGTGATAAATTTGTTTTTGAAAATGGCGACGCAACAATAGAACGTGATGTATGCAATATAAAACTAAAAAACATAAATTCAGTATTTAAATATTTATTTATTTTTATAGTTTAATTTAACATGTTCTGAAAACATGTGGAAATTATCATTTGTTGGATCAATGGGTGATTTTTCAGAGATTCTAGGCCTTCCTTTGGTTGGATATATCTCAGACAGGTTATAATCTATTTTGTATCAAGCGCCATTTTGAATTGTGTTGGTTCTTTAGGTTTGGGAGGCGTAATGTTATGATTATTGGCTGTGCAGCTTCCGCTTTACTTGGCGCGGGAAAATCTTACTTGAATTCTTATGAACATTTCTTGATATTTGAGTTTTTGGAAACCATGATTGGGTCAGGAATATTTAGTGCTGCATATGTTATTGGTTTGTATTCTCCAATACAACATAATTTTAAAAATTAATTTAAAATGTTTTTGTAGCAATTGAATTAGTAACACCTTCTCATAGAGTGTTTTGCAGTACTTTACTAATCTGCATGTTCTCATTGGGCGAAGCATATTTATGTTTAATTGCATGGATGACTGAATCCTGGCGTCAAATGTTGAGGATTATCTACTTTCCTGCTATTTTATTCCTTCTATATTATTACCATCTGAATGAATCAGTTAGATGGTTGCTTGTCAAAGGAAAAACTCAAAAAGCTAAACAAATTTTAAAAAAAGTTGCGAAGACTAATGGAGTAACCCTAAATGATCGTGTCATTGAAAAGATTAACATTGGTGCAGATGATGTTGAAGATGGCAGCGAGGAATCTATTTGGAAAGTTTTCACCTCGCCGATTTTATGCATGCGGTTTATTTTTTGTGCGTTTGTTTGGTTAACCTGCACATTTGTTTTCTATGGTTTTAATATGAAATCTGTGACGATTTCGGGGAATCTTTATGTGAATTACATGATTTCTGTACTGATTGAAATCCCTGCTAATTTTATATGTTACTGGTTACTGGATGGCAAAAGAAGAAAACCTGTTTTATGCTGGTCGTTGTTAATCACTGGCGTTCTATGTTTTCTACTTTTGGTTTTACCAATGGGTGATTATGAAATTGTTATTTTCTCAATGGGAAAGTGTTGTATTACAATTTCTTTGTCGACAATGTATGTTTATGCAGCGGAGGTTTTTCCAACTTCTGTGAGGCATTCATTGTTTGCTTGTTGTTCGATTTTTGGAAGAATTGGAGGAATGGCCGCACCACAAATTCCACTCATGGTAGAATTCTTTTTATGAAATTGTTTTTATTTTTATTGTGATTGGAATAATTTTCAGGCTGCTATTTCACCGTCATTTGTTTATACTTTATTTATGTCGATGACGTTGTTATCATCCATGTTGATATTGACATTCCCAGAGAGTGTGGATACGAAATTGCCGGATACAGTCAGTCAAGCAGCTGCAATTGGACATAAAACTAGAGAATGATTTAATTAAACATTTTTATTTATTGATGATGCTAAGGATGTAAAATTAATAACTAATAAATTATATTTCAGATAGTGTGCATGTAATATTCCCAAATTTAATAGCATGCAGATGAGTTTGCACAACATGTGCATTACTTTACGGTTTATTCTTGTCTTTGACTGTGGGAATTGATAGTCTATATTGTTATAATGTATAAATTGCAAGATTAACCTACAGAGAAGCCACAAAATGTAATTTTAGTAGGTTTCTTACTGATTTTTGTGTGTTTTTGGTTTCTAGCAAGTGAATTTATGGTGGTAGGATAGTCGAACTTACATCAAATTGTAAGTATTGCAATTCTTTATAACTTTCATGTACAATTTTTGTGATAAACCCATCGGGAAGCCTAAAAAAATTCATTTTAGTGTTTTGCAGGCACTGATTTTTGTGGATTTTAAAGGTTTACAAGCTCAAGCCAGCGCAGCTGAACCCGTTGTCACATCGTCTTCATTTTGACATCATATTATAGGTATTAAAATGCTTTACAATTTTCATATACAACTTTTCCGAAAAACTAACGGGAAAGCCACAGAAACGCCATTTTAATGTTTTGCTGATGCTGATTTTTGTTGGTTTTAGGCGTCTAGCAGCTGAACCCGTTGTCGCAGCGTCTTCATTTTGACATCATATTATAGGTATTAAAATGCTTTACAATTTTCATATACAACTTTTCCGAAAAACTCCCGGGAAAGCCACAAAAACGCCATTTTAGTGTTTTGCTGATGCTGATTTTTGTTGGTTTTAGGCGTCTAGCAGCTGAACCCGTTGTCACCGCGTCTTCATTTTGACGTCATATTATAGGTAATAAAATTCTTTACAATTTTCATATACAACTTTTCCGAAAAACTCCCGGGAAAGCCACAAAAACGCCATTTTAGTGTTTTGCTGATGCTGATTTTTGTTGGTTTTAGGCGTCTAGCAGCTGAACCCGTTGTCACAGCGTCTTCATTTTGACATCATATTATAGGTATTAAAATTCTTTACAATTTTCATATACAACTTTTCCGAAAAACTCCCGGGAAAGCCACAAAAACGCCATTTTAGTGTTTTGCTGATGCTGATTTTTGTTGGTTTTAGGCGTCTAGCAGCTGAACCCGTTGTCACAGCATCTTCATTTTAACATCATATTATAGGTATTAAAATTCTTTACAATTTTCATATACAACTTTTCCGAAAAACTCCCGGAAAGCCACAAAAACGCCATTTTAGTGTTTTGCTTATGCTGATTTTTGTTGGTTTTAGGCGTCTAGCAGCTGAACCCGTTGTCACAGCATCTTCATTTTAACATCATATTATAGGTATTAAAATTCTTTACAATTTTCATATACAACTTTTCCGAAAAACTCCCGGGAAAGCCACAAAAACGCCATTTTAGTGTTTTGCTGATGCTGATTTTTGTTGGTTTTAGGCGTCTAGCAGCTGAATCCGTTGTCACCGAGTCTTCATTTTGACGTCATATTATAGGTAATAAAATTCTTTACAATTTTCATATACAACTTTTCCGAAAAACTTACGGGAAAGCCACAAAAACGCCATTTTAGTGTTTTGCTGATGCTGATTTTTGTTTGTTTTAGGCATCTAGCAACTGAATATTGTAAGTACTTATTCCAGACTGACAATAATCTTGTCAGTGTGTTCCTTTTGTTTCAAATAATTTATTAAATTTATGTTAAAATTTACTTAGGTTGCAAAATAATTTTTGTGTGTAGTTCACTAGGCAGCCGCGATACTGAACTTTTTGTTTGTTTACTATTTGCTTTGTTCATCTTGTCTCGCAACAGTCTCAACTCTCTTCCCTACTTAGTCGGCCGTGCGTTGTTGCGCGATGCGCACGTGTTTTATTCGTCAGTCGACATTCGTGGCATTCGGTGCTTGCTTTACATTCGGTCGATCGTCGACGGCGTGTGGTAATTACGGGATAATGTGATAATTATTGCGCGTAAAACTCAGGATTAAGATTTAGGTGCGCGCGTGTCTTCTGTCGGATATCTTTCGCTGATTTTGAATTTCCATTGGGTTTATTATTTCATGATTTGATAGACACATTTCGGCTGAGTACCATCTTCAGTTATTGTAACTAAATAAATAAAGTGAAATAAGGTATTACGTTGAAATCATAATTTAATTTCACTTAATACTTTTCAAATTTATTATATTTTGATTGACATTTTTATTGAAATAAAATAATAGTTGACATAATACTATCAAGCATATTTATTTTTGTATTCTCTTTATCGTTTCCAGAAATAGTTACAAAAGTTATTTTTGTATGATGGTGTTTGTATAAAGGCTATACAGTGTTGTTGTTTTTAAAAAGGTGAGAAATACAACAACATTTATACCTGAAACGAATATGTCTTGATAAGTGAGCGTTATGGCTCAGGTGGCATGTGCATATGCTAGCATGCTGGAGGTTCGTGGATCGAATCTCAGTTGGAGAAGGCAATTTTATTAAATAATAAGAAATTTAAGAAATGTGGGTTGCATACCACAAAAATTCAAGATTCAAATGTTAGAAATAACAGAGTACGTACGATGAAGCAACAGTAAGAATAAGTAGAAGAGATGATGGTGGAGGAGTAAGAAGAGGGAAGAGAGAGCAGCAAGAGAAGAGAATAGGAGAAGTAAGAAGAGAAGAGAATAGAGAAGAGAATAGGGGTGACAGAATTTTTAAATTTTTTGGCACGTGTCGTTATAAGACAGTCATAGGTCGATCGACCAGAGCGCCGGACTGCTTCGATCCGTCCATTGCTCCCGGCCCATCCTACAGCTACGATGTCTCTGCGCTTCATCCCCGAAATTATCAGGCATATCAACAATTTTTATGGTGGGGGATCATCCCCAGAGAGAGGGAACTCCTTATAAGGACATCCTTTTAAGAACTTGTAAAAATATTTCTAATTTTTAAGTCGCCTCACGAGAGGGGACACTTAAAAATATTCTTACAAGTTCTTACCTGTAGCTGAAATGAAAGATGGAGTACACAAATCATACAAGATACCTTAACAATTTTTATAGTGGGGATCATCCCCCGAGTGGGAGAACTCCTTGAGGACTTGTAGAGATATTTCTAAGTGTCGCCGCTCTCAGAGCCGATCACAACACTGAGAAATACTTTACAAGTTGTGACCTGTACCTGAAATGAAAGAAGGAAGGGGTGCACAAGTCATAAGACATAGCCATTGCCTTTAACATTTCTTTATTAACAAATTACATACAATACAAGTTCAGAACTTGCAATTTCAATACCTACAGAACACATGACGTCATTTTAAAATATGTTTATGACCTGCATAGCCGCGCTGTACTAACGGCTGCAAAAGTACAAAATATAACACTAGAAAATAGCAAATTGCGCCTTATTTTCGCATGACATCAGTGGAAAATTATATACTGGGTGTTATCAAAAGAAAATCTTAAATTTAAAAAAAATCATCCCAAAACTATAAAGATTGACAATTTTTTGGCTGGGCATAAAGAAAATTTATATACAGGGTGTTGTCAAAAGAGAATCTTCACTTGAAAATGAAAATCGCCCCATAACAATATAATTATGCTTATTTTTCGCAGAGCACTAAGAAAAATTTATATACAGGGTGATACAAAAAGAAAATCAAAAGATAATGTTTTATTACCTATTTTCTACTGTTTATCTAAAGGAAGTGATAAGTTCGTGAATAGAAACATAATAAATAATACAATTGTTAATAATTATAAATTTATTAAACACATTTTAAAGAAATACTAAATTCAGATCTCTTAAACACACAAATTAGCACAGACAGAATTATGAATACAAAAGCAAAATGAAGTCACGAAAAAGTCCCGAATGAGAGCGAATGTGCAGCCGACGGAACGCGACCACATTCCAATACTTGTATTACAAAGGTTATTGTATGCAACTATGTGACGACTATGCTAACTAATTTTTCTGCTCGCTTTTCCTTATAAGGTTGGTAATTGTAATAGAATATAGTTTTTATGATACATACTTTTTTACGTTTTCGCAGATGAAATATTCCATACGTTGCACAAATGATTCAAATTAATAATTAAATGGATACACGAAACGAGCCTGAGTATTTCTTAGCCGACGAAAGATATCCGACGGCCGACGAAAAACACGTGGTCCGTACGTTGTAAAACCACGAAATGCTTGGTTCCACGAGCGATAACTCATTAACTATAACTATAGGCCGCACTTGTCTGTTAATTCTAAATCTTATCTTTGGTGACTGATTATAATTCAACTACCGACTTAAAATCACAAGAAACGCGATAAGTCGCCATGAAGACCACTGCGCAAGTAAAAGCGTGCACACTACGCCGCAGCGCACGATCGACTAAGTAAGAAATGGAACAAACACTGCTGAGCGCATCGGATGCGCTGCAACGCAATAAAAACAAGTTGTATTGTGACACCGCATTCGCGTGTTATACTAAATAAACTACAATTCCTAGCGCCACTAGTACTAGTGCGTATACACGCAACTTTCAATATAACTCGCGTCACGGAATTTTCCTGCAATGAATATCAATACATGGAGATACAGAATTAAATTTTGCATCTGGGAAAATTATTTCGAACTTATTGTGACGCCGCGTTTCCGTGTTATATCAAAAAAACTAATATTCCAAGCGCAACGGGTACTACGGGCAAACACACAACTTTCAACATAACTCGCGTTACAGAATTTTCTCGCAATGCATTTCAATACAGGGAGGTACAGAATTAAATTGCGCATAAGGGAAAATTCTATACTGGTACTATAATTAAATATACTGCAATTTTAACTGTAATTTATTTATTTTTTTGTGACGAAATGTCCATATGAAAGTAATATGTAATCAATAGCGGTCTAAAAATAGAAAAATATTGTTTTTTTGTGGGGGTTTTGTTAATAACTTAAAAACTATATTAAATAAAACAATAAATTATAGATGAGTAAATAGTACGTTAAATTGTGCATCGAACCACGTAAAGAAGTGACTAAAACTATCATTGACAAAGAAGTTACAGGGTGTTCAAAATGATGTTTGTTAAATTTTACCAATAACTAATTAATTGCTTATAATTAGCAACAAAAGGTTACGAAAAACAATGGTTTTATGCAGTCAGATACAGAATTTAATTCTGCATCATTATATGAAAAAATCAACTTGATGTGACAATTAGTTTTCTTGTAATAATTTAAAAACTAAACAAAATGCAAGATTTCTCAATTTAAGACCGTGATTCCTCACATAGTGATTATTCCATATACTTCACTGTACCCATATTGGGCACAATGAGAAAATTGTTAAATATTTCTTAAAAATATAGTAAAATCTATCTATTCTTGAGCATATAAAGGGCAGTTTTGGCCTTCATTTGATTTTAAATATAAAACACGCCTAAATATACTGCAAATTTAACTGTGATTTATTTATTTTTTGTCACGAAATGTCCATATGAAAGCATTATGTAATCAATAGCGGTCTAAAAATAGAAAAATATTGTTTTTTTACGGTTTTT